CGGCTCACGCTTTCTGCGAGTCGTACTGCCTTTCCGATTGTCACTTATTTTCGAGAAGGCAAAGGAGCTTTCACTGAAGGAAAAATCAGAAGAAGAAATTGCCAAGAACAGAAACAAAAGAGACTCACTGTCCACGGCGAAATCCTCTCAGGTTCACGAGGTATAATCGAAAAATACGGAAAACTCGCGTTTAAGCCCACGGCTTATTTTCGCGACTGTTTACATGAGAAAATAAGCCCTGGGAGTTGAATAAGCTCGGGGGTCAAGGGTAGGGCTGGTTGAGCTCGGGCGAGCTGAATAAGCCCGCCGCACCATGTAAACACGCATTCATGGCTGGGTTACAGAGAAAGGCGGGCTTATAGTAAGCGTAGGGTTGAATAAGCCGGGGCTTATGTTTCTCATGTAAACGGCCCCTGGGTGTGTGTCGAGGTGTTCCAAGTTTCAGTGTGAATTTTGACTATCTTTTCCCGTCTCTTCCCATTGCTGTCGATTTCCTTGGGCTGCTTGTCTCTTGAAGAGAGGGAGATGTGACAGGCTTCCACTACAGATATTTCTCTCCCCGAAATGCCCTCAACATTATTGTGCTATACAAGTCACATGTATCGAGTATATCATTTTGGGGTGGATGGGAGCTGGTTTTCACTTTGGCACATGATGTTTTTTCATGGCTGTTTACTGCAAAGTGGGACAAGGCTGTGGTCGTTCCGGGCCCACATCCAGATATCGAATCCGCTGGATTCCTCAGAATCTATCGATCTAGTTTGCTTACATCGGTACCGTGACCTTGTTGACATGGGGGAAACGACGTCAATTGACGATCGAAAAGTCGCTCCAGGGTTCGTACTCGTACTTCTCTGACATAAATGGTATTGCACAATGTACATGACATGTACATTGCGCCATACACGTGGACATACATTGTATGTCTACGTGTATGTAACAACAGTAAAACCTGGTGTAAGCGACCTCTGTGTTTAGCGACCACCTGCTCTTGACGACCGTTTTTCCATGCACCGACAGTTCTACACAGACACTGTGGGACCTGGTTCTAAAGACCACCTGGCTTTAACGACCGCTTTTTCTTGCACCGTGGGGTGGTCGCTTAAACCAAGTTTTACTGTACCTGCATACAGCTATGCTTGTTACTCGCTGCACACAGACAAATGTCTGGTATTGGGGGGAAGAAGGATCCGTTAGATCCAGTCAACTCTGCTCCGGGGAAGAATTTCTCTGATCCCAATCCGACCTGGACCCGGATTCTACGAATCCGGATTCTACGAATCAATCGTTACACGTGGAGTGAATCCTATGGATCTGGATCTGACGGAGCGATCACAGCCTTTGTTTTCTTGTATTTTTCATTATGGTCTCAGAAGTAGTCTGTTCAATCTTCACACTGTTCTGTATTGCTTTGCCACCTTTTACAATGTTTAGGTTTTGTCATTCTTTTGTTGGGTTTCTGAAGGTACTCAATCGACATTGAAGCGAGTTCATATGGACGACGATGAAGAGGATACCAAAGACGTCAATGATGCAGCAACATCTGAAGGTACGTGTGCCGGTGTGTTCGATAGAGAGAGAGAGAGAGAGAGAGAGAGAGAGAGAGAGAGAGAGAGAGAGAGAGAGAGAGAGAGAGAGAGAGAGAGAGAGAGAGAGAGAGAGAGAGCGAGAAGGAGGGTGTGTATGTGTATGCATATAAGGGGACAATTGTTACTTATTTTGCTGCCCATTATGTACTATTGGCTTCCTTTGAGCGCTGATTTAGCAGCCTGTGGCCGACAGTTGAATTACCTGTGTGTGTGTGTGTGTGTGTGTGTGTGTGTGTATGTGTGTGTGCGTGTGTGTGTGTGCACCTGTTTGCACCTGTGTGCATATGTGTGTGTGTGTGTGCATGTGCTTCTTGTATACCTATTGTAGAGCCAGCCAAGGCCCCAGAGCCGCCCGTGCCTCAGGGTCCTCGGCGGAAACGTGTGAAGAAGATGGTGACGAAAACGCATGTCAATGAGGCTGGTGAATTTGGTGAGGCCAACTGATTGTTCTTGAGATGTGCCGTAAAGCAACACGAGAGTGCCCCAACACCACGCCCCTTGGTGGTCGTGTTGTGGAGGTGGTGTCCTGTCTGTAGGTCTTACGACACGTACTTTGAACACACATTGCTCATCATATAGTCAATCTGTTCTCAGTCTACCTTCGAGCGGATGTGAGCTCCACACAAGAACATGCTAAGTGTGACCTTGGTGCACTAAGGTTCTCACACTGGCATGGATCTGTTGTCGGAGCTGTTAGCTACAAGAAGAAAAAGCAACACACTACAGACTAGTGAATATTACAAAAATACCAGAGATTTTACCAAATTGGCTTCCTAGGACTATAGCACCAGTGTGTAGTAGAGTGCCGATTGTCCACACCCCTCGGGGCGCAGAGCTGTCTCCAGGGGTCGGGTGAGGAAAATGTTCGGAGAAGGGAGCAGCCACTCATCCCTCTGAAACAAGCACGTCCCCTCATTTTTCATCATTTATCATTCTCTTCGGCAGTACCACAGGAATTAGACATGTTCTGGCTCCTCGAAAATGACACTATGGGGACACATTGTGACGCCAACTTGTTGCCATGCACCCGGTGCACCATTTGAATGGTGCTTCGGGAGGGGGAGGTCAGTAAAACCTCGTTTCTGTTCCTTCAGTTCAGTGCTAACAGGCAATTCGGATAATTGATCGTTCGGATAATTGGCATTCTGCTGTACTTGCACTCTAGCTGTTGAACTTTGCAGTAGTGTGTTCCTCTTGCCAAGAGCTTTCTACCAAGCTCCAGATTAGTGAGGTTCTGCTCTAAGTGAAGCGTAGAGAAATCACGTAGAGAACAGGTGTCTGGGTTAGAGTCTATGGCTTCGCATGTTTTGGGTCCAGATTTCTACGCGGAGATGAGAATCTCTACGTTGTGGCATACGCAAAGAAAAGAAAATGCACACAGATCTGCCGCGTATCATTCAAATTAGCTGCCAGATTTGGAACGGAAAATTCCCAATACACATTCCACGTAATTTCTTTGTGTGAACGTAGAGCAGGACAGGTTTCTCATACGCCACGGGAATGCAAAGAGTGATCAACGGATTCGTCGCATCGTGTTCTCGTAACGTAGAGCAGAACATCACGATTATCAAAATTGATAAAGGGAAGCAACAATTATGATCCAAACTTACTTTATTCTACCATCTGGACTGTTATTTGTGGGAATTGCAGTGACGGAGAAAGTCTATGAAACTGACTCTACCGACGCCAGTGATGTGGAAGTTGCACCTGTTGCCAAGCGTGTCAAGCTTGCCACTCCGAGCACAACAGATACCGTTCAGACAAAGCTAGGATCAGCTCCAGCAGCGGCTAGTAAAGGTGGAAAGAAGGCCGACACGAAGAAAGCCGCAGCTGCTGGCAAGGGCAAGCAGTCTAGCCTGATGAGCTTTTTCAAGAAATAGGATATCATCACTGCAGCGGGTGCTGATTAATGGGATACTAGTATGTGCTTGGCCATCCCTGTGGTTGTAAACCAGCTCGTGTAAACGCTCCACTGCTGGCAGCAGCTGTACGTATATGCGGTATGTGCGTGTCTGTCTACTTTTTTGACGCTGGGTTATATGTGGTGCTTTTCTTGCCATCTCTTTTTTCACCTTCTCTGTGTGGTATACATAACTAGCATTCGATTTTCTATGTATGAGATATGGAGTACGTGTTCATGCACAATGTACAGTACGGGACTTGCATGATTAGACTTTTTTTTAATTACTTGCTTTTTCTATTTTCTGCTGCCCATCTGAGAATGCATTCTTTTTCTACCATTCCTGACAGTTATGCACCATTTGCCAGCATTTTCAATTCAGCACCTCGTTTCGTACGTGACATGCTACATGTACATGCTGGATGCTGTCTCTTACAGTCTTACTTAGAGCACTACCGTAAAAGTCCGTAAATAAGTGCGTATTTACTTTCGAATTTAGGGACCACACCCGTACCCGTACTAACTTTCAGGTGGGTACTGACTTTCGGGCACGAACTGACTTTTGGACCTGACTTGTGTGTAGTGGAGAAGTCATTTTCATGTCGATGCACATGCAGCACGTAGCACGTACCGTACTGGTACTTATTTCGGGCAGTATGTTTATCGGGCTTGACTTGACTTCAACAGACAGAGCCAAAAGAATGAAGGGGGTACTTCTTTCGGGCAGGTACTTATTTACGGACTTTTACGGTAGTACTTGTAGTAGGCGCGCGTCATGCTTGTTTTCTCTGCTCACAGCAGAATAGCAAACAAGTCCTTAGCCACCCACACTAGTAGCAAGCATTACCTTCACTGGGGGCAGGGGTAACTGCAGTTGGATCCCAGGACGGATACCCTAATGCCGTCAATCCTTTTTCTGCACCTTGTCCTCACCCACTTACTGAGGTGTGGCGAGCCCATAATCGGGATCATTTTCAAGTCCACCCAGAGTTTTGGGGATTTCAGGAGGTGTCGGCCGTTGGGCGGTTCAATAGCCAGTTGAGTCATCTTTCCAAGATTCCTTTTGAGTCTCTCTCCCCTCTCCCGGGGAGACCCACGTGACCAGTTTTGGCAGTGAGCAACAAGTACAAGTGTGTGTGTGTGTGTGTGCGTGGGCATGTGTGTGTGTGTGTGTGGGGGGGGGGGGGGGTGTACACTCTACCTGATGCCATGGGCCATACGCAAGCACATGATATGGTCGTGGATCAGTCGACACCATCCTGCCATTCCCTCAGTTGGAGTGGTGCGATACCATGGATACTGCCTTGGCATTTCAGATTGTCCTCAGTCCCTAGTCTCGGCTGAGTCGCAATTTCTCTACGCTTGTTTGTGGAAAGACCTGTTGACGTGTTGTAGCTCAGTACGTAGAGTATGATTTCATCAAGAGACAAGAGTCCATAATGTTTATGGTAATATGGACTCTTGATTATGTTTACCATGGATATGCAGTACAATGTGGCCTGGCGGCTGGCACAGGAGTACTAAAAAACCGGGGTTTTAGTACTCCCTGATGTAGGCCACTGGCCAGTCTCGTGAGTCGTGATCATGGGAATGCACCCTTTATTTAGAATGACGTCATGGGTGTTTTTAGCTAGCTTTCTTTGAAACTACCGCGGTATGTACAAAAGAACGATTTTGTTGTTGCACAATGAAAGAAGCTGTTCTGGATTACCTTCATGGCCTAGCTGGCAGCTATCAAAATAATGAGCACAGCAGTTGGTCGCTCCTAGAGCAAGTGGTCAGAGAGCGTGGAAAAAGAGCATCCTGATGTTCTTTTAGTCCAGAGGAGAATGGATCGAGTTTTCAATTCGCTTGGGCAAATGGCCCATGGCAAAGCTATGGAAGTAGTCGTGGCCTCGTCTTTGGCTGCTATTTGCAGTGTAGCAATGACTTGTTCGGGAAAGTCACTGATAGTACGAACCTATGAGTCTCAGTCGTGCTTCAAAGTTCCAGAAAGCGACCAGGCATCATGCATGGGTGGCGATCTCAACAGTGCTAGTGATTCTCTTGCAGAAATATCGGTAGGTATTTTTTGTTTCAAAATCGTGTTTTTTGATACAGATGAAGCCTTCAAATTGCAAAGTGACTGTGATTTTTGCTAGATCAATTTATTTTAGAAAAAATGTCATGTATGTAGAACTACAGTGAGTATCGTTTATAAAGTGACCGGGTGTAACGATATACCGGCTATAATGATAGAACTCGCCAAAATCAAAATCAAATCACAAAAAAATACAGCTAAAATATCACTATACACACTATTATCGGCTATACCGATATATCGCTTATTGTGATGGGCTTCAGGAAGCAAACCATATCAAATGCACAGGAAAATATCGCATATACTGATCAAGAGTGATGATCACAAAACAAGTGTTCTTCCAATATAGTTCACTTCCTCCAAAACTGATCCAGTGTTGCCTGGATGCATCAGGCAGCAGACGTGATCGAGAGAAAATTCTTCCCTGTATGCTGTAAGCAGCCACACGTACACGTGGCTGCTTTTCATGCTTTTCACAGCATGTACGCATCATTTCATGCACAGTCATGTGCCATGTGTCAGTCATACATGCAAATCAGCTATAGTGATGCACCGGATATAGTGATAAATTATCGAAAATCAAAGGGGCACGTTATATCCACTATTTACTGTAGCAGTATAAATGGGGCGAGAGTTTGGTGAATACAAAAAGCAGAGTACAATGTAGTGAATGGTTTATAGGTATCCCGATCGAAATCTGAACATTAAGCCGATAATACTTTTGAACAGAGGAGAGATTAACGGATAGCTCATAACTATTAAAATTTTGTCTCGCGGGGTCTCCTCTCTACATGTGCATGTAAATCTTTTCAACTTTCTAGAAAACCGGCAGGTGTTTGTTTTGGGTAACCATGCTGCCTGTGCATGTTAAATTGGGAGACATGGGTTTACTTTACAGTTCATTCAGAAAAAGATGGACTTCTAGCTTTTGGCCATAAATGGGTCAAACTTTGAGTTTTTTTAGAATTTTTTTCTGCAATCCCCTATGGAATCCTCTTCCAATTATGTTTCTGAAGTTTTTTTCTCCAAAAAGCAAGCCATAACAAGAATAGGATTTCGGCCAGGTTTTGCCCCCAAAGCATTGAATTGGGAAAAACTGTAAAAATCCAGGCCGTTTGACCCCGTCTGCAACAGTGCATTGTGCGGTTCGAACCCAAGTTCGGGTACCCTTTTTGGACCCTTTTTCAAATTTCAAATTTCGCAGCACTGCACTGTGTACGATGAAATCACGAAAAATCGCCAAATACGGGAGCTCGCCAGAGCCAGGGCGCATCTTTTTATGAATGGACTGTAGTATTCAGTGGTCCGAATACTGCCAGTAACATGCCTACAGTCCATTTCAAAACTATAGACGCGTAGGGTTTTTGAAATATTTCAAATTTGGCTGGAACTTTTTGAGAATAGTTTTCGGAATATTGCTCAGGTCCACTCCACAATTACTCTCATAATTATAGTTTCTAAACGATTGGATAACAGACGCCCAATTTGGAAAAATTTATGCACAAAGTGATCACAGATGTTATGTGGTATAGATGCTGGCATAACGGTTTTTGCCTGGGTACGCGTCTATAGTTTCGAAATGGACTGTAGCAGCGACAAGTTCACACACGCCAACCCAATGCCCCATCCATTCCTATCTGCATGGTTCTGCCGCCAACATAACGTGTTTACTTCTGAGCTTCATGTTGTGTTGTGCAACATTACACCATACTGACCCAGCTGTACCATGTACCGACATGACTACCTGTGTGAATTGTCACCTCTAGTAATGTGTAGTGCTGCTATCTTGAACACCTATACTATGGTATTAGTATCTGTATCAATGCCCTTCTCCTCAGTCCGGATGATGCTTTCAATGAAATTCTGGGAAAACATCTTATTTGTACTGGTGTAGCTGAGGACCGGGGGGTGAAGACTGTGCGGTGAATATTTCTGCAACTATGACAGGGCTGCGGTGGAGCTTCACAGTTCTTTTGAAAAGGACATGGGGTTTACAGGCTTGAATTGGTGGACAATTCCTGGGATAGCCAGCGGTTGGAAATAATTTGTGATGTAGGATTACTGTGATGACTTTCTCGGCACGTCTTTTAATATTAAGTTTTGTGAGCAGGGTAGTCAGGTCCTGTGGTAGTGAGCCCAGCTTTTCAAACAGGGTTGCACTCATCATAAACTCATGGCCATCATTGATGTGCTGTTGCTGCTGCTGCTGCTGCGTTGCATTTCATTGTCTGTAGGGTTTCCCCGTGAAATGGTTCTTGCTTATGCTGGTGGTATCCCGTGTGCTATTCTGGACACTGGCATTAGCTCAGCTCATTGCTAGCTTCAAGTCTTATAGTCGTCTGCGTCTTGGTTCCACTCTAGGTAAGTATGCTGTCAAGGTGAATAGTTGTTGGATGTGCATTGCAAGTTTATACTGGAGGTGGAACGAAAGCTGCCAGCCTCTGCCAAAGCAGGTATTCCCAAGTTATGTAATTTGGCTGTGTGCACGTGCCGTATGTGTGTGTATGTGTGTTTGCGCGTGCATGCGTGCGTGTGTGTGTGCTTTCTTTCCATGTCTGTCTGCAGGTGCTATGTATGTATTATGCTTAGGTTTATCGGTAGTCTTCAGTTTCGCCGTCTTCATGCCGAGCTCGTTCTACGGCATTGAGATAGTGTTGTATCTGATGGTGAGACGCGCTAGCAAGTGGTGTAGCACCCTCCTTTCACCCCTACTATCCACACCGCTTAGTCCAGTAAGTTGTGCACGGTTCTGCATGCTTGTGTATGTGTATGTATGTGTGTGTGTGTGTGTGTGCCGTGTGGGGAGGGGGTTGCCTTTGTGTGTTGTGCGTATAGGCCAGGCTAAATAGTGGTGGTTCCCTGCATGCCTGGGAATGCTGCAATCCCAGCACCAGATGCTCTGCATTCTGCTGTAACATTGCTACCATCATCTTTTGTGTGTTGGGTATGCGTATGTGCGTGTGTGTGTTTGTGTGCGCGCATGCGTGTGTGTGTGTGTGTGTGTTTTGTAACTCTATACTTCAGGATAAACTGGAAGTGTTCCTAACCAGTGGAGTGGTATCGGCGGGAAGGTCGTTTCTTCTGAGCACCATTCGTTTCTGTCTCATCATAGGCCTGGGTATCTACACCATTGAGCCCTTGTCCAGTCTATGCTTGCTAGCGTGTCTTTCTGCTCTGGTGGTGGTGCTGGTGTTCTTTGTCATCTTTCCAGCCTGTCTTGCTGTCAGCGTTCACCTCACTCATCAAGCAACACCACGACGGCTGCTGCTGCCTGCCGGTAGAGCACTGCTCCGACGTGAGAAGTGCGATAGTGCTTCACAGCAGATACAGTCGGTGATGATGTTTGGCTTGATGGTAGTGCATGTGCGCATGCTCTGGGCAAGCTACGGCGAAAACAGTGTGGACTCGGATGTCGAGGAGCTGCTGAATAGTTCGCACATGATGATGGTGTTGCTGATGCGGCAGAACTCCTCGGTGAACGACCTCTATCACCTGTTGCTGTGGATTGCTACCGCTGCTCTCTTAGGTGCCTTGTATGACAACGGCATGTCAGAGAAGATTTCCCAGTATCTTGGAATGGGCGGTGGCAAGCGCGTCTCCTTCATGGCCAGGCATGCTGGTCGTGACAAAGGAGCGGCGGCGGTGAAGAAGCTCTCGCCGACCCCCGATAGTTGCTCATCATCTGTGGATTCTACGGAGAGTACGGTGGGCAGACATCGGGCAGCTGAGACCGCGGCGTCTGAGATTGATGGTGCTGCTGCTAGCAAAGCAACCAGTGGAGATACCAATGCTCAGAATGTTGGCCCTGTCAAGGAGCAGCATCACAAAGAGACATTTGACGAATCAAATACTGCTCCAAACTGCACGGCAAACATAGTATTCTCTGTGGGGCCAGTCAGCCATCAACTCGCACTACAGCGTCAAACGTCTGAAGCACCGGATGTGTTTACCAGTAATATACAATCGCCCACCATTGCTGGTGATCGTCGAGAACAAGTGGTTTCCGTGCAGCCCAGAGATGCACACACTGCCGAGACATGTCCTGAAGTGAACAACGATGAAAGCATTGAACTGTCCACAATGAGAAGCTTTGAGGAGTGCTGCACACTACTAGAACAGGTTTGTAATCTCTTTTATTATGCGTCTGCTTTGTGTTGTTTAAACTTGTTTTTCTTGTCTGCCTTGTTCATCTTAACCCTTTATGTACTGAAAAAAATGTACGCAGACTGAATTTGATCTCGACTCGCCTCAAATTCCATAATTCTCCGGGTCATAACTTTGGGCTCCTTTTGACGATTTTTTCAATGTTGAGCTTCCTGGAAAGCTCGTCGCAAGAGGAACACATCGAGCCCACACTTGCCACCACGAAGGTCAAAACTCCAGCGCTACAGCCCAGCGTCTTAGTTGCAACGCCAATATTCCGACAGAAGTCGTCTTGTATCAGCCATTTCACTCTCCTTGCTTGTAACAACTAATTTTTACTTCCAAAAAAATTTCACAATCTGCCACGAGTCCGTTTGCCATTTTGAATATGTTTCTACGTCGCTGGATGCCCAGAAAGATGGGAAAATCCCTTATTCAAATCTGCGCACGCGGCTATTGCGCGACAATTGCCGCGATTTGACTTTCGAGCTTCGTAACTCTGGAACCGCACATCAGAGTGTTTCTGCGATTGTTTCAATAGACAGCTGGGAGTTTTCTCTTCGACCTACATAATTTAGGTTTTGGAAATAACCCAGAAATGACTGAGTTACGATCGATTGAAAATTTGAAAAGTTAAGTTGTACAGTCCATACACAAAGGGTTAAACCATTGCTGTCGTTAAGCCTGGTTCAAGTCCTGGTGGTGACAGTCAATTTTTTCTTCAGACTTTTCCTTTCGTTCCCTCAAACTGATGAATGTCTTTGTAGTCATGTGCTAATAAATGTTTATAAGGCTATGCTTGCTTCTCCATACATGTATGTACTTGTCTTTCTTGTCAAGGGTTATATTCTATGCAGTATCTTATGTAATATAAATGGCTGTATTTATGTCTTGGTTTGATGCACAGGGTGAAGTTGCCAGTCTTAGCAACGCTGAGTTGATGTTGCTGATCCAGCGAGGCAAGATATCTGCTCGTCGTCTAGAGGCCGTGCTTGACAACGACTATGGCCGTGCCGTGTATCTTAGGTAGGTGTGTGCGTGTGTGTGTGTCTGTGTGTTCATGTGCGTGGACTCTCTTGCACTGTTCTGTACTTCATGTCTGCATGAGCCCTGGGTCTTTTGTTGTTGAGAAGTCCACCTTTTGTCTTTTCTTTTTTGTCTTTTTGGGGTGGATTTCAATTTATGACGACCGTACTGTCTTGTTCGGAACTGATCGTCCGTGCACCCTTGGTCCACCCTTGGTATTTCAGCTGTTCAGCTCTGGCTGTCCAGTGTCGCCTTGGGCTTTCCGATGTCATGCTACGATTTGAGGAAGGCAATGACACAATCATTCTTGACTTTGAGCCAGAACAGGAATTTGTACAGGTGAAGATGGACGAAATGGACGAGTTGTGTAGGTCCACACTACCTGACCTCTCCCCGAGTACATCTGTGTGTAGTTGTTTGACCTTAGAAGTGGCTCGTGCTCCCCTCATGCTCTGCTGTGTCTATGAGCTATTATGGCTACTCACTGGCATCTTTTTCCATGTTTGTTGTTCGGTCTGTGTTGTGTGTGTGTGTCTGTCTGTCTGTCTGTCTGTCTGTCTGTCTGTCTGTCTGTCTGTCTGTCTGTGTCTATGTGTGTGCACGCAGGCGTGCATTGCTTACCAGTAGCCTGGGAACGGCTGAGTGTCACACAAGTGCGCTCAGCGAACTGCCCCACTCTGCATACGACTACTCTCAGGTAAACTGCTGGCGTGTACCGTAGGTGTGTCACTTAGGCTTTGGATGTGAACTGCTTCATTAGTCTGCAACGAGGGAAAGGCCGAAAAGAAAGCTGGCATGTGTGTGTGTGTGGTGGGGGGGGGGGGGGGGTGATGCTGTTCACTCACTCTCATTGTTCCCATACTCATGTTGGCTTTGCTACTTCGGTTTCCATGTGTATTTTTTCTTCTTGTGCTTTCTTCCAGGTGTATGGTGTTTGTTGTGAGAATGTCATTGGTTACATGCCAGTCCCCGTCGGTGTTGCTGGTCCTCTTCTCATTGACGGCCGACAATACCATGTACCCATGGCGACCACTGAAGGCTGCCTCGTGGCCAGCACGAATCGTGGCTGCAGTGCCCTCATGGTATGGTTTGTTGTGCGGGTTTCACCGTGTGCAAGGTGCAAGCGTGTTTGCGCACCCACATACACCCACATGCATAACATGGCATTTTTCAAGTCCCTATCAGTATCTGTGCAAGCCAAGCCTGTAATGACAATGGCTGCATGTTCCTTGGCATATCTCAACCTGCATCCTTGCTGGGGTCCAACAGATAGCAGCCGTGTGCTCATATTGTCACTTTCCCTTCTGTCATGCAGAAATCTGGCGGGCTGACAAGCGTTCTACATTCCGATGGGATGAGTCGTGCCCCAGTGCTAAAGTTTCCTTGCATTTCCGAAGCCAGGTACGTGATGACCATTCATATTCTGTACTTTCCATGTGCAAACAATTTGTCCCGGCAATAGTAGTGCTAGCATCATGTTATTAATTTATTTTATCCGCCACATCTGGAAGCCTTTCATCAGCTGGTGAGTGAGGCTTGCTGGCATTGACATCCTGGGCTGTTAATGTGCAGTGCTGGTGATTTTTGGTCGAAGGCATGCAGCTCTGAAAGTCCATGTTAATTAATCCAACAACAGTACTGAGTTGTCTCAGGCAGAATGGTGTGGCTGCAAGTCTGTGTTGGTGTCTTGTATGTCTTCTTGACTCTGCTTTGCTGCTGTAGTGATGCCAAGAAGTGGTGTGAAACTGCAGAGAACTTTGCAGAGTTGAAGAGCGATTTTGATTCGACAAGCAGGTATGTACATGTATCCTTGTGTGTGTCTCTCGGTCTGTCTCTCTCTCTCTCTCTCTCTCTCTCTCTCTCTCTCTCTCTCTCTCTCTCTCTCTCTTTCACGTACACACACACACACACACACACACACACACACACACACAAACACACACACACACACACACACACACACACACACACACACACACACACTCTCTCTCTCTCTCTCTCTTTTCTTTCAGTCATGTTTCATGAAGTTGTTAATCGTCTCTCTGTCTCTCCTCTCATCGTTTCCCTCGAGACCAATTTCTTCTCCAGCGTATCTTGTCTTCGGCTTTCTGTGAGTTCTGGCCAAAGGTATTCTGTTGATTCAACACTGATTGCATGTGTGTGTATGTGACAGTGTGTGTGTGTGTGTGTGTGTGTGTGTGTGTGTGTGTGTGTGTGTGTGTGTGTGTATGTGCGTGCGTCCGCATGTGTGTGTGTGTGTGTGTGTGTGCGTGCGTGTGTTATTCCCTTGTGATCTTCCTTGCTCAGATTTGCACGGCTACAGTCAATATACTGCGCCATGGCCGGCAGATGTCTGCATGTTCGCTTCTCAACCACCACAGGCGATGCCATGGGAATGAATATGGTTACAAAGGTACGCCAGGTGGCTGCTTATTTCTGGTATTTATTTCCAGCAATTGATGCCATGTGTAAAGCAGCAGGCGTGACAGTGAACCCATGTTAGCCCATTTTGGCAAGCACTCCAACGTCTGCTTGGTTGCTTGTATTGTAGCTCAGGGTACGCATACGTATAGACTCCTAATCTAACGTATACCCAACCTGCTCACCGCACTTCATTGTGATTGGTGTCGGCCAGTAACTCTGAGATCCACCGGCGAGAACTAACAAGGTGGACACAGCTAGCTAGCTGGAGATTGGAGACAGAGTACGCAACCTGTACGCTAATCCATGCAGCAGATTGAGATTGTAATGCAAGCCCTCACACCTTGCTTGGAAAATAGAATACTAGTAGTACATTTTTTTGTATGTATACCAGAGTGTGCATGGTTACCTGTTATGAGTTCTGGAAAGTGTAGTTAGTTGTTTGCGTCATGTTTGACGTGATGGGGAAACTGGCAGGTTTGGTACAGTGCGACTGTGCAGCCGTGGATCGTGCCTTCCGTAACTCGTCCCAAAAGACTTGAACAGCGTATTCTGTTTTCCTGAAATCACCGTAAGTTGTACACTCTGGCTCATTTACTCTTGACACAATGTAGTGCGACTGCACGAAGCGTCCCAAGTTCCCAACTACTACAAGGTCATTTGGAAGCACGTGTTTTCTTTCTTACTGTATTAGTTATACAGGCAGTCTGGCGGCCTGGGTCACTCTAGGCTATAGTAACTGTTGAAACTCTCTGGGCTAACATGTGTGCATGTTGTGCTGTGCAGGGAGTCGAGAAGAGTATCCGTCGCCTACTATGTGAATTCCCCAGCGCACGTGTTGTCAGCATCAGTGGTAACCTCTGCACGGACAAGAAACCAGCGGCTATCAACTGGATCCTCGGCAGAGGCAAGTCGGTCGTCTGTGAAGCAGTCCTGCCCGCAAGCGTTGTCAGACAGGTAAGCCAGTAGTGGTGTCACTTGTAGTTTTCACCAATAATCTACCCGGAGGATGCACCCAGTGTGCTGACAGTGCTCAACACTGCGCTACTCTGAGTGAGTATTGCCTGATGATTGCGTAACAGCATGAAACTCAGAGTAGTGACAACCTAGCCTTGCTTGCCCTTGTTGTTGTTCTGTGTACCAATAATCTACAAATAGTAGTACTCAATGCAGCTAAATTCAGACATCCAATTGTTTCAGCAGATTCGAGTAAGGCCTCATCTTTCGAACTGTAGCTACGAGCTGAAATTGAGGAGAACTGCCACCAGTCTTGGTGACAAGAGCCTAATGAAAACCGCATGTGAATATGACGGTACATGCACGTGCACTCTGCTGTGATAGCACGCAAACACATTGCTGGCCAAATTTCTTAAACCAGAGGTCTAGCCAGGATTTTATGCCAGCCAGCCAACGTTCTAGTTAAAATGCATCGTTCTGGGGGCTGCGCCCCCAGACCCCACCCCATCAATCACGTATCCACACAGACACACACACACACCACTACAAATCTTTCATTGCAGCTTGCATCTCCTTTCGCTTCGTCCAATTATGGGCATTCATCAGGCAGTTGTGACAATGTGATTATAGGTAAATTGACAAAATATGAAAAAGGAAGCAAACAGCTACATGAGCATGGATCATGTGTTCACCAAGGTCATGTCTGCATGCAGTGTACATTGGTCATCTGACAAGACCCAGCCTAGCCACAGCCGTGTACACCACCAGAAGCAGCGAACCATGACCCAACCTGTTACATTTTACTGACGTACTCAAGTGCATACTCAAGTGCATTTGAGCTTGAGTGAAGAGCTAGCACTGAGCCTGAGTAGCCAGTGCTACATACTGTACTGTACATTACCTACGCCTAGGATATGGGGCACTACAGTCTACATGGGGGTGACTGCAGCCGGCCAAAATTACCCTTGGAGCTGTCTCAGCCGGCAGGTCGCCCTCCCAGCCTGCATTCTGCCGGCTGAGCCGGCTTTGGCTAGATCACTGTAAACACTGGTAACATTCATTGTGGTGCATTTTGTGCATAGCAAGGATCAAGGTGCAGATGCAGCTTCTAAAGCGATGGGTGCGGTGCGCCTTGATCCTCTAGGGTGATGGCGTTCCTACGTATGCACAGGCCCGTCGCGCGGACTTTGGAGGTGGGGCGGCCATGGAAGGGGTTTGCGGGTGTCCTCCCCCGTGAAAAAATTTCAAAAATTGAAGCCAATTGCAAGCATTTCCGGGTATTTGGTGCCATTTCAGTGTACGGTAACTACAATGAAAGTCTTTTTGGTACTGCAACAAACGAAGAAGACGATACGATCGGGGACAAACATTACCCTCCCCCGGGAAAAAATCAAAAATTGAGGCATTTGGTGCCATTTCAGTGTAACTGCAATGAAAGACTTTTTTCTGCAACAAACCACGATCGGGGACAAGGATTTGTCACGTGTGCGCTAAGCTGCGATCATTGTGCTTTGTTGTAATGTGCTAAAATAAAACGGCCGAAAAAGTGGGGCGGCCTCAGCCGCCCCAGCCGCCCCGGCTGTGACGGCCTTGATGCAGAAAACTCGGTCTAGCTGAGTCGCACACGAACCGTAATTTTGTTGAGTATGGTAACGATCTGCATTCCTTTCACTTGCCACACGAGTAAGTCTTTTGTCTCTCCAGCATTTCGCACACTGCCTATATTTCACGTCCTGTTTGTCCATCCGTATGCTGACACTATGCACAGGTGTTAAAGACCACTCCACAGCAGCTTGCCCAGCTAAACTACGACAAGAACCTGGTGGGCTCGGCCATGGCCGGATCACTGGGCGGATTCAATGCACACGCAGCTAACATTGTCACAGCAGTGTTCCTCGCCACTGGCCAAGACGTTGCGCAATCCGGTAAGAACTGCAATGCTCTTGTAATGGCTGGGTCTTTGAACCCTGCTACATGGCAAGACCAATCCACTGCCACTATATTTGTGTTGCGTCAGGACCCGTTGTCAATTGTACAGATTCTCCAAACGAATGTGTATTTGCAGTCACTTCGCAGCTCGCCCCAGTCTTGTCTCTCTGCTGGAAATAGCTTTGCGCTACAGCCCTAGCTGATATTTGAAAATGAGAAATATTCACTACACTGTCGTGTTTGACGTCATCACTTTCAAGCCCTACTTCGGCACCTGGTTTCTCATTTGAGAATGCAAAATGTTTACTTGCATTGAACTTGTTGGTGTCGTACAGCAAGTGGAGTGGTGGTATGACTACCGTAAAAGTCCGTAAATAAGTACGTATTTACTTTCGACTTTAGTGACCACACCCGTACTAACTTTCGGGCGGGTACTGACTTTCGGGCGCGAACTAACTTTCGGACCTGACTTGTGTGTAGCGGAGAAGTCATTTTCATGTCGATGTACATGCTACCAAGAGTATATAACCCCCTGGGTTATATACTCTTGATGCTACGTGCTGCATGTGCGCACCGTACCGGTACTAATTTCGGGCAGTATGTTTATCGGGCTTGACTTGACTTCAACAGACAGAGCCGAAAGAATGAAGGGGGTATTTCTTTCGGGCAGGTACTTATTTACGGACTTTTACGGTAGTCTTCACATGCTGGCCCAGTATGTGATAGTGCGTCACCTTCTCATTCTCTCTCTCTCGCCGGCATTGCAATTAGACCACTCTTTATGATACTTGACTGTACTGGAAGCTTGGATCTTGAACACTTCTCCTGATTGCCATCAATGAGGCCAACAGCACTGTTGATGAGGCTGATGGCAATACTGTTGCAATGTACTTCAATGAAGTACTTTGCATTGTTTACCATAATACCAAGAGTAGATAAACAAGAGTGTGCAACTCCAGCTATGGGGTCTGCGACGGCAGAACTTCACATCACGTGATGAACCCGTGCACTCTAGTGCATGATAGATACTGGGTTGTACGCAGCCCAGCTTTGGGTACAACTCTCTTGTGGTCACTTTGCACTGTTTGCCAGCATAACCTTTTGAACCATGTCACGTGATGTGAAGTTCTGCCGTCGCAGCACAGCATAGAGGTTGTGCAGGCAGTTGCACACTCTTGTTTATCTACTCTTGATAATACATTGCAGTCGTACTTTTCTCGGGGCCCTTCTCAACAGGCGAAGTGTAAGAGACCTCGGCCTGTACTTTTGTAGTACTCGGTGCTGATAATATCATGTGGCCACTTTGAAATCGGGTAACGCTGGCGCAATTAGCGACATTTTAAAAGTGACATTTGCATGACGATTGCACAGGATTGTGCTCACTCTTCCTATCCTACTGTATAAGCACAAAATATATTTGTCGGGAAATTAATTCCATCCTTTTTGGCCGAAGAGCTGTCGGACTACATTGAATTCAGGACTTCAATAGGTGTTCACATTCATGGACGAAATATTTCACTGGGCAGACTTCCTTTTTTAGCGTTGGACGAAATTTTAAACCGGCTAAATAATAGTAAATATTCTGCTTGTGCAGTATGTCGAATAGTCAATACATTGTGTACAGACTGTTACTGTTTATAATTCTGGTTTGACTGCTGTCCTTTCCTGGTATGATGTTTTCTCTTATATGTAGGTACATCGTCTGCGTGTATGACTCAGATGGAAGTGTGCCCGGCACTGGACGAGGATTCTGAATGCAGCCTGCATGTGACTTGCACCATGCCTTGCTTGGAAACCGGCACAGTTGGTGGTGGTACTAACCTTTCAGCACAGCAAGCATGTCTAAAGGTGAGTAGCCACACCAGCATAGGACTATTGATCTAGTATGTATACCAGTAGTGCGAGGCAACCTTCACCCACTGTAAACAAATGATTGACAGAATTCAATTGAACACGTGGCGTGATATAGACATATGAGTTCCTCTGTTGTTGCTGTTTGAAATCTTTATTCCTTGTTGTTGTTGTTGTTGTTGTTGTTCGGTAGATGCTTGGGGTAAATGGGTCCAACCAGGAGAATCCTGGAGATAACTCAGCACGGCTTGCTCGCATCATCTGTGGGACAGTAGTAGCAGGGGAGTTGTCACTCATGGCCGCTTTGGCTTCCGGAGACCTCGTGAAAAGTCACATGCGACACAACAGGTATGTGCGCGTTTTGTTTGTTGTGCTAACGTTATTGTTGCGTGCATGAGAGAGGGGAGGGGAGGGGGGGGGGGGGTGTTCACATCAAAGTAGTGTTACTGAGGAGCTTGTATTCACTGATCGATCATCGATTACGGTCAGTCAAGAAATTCGTATGCTTTTTAATTTAAAAAATCACACGGGTTCACTGCCATCGTCTTGGTCTTCTGGATATCGGCGGCTTTTAGCAGCTCCTTGGACAGGGCAACATTGCGGACACCGCCAACAAACAAGATGTGATCTTTGATTGCGCGTTGTGCCACCAATGTATGCTCTTTCATGTTGTCCGTAGATGCCTCCTTGTTAATGCTGAAGCCGCGCTCAACAGATGCTTGGCCGTGGAAGAGGAGAAGGACCATCTTGGTCAGGTGCCATAGCTGTTCGAAGTCCTTCCGTTGGGCCATGAAGTCGCATAGGAGAGCATCAATACGCGTGTCACCACTTTCGAAGCCTTGGAACGATGGGTGAGCTGCAGCCTCCACAACAAACTTCCGATACTGGGTGTGCGCCCGCTCACATTCGTCTTCCAAAAGCACACTGGCCTCCTGGAAGGCATGCAGTACTCGTTCCACACGCCTGCAGCACACTTCTGGCTTTTCCAAAATTTCCTTCGGGTCAAAGCAGGATAGAGAGCGCACGAGGTCGTACTTGATGGGTGATTTCTCAAGAACCTTCGCGATGATAGCAGGGTTCTAGCCAAAGGGGGGTAGGGGGGCGCAGCGCGCCCCCCCCCCCCCCTACTCTGTTTGCGCGCCCCCTGTGAAAAATTGCCGCCCCCCTACTCATTTCCGACTTTCGTGTTTTCATGCATAGATGGTTCATAAAGGCACATTTGTCTGGGGTTGAAGTCAGGGATTCGCCCCATACGTTGCATTTGGCGTGGCAAGACAATATTGGAAAGTGGAAAAATGGGATATAGGGTAACTGTTTCCCATGCCCACCCCCTCGCCATTTCACTAGACTTGAGAATTCGGGCCGCCAGTGACTTGAGCATACGCAGCAAATCATTTGCGATGAATGGCATCATGGGGGCGTCGGTCTGGTACTTCTGGAGGAGCGGCTCAATATCACGGGCCACGGAGAGGAATATGCTGCAGTGCACCTCAAATAGCGAGTCGTTGCAGTTCTTCGTTATTGTTTCAAATGATGCATTCTTCAGCTTGGCCACTTTCTTCTGCACAGCTTCAACATAGCGCTGGACAAAGGGCCACATGGACATGGCTCGCTGGACAACAGAGGCATTCTCAAGCCACCGGTGAGCGCAAAATCGCAAGGGAAACTCCTCACACTCGGTGACCTGGACAAAGTCCTCCCGTCAAGCTGGCGCATCATTGAACAGCCAATGAAGGCTGGATAGCACTCCCTCCATGCCCCAGTTGGCTGCAGTGTTCCCAGCACGGAAAGCGCTGTGCACCACGTGCAGGCCACAAGAACCAACTTGCAAGAGAGTGTGACCGGTGTGCAACTCCAGCTCCTTACTCAAGTCACACTGCACTTTCCAATTGACATTGGGGCCATCCATTGATAGCTGGAGAACTCCCCGCCGACCAAGTTTCTCACAGCTTGCGGACAGTTTAGCTTGCAGATCTTTTGCTGTAGCGTGACCGAGACACTCTGAGCTGTAGTAACGAGATGTCACAAGGCTGCAGTCCCATAGTCTAACGTGAATGTCCATTTGATTCCTTTGCAGGTGATCATTGTGACTTTCGTCGAACATCAGCACAAAATGATCAGCGGACTTTACTCTTGACAACAGCAAGTCCTGAAAGTAGGGCCCAATACCGAACGTGGTCAAATAACGACACTTTGTTTCCGCACAGGAGAACTTGGGCGCGATCTTACTATCTGGAAACATCTTTGCGAAGAGGCCAGACTGACCGCCAAGGCCCTCGTAGCTACGGAACGATAGGTGTCTGTCAGACACATTCAGCGCCCACAGAACTTCTGCCTCCAACTCCCGAGTGCTCGACACAAACGAGGACAAACTATCCGCTGCCGCCGAAGAAGAATGACTATGTGGTGCTGCGGATTGGGACCTAGCCGAGAACACACTAGCCACTGAGGGACTAGCAGACGCACTCCTCACCGCTTCTTTATGCTTCGCTCCCTTGGCATGGCTGACAAGCGCTTTCTCTCCCATTGTCATGATGACAAACGTCGTGTTGCAAAGCTTGCAGCGGGCGGAGTGCTTGTCCTTGTGGTTCCTCTCTACCCAGAGAGAGTAATCGGGGTGGGACAACCATTTGTCCAAAAAAAACCACAGCGTCCCATAGTGATACGTATTCTTTCGCACAGGAATCTTCAACTTACTTGACAAGGACAAGAAAAATCAAACTGGCAAGCTACTTCGCCAACGTTATGGCAGGTTGTGTTTTTCTTGTGTCAAAACATCAAACAAAACGACAGTAGATTGTACAAAAGTACAAGCGCGAAGCCTACGATCCGTGTGCAGTGGCCGCGCGCGCGCGCGGGCAAACGCAGGCATGCAGTGCAGTGATCATGTTCTGTGCGCACCCGTCCATGACCGATCTAATCCTAGTAATCGTGTTGCAGAGTAGATCTACACTCGAGTACTCCGACTCTACAAAAGTTGTAGTGTGACTGCCTGTACCATGTGTACTGTGTGGACCACAGTGACACGCGCGCCGCGTGGGTTCAAGCCATTGCATGCCGCGGCTCGGACGAGTCGGAGCAGATCTACGACGTAGATCTACCAGTACCAGACCAGTACATTACTGTTGCATGCATGTTTTCAAAATCCCAGACAAAGTGTCATTCAGGTCAAAATCAAGACTTTTTCAAGGCCTGGAATTAAGATATACAAATTCAAGACTTTTTCCAGACTTTCAAGACTCTGTACGAACCCTGACCATGTATACGCCAGTCGCAAGAGAAGCACGCAAATCTGGAAATGCACTGGGTGTACACCCACAGATTTACACACCTTTGGACCTTTGGAAAGCCCATCGCCGAAGGCGATGATAGCTATTAGGCGAGGCAGTAGTTCTTGTGTCGGGATAAATCATTCGGACGGCGAAAGTCGCGGCCGCAGACACAGACGAACACTCTTGGTTGGGGCTGGCTTGGTGGCTTCCGACGGCTACGTTCGCGCCAGTCCCTCCGGTCCTGAGCAAGGTGGTACCATTGCGCCTCCGGGATACCGGTCGCACGCAGGTCTGAAGCTGCCACATCTCTCCAACGACGCTTGGGTCCATGGCGGGGCCGCGTGTTAGTGCCCTCCGCAAACAGGATCTGCTTTGGCAACCTGGTGTCATCCATCCTTGCGAGGTGACCAAGCCATCGCAGGCGATTCGCACGAATGGCCTCCTCCAGCGAGGCTGGCATGCCGCTGCGCTTCGCCAAGTCTTCACTTGACAGGTGTTCCTGCCACTGCTGGTCTCGGGTAACACTTTAGTAGTGTGACTGCCTGTACCATGTGTACTGTGTGGACCACAGTGACACGCGCGCCGCGTGGGTTCAAGCCATTGCATGCCGCGGCTCGGACGAGTCGGAGCAGATCTACGACGTAGATCTACCAGTACCAGACCAGTACATTACTGTTGCATGCATGTTTTCAAAATCCCAGACAAAGTGTCATTCGGGTCAAAATCAAGACTTTTTCAAGGCCTGGAATTAAGATATACAAATTCAAGACTTTTTCCAGACTTTCAAGACTCTGTACGAACCCTGACCATGTATACGCCAGTCGCAAGAGAAGCACGCAAATCTGGAAATGCACTGGGTGTACACCCACAGATTTACACACACACACACACACACACACACACACACACACACACACACACACACACATACACACACACACACACACACACACACACACACACACACACGCACACACTAATTTACATCTTTGTCAGCACCTTGCTTTTGTGTTTATGTTTTGAACTGTTGCTCTGTAGGTCGATTTCATCATTAAATTCATTAGCCAGCTTTAGCTAGGAGGAAATCCATGTCTGGATTTGCCTTTGAGTTCAATAGTTAGTGCAGTGCACTGCGCACATAACAGTTTTCATCCTACGCTTTAGCTGGATACCACCACCTTGACTTTCGTTGGACTCGCACTCCCAACACCTACCTTGATCCCGCAACTTGACATTCGTTGGACATGTGCTCATCCCCGCGTGCCTCGATTCCGTGGTATCTCCTTCAGTATTTACTCCGTGCATTAGTCTATCCATCTGACCTATGGAAGCAGCGTACACGTTTATATTTCCACCGTTGAACCACATCTCTGACAGTATTACTGGTTTTCATCGCTGGCTGTTTTCTTCCAACCTTCACTGCGGCCAGTTGTTGTTTTAGTTTTAGCCGCTCATCGTAGAGCTTCTAGACCCTGTTGTGCTGTGCTGGTCACGGTGCAATGTGCTCATGCCATGCCATTGCACATGCTCTAGGGGTGCAATGTACTCATGCCATACCATTGAACATGTTCTCGGCGCTGGTACTGCCAACTCTAACATGTTCTTGGAACGCTAGTGTTTGTTCTTGCATTAGCTCCTTCTTATTTCTGTTTACTTGTTTCTGTTATTTATGTAAGCTGCTGCTTACTCTCCTATTAAAGTGTATTATTTATGTTCTTCTCTAGATACATTTTTATTTCTGTCTCTAATAATAACTTAATCATTGCTCTCCTTTCTGCGTCCTCTGACAGTCCTGTCTTTTCTTCCATTCAGTCTTGTTCTTTCCGAAGACAGAAAAGTTCAAACTTTGTGGGCAGTTGAAAAGAAGTCAAGAGGTTTTGCAATCTGGTTTCCTGTGAAAGGGGAGTCACAGAGCCAAGGGACCAGGAAATTCTTGTGCCCCCATTTCAGGATGATTGCAATGTCAGATGCCGTCTTTGTTTTAGTGTTGTGAAGAAACTGCAGCCTCTCCAGGGTAGTCCGTAGGGATGTAACGAAAAACCTTATTGCACAACTTTCGATCTACTAGTACCGGTATTAGCAATGCTCCAAGAATAATCAATTATGTTCAATTTCCAAGTTTCAAAGTATCACTGTATACCTAGTGCACGAGCATGCTGAGGAGCGGGAGTCTTCCCCCCCCCCCCCCAAATTGTAATCCCGGACACGAGCATTGGTTTTTGGGGGGGGGGGGGGGGGGGGGGCAAAAAAAGATGATACAGTTTGACACTGTTGTGAGGTATGCGACTCACCCCACCAGAATCATGCATGCAGCAGTGTCTGGGCTATGGCACATCAGAGATCAGGAAGTCATCTTAGCCTAACCCGGGTTGTAGACGATGCTCTGGCTATCACACCCAGAAGAATACAGTAAGATCGGGCGCCGAAGATCGCACGAGGCTAAGACGCAGTCTAGCATTGTTCTACAAAATATGCATTTCCCTAGCCTTCAAAGCGTTCTTTGGTGCCTGATCTCACTGTACGCTCAAACCGAGTCACAAGCACACACCGTGACCATGACACAGATGTACGATGTAAACATTGAAACCATACACTGAATTAGTCAATTAGCTAAGGTTTGTGAATTCAATGATCCTTGGCCAGAAAAGAGACCTGAAATACGGTTTGAAAATGATCAAACTGTGACACAGCCGCACGCGTATGCTGTTTAAAATTGTTTTTGAAGTTATCCCCAGCTAGCGCGGAGCAGGCATGAATGAGAAGTTTAGGAGCAGAGCATGCATGTTCGTACAATCACTTCAGATTCTACACAGTTGTCCAACTAAGGTCCTCAGATTCTATGTACACGAGTAAGTCAGTTGTTGCCACCACTGGCACTGCATGGCATCCGGCATAATTATTATAGTTTTTTTAAAATACTTGAGAATTACACGAACTTAGAACTACACTATATTTTAAACTATAACTATATCTATCACTATAACTATATCTGCTCCACATGCAACCCTGTAAAAAGGCCTTAGGCCTGTGGGGATTGCCCTATTCAAAATCTAAATAATAATAATAATAACCACTCGGACACGTGTAGGTCGGCCTGATACTGCTGCAGCCTGCCTTATACTTCAACGAGATGCGGCTATGTACCTGACTGTTGTGGGTCGCTATGCATGCCCACGTAACTGTGTGCTATGGATATGCATCATAAGGCAGAGGATGCAGCATAAGGTAGAGGGAGAAATCGACTGCATGACAGTCGTTGAAGTTCAAATTGACAACTCAGGTGCAGCAAGACATGAAGCGCTTAGCCAACGCAACGGAGTGGGCCAGATTAAATACCTTCCACACACGTCTGAGTCTCTTTTACAGGCACATATTTCTGGTTGTGCAGAAACGAGTGCAGATGCTCGGGCTAGCTTGTAGCGCATACATGCATTGCCGGTCAGTCCTCAGTCAAGTGCTAACTCAGGTTGAACGCCTCTCAACGTGACCCATCACACTGGCAGGTGGAGAAGAAGTGGGGAACGGTGTAATGGCATATGGCCGGTAGTGCTCCATGATGGCCACGAACAGCGATGCATCCGATGGAGTTGCGGGCCGGGAGGACTACAGGGCACAGCGGAATACACGCACGCAAACATACACATGCAGGCACGCACACGCATGCACGCACGGGCGCGCACACACACACATACATAAACACACACGTACATACACACACACACACACACATACCCAATGCTGTAGACAGCAAGCTGAGCTACCAGCCTAACTACGAAAAGTAGCGGGCAATGCGTAATGCAGCAGCACTAGAGCAGTATCCGAGAGTACTCAACAACACGAATGCCGAGGAGCGCAATACCCAATGCTGTAGACAGCAACACACATACATGTCCACACACATATACACCAGGGGCGTCACACACACATATACACCAGGGGCGTCACACATATACATCAGGGGCGTCACACACACACACACACACACACACACACACACACACACACACACACACACACACACACACACACATATACATCAGGGGCGTCACACACACACACACACACACACACACACACACACACACACACACACACACACATATACATCAGGGGCGTCACACACGATACAACCAGTACGACCATGGGCGTACCAATTTTTGTCCAGGATGGTCCGCCCAGAGGATGGTCCGCCCAGAGCGATGTAGAGCGCTAAAACGTACTCTGTTGTCCGAAAAATCCGATTTTTCCCTCTGCGGGACCCCGGACCCCCCCCCCCCCTCCGTCGTACCTCTCCCCGCTAGACTGTGACACCCCTGTACACACACACATACACACACACACACACACACACACACACACACACACACCACACACACACACACACACACACACACACACACACACACACACACCATGTACCATGTATACGCCCATCGCAAGAGAAGCACGCAAATCTGCAAATGCATTGGATGTGCACCCACCCCCCCCCCCCCCACACACACACACACACATGCGTGCACACACACACACACACACACACACACACACACACACACACCACGCACACACACACACACACACACACGCGCGCGCGTGCGGAAACTACCGTAGAATGGTTCCATCAAAGTCCCCAACAACATTTCTCAGTCTAGGAGGGACACGTACACAGCAGGTATGCAACCCGGGGGTAAAACCGTTAGTCTCCTAATACTAGTAATAGCAGTCCGATCTCCATGTTGTTAGTCACACGCAGCTGGATAGACAAGGGTGGTGGTGCAGAGCAAACTCGCTCCACGTGGATGCATGGATTTTGGCCGCTCTGCATGATCTGGAAAACGCTCAGCTAACCTGTTCACCGGCCTGTCTTCTGGCTTCTCGGTTATTGCTCAACACATCGCTGACATACTGCGCCAAGCCGTCGCTAATGAACCCGTAGCGAGCCAGTGCCAGAACCGTGTGGTACCAAAATTCTTGTTCCACGTCCACATCGTCGGGAGAGAGTTGTTTGTACAAGTCAGCACCTACCGAGCTAGCCATTTCCCCTATGTCGACAACCAGACGCAGATGGTACTAGACGTCAACTAAAAGTATGATCTTCCGGCCCGAACTGAGCAGTTGTGCGTTGTGACAGTCATACTGCTACTTCAACAGTATTGCAGACTTTGCAGTCTTGTAGTTGTAGGTAGTGCGTGATCTTTACGGATGACTGTAGTCGACGTCGCGCGATCGCCGGCATAATATGCATTCTTGCACTTCCAAGACCCCTAGCCCTGCATGCCTCATACAAGATCGAAGAGTCCTTGTCCAAGTAGTTAGTTGTAGGTATACTCGTAGCACTAGCAGTATGATTGTAAAATTGTCGAGTGTTCACAGTTATTGTAACCGATGCCGATGGTCCGGTCCGGTCCCCGGTTGTTGAGCTGTCGTCCAGGACAGGTTTCACTGCCATACTCAGATCATACTATCAAGAGTACATGAAGTATGGAATCGAGCATGAGTACGAGGACGAAAGTGCGGAATCGGAGCCCGACGCGCGCTAGCGCGGAGGGCTCCGATTCTAGCACTTGAGTCCGAGTACGAATGCTTTGATACCATTTCTGACATGCATTGCACGAACTACTGAATCGGAGCACGCCTAGGCGTGCTCCGATTCAATCGGAGCACGCCTGGGCGTGCTCCGATTGGAAAATCGGAGACCTGCAAGCGCTCACAGGTCTTCAGTGGCTGATTCAAAGCACGGCAAGTCGCGCTAGGATTCGCTGTTGCCATGTCGATTGTCATGTGACATGTCAGAAATGGTTTTCATGTAGATCTACTCTTGGTACCAAGACTCTTAACTGACAAGAGTAGATATCTACATGAAAACCATCAGAGTAGAGGAGACGGCTCGATACCGGAACGTTTTGACAGCCAAATTTGTATAGACCCAAAACGATCATCAACGTTGATTTTTCACTCGAAATATGTTTGTGGAAGGAAACTGGCATGTTGAAGTTTGCTCTGGGGCCAGAGTCAATCGAACTGAGCCACTCCTTTGTGTTGACCCATTGCCTCCAAGTTGCCCAATTTTTCGCTTCAAAAAAGTTCAAATCAGAGGTGGCTCCAAACCGGACACGTTTTAGAGTGCCCGTCAAATTCACTCTGGGTCTGAAATTAGGTAATTGCTATCGCTCCACGACGGCCAGTACAGAGTAACAATAAGCCTTGTGTGTGCTTCCATTAGTTTTGATTGGTATGCGGTGCTTTATTGTCGAGAGGCGAGCCGCTGTTTACCTGCGACAAGAAGTTGATTTTTCGAAAGTCGTAAAACTCAAGTCGCAGTGCGAAGCAACACGTCAAAAACTCACCTGCTTGATATGGCGCTTCTGGTCATCGCAGAGCCATGAAATTTTGGCTCGGAGTATAACACATCGTAGTCTCACTGTGACATATGTTTTCTAATCAAAATACCAAGAGAGAAAGTGAATATTGAGTCCGTTCCGGTTTGCAACCTATTTCCTATTTGAAACCGTCGCCTCTACATGAAAACTAAAGTCATCAGGTCATAGTCATAGCTACGTATACGTAGCGCAGAAAGAGAAAGCTCAAGAACTCGATCGCGCAGCTCGCGCTCGCGCCCGCAGCTCGAGCTCGCTCAAACGAGTCAGATCAACGGCTTTATAATTATTTACAACATAAAAAGTCGTTCGTTTTTTTGTTTTTTGTTTGAAAATGATTGGAGAGTTCAGAACTTCAAATTGCAGATGGAGTTTTTGTTTTGTTGTTGAGTCTACGTGCATGATCTCTACTTGTAATTGTGGTTTTGTTCGTTGAATACACCATGGCGTGTTGAATGGCTGAATCCGGATCCAAGGGACGACAATCAACCAAACATGCGGGTCACACTGGATAGAACGAGCTGCTGCTGTCAAACTACATAATATTGGATAAACCTAGCTAGCAGATACGATGGATAGTATGGATTCAGTGGAATACCTGGCGTCGTCCAATACAGCAAACGTCACAGCCTATGAGCCGAGTGATGCCTTAAAATATTCAATTCTAGCTGTGTGCGTGCTGTCGTTTTTCGGCTCATCACTGATTATCATCAGTTACATTCTGTTTAAAACGATACGTAGTCGTTCCAGGCACATTCTAGTGTGCCTGTCCGTAGCTGATCTAGGAGTAGCAGTAAGCAATGGCACAGGATTACTTGCCAGTCACTCTCCGAGCATATGTCAAGGACAAGCAGCTGCAGCCACATTCTTTGGCGCGAGTTGCCTTCTGTGGACGATTGCCCTGGCCGTGTATCTCTACGCTGCCGTTGTGCTCCAGTGGCAAGTGATCAAGAATGTCAGAGTGATGGTCGTCTTCTACGTCATCTGCTGGGGCATTCCACTGGCGGTGACGTGCACTCTTATAGGCATGCAGCTGTTAGGTGGCAGGCCCAGCAGTATCACCGGCTGGCAAGGCTGGTGGTGTGTGCTCAAACCAGGCATCGGTCACGTCAAGTCCACCGTATTCATCTTCCTGGCTAGTGAGCTCTGGGCGTACCTAGCGTACATCCTCGTGCCCATTCTCTACTTCCGCACCCGCTTTCACATCCAGAAGGAGGTAAGTTCACGGCGCTAAAGGTTGGATCTAGAGATCTGGTATAGCCCATGTTTTTATTTATTTGTGGATTCTAGAAACACTAGAGCTATTGGAGAATGCACACGGTGCGATTTAGGACAGAAATGCTAGAATAAGTTGAGTGAGGTGCATGTGATGCGGTTTAGGCCATGCGATTTGGTGGATTCACAGCAAATGATTTGGTGGATTCACAGCAAATGAGCTGGCACCACTTTTAGTGGCCATGCACTGTCATCGATAGCAAGGATGAGGACGTTCTGCAAATTCTTTTGCAGTAGGCGGCTGAAAAAGCATAGGTGCCAGCTGGGACAAGCGAATTGATAAGATGGAAGGTGCGAGCATATCATGTTGCCGTAAAGTACCGTCAGAGCGCCCCACCATCTCGTCCTTTCGTGGTCGTTTTGTGGAGGTGATGTCCTGTCTGTAGGGCCCGGGATATAGCATTATATTATTAATGTAAAGCTTGCTGACTTAGTGAGTGCTTTGGTTTGTATTGTTATTGCTCTGCTAGACAAAGGCAGGCGAGCAGTTTGTGACGAGCGGTTCTGTAGTGGCAGTGCAAGCTGTTGATCGCAAGCTGATGCTGCTTCCCATGCTGTTCATACTGCTACATATCTGGTCGTCCATCATGACCGTGCGCCAGATGTACTATATGTTCAGTGACGATGATGATCCGCAGATGGATCGGCCCAAAACCTGGTACCAGACACTGCACTTTCTGCAGGTAGGTGTGTGGGTGTGTGTGTGGGGGGGGGGGGGGGAGAGAGGGTGCCATCCACTCTGATTTAGCCACCCACACTAGTAGCACCTATTACCTTCACTGGGGGCAGGGGTAACTGCAGCTGGATCCCAGGACGGATACCCTAATGCCGTCAATCCTTTTTTCTGCACCTTGTCCTCACCCACTTACTGAGGTGTGGTGAGCCTGTATGTGGGATCATTTCTAAGTCCACCCAGAGTTTGGGGATTTCAGGGTGTGTCAGCCGTTGGGCGGTTCAATAGCCAATTGAGTCATCTTTCCAAGATTCCTTTTGAGTCTCTTTCTCCTCTCCCGGGGAAACCCACGTGACCAGTTTTGGCAGTGAGCAAGTACGGTACAAGTACAGTGTGTGTGTGCCTGTGTGGAATTTTGTGGTGTTGGTAGATAGTGGCTGTTGGGTGGCATACCAGCCTCGTAGCCTAAGCTGTTGTATTTGTTATGTACTACAGTCTATGCACAGTTGAGTCACCGTTTGTATGTACTATGGCGGTATACTCTGTTTGGTGAAACTCTAGCCCGTTCGTTTTTGGGCGCCCGGCATTACTGCAGGGGACATTCAATGGTGCAGCAATGAATAAACTCTTTTAAAACTACATGTACATGTACGTTGTCTTACTGTTTGTTGACCTATCGTCACAGGGAGTGGGTGACTCTGCACAGGGCTTCTGCAATGGTTTGCTGTTTGTGGTGTTCACGAAGAAGGTACGGCAGCACTACCTGAACATGCTGCACCGCCAGCGCGACATCCAGGTGTATACACCTCCGCAGGCCGCCGGCTGGAATGCTAGCCCACTGCAGCGAGCTGGAGGCTCTCCCGGTGCTGGCCTGACTGCCATCTCACCAGCAGCTAATGATAGTGGCATTGCCGATCCACATAGCCTCAACTCGTCGGACAGCGAGGCTACTCCGCTGATTGCACATCGTCACCAATGATAGCGCGGTTACGTCACTGATAGGCCATCCATCATCACCGATAAGTGCTGCATAGCTGACTACTCATTGCCACCAATGATAGTGTACAGTGCAGTAAACATGTAACTGCTTCCCTAGGATAGGATCACTTCGCAGCAGCCTGACAGCTGTCTAAGCTCTAGAACTTTTATGGGTATCTGGAGATCCGGTGCCAACAAGTACGCTTTGCTCTGGCCAAGGACTGTCATTGGCTGATTGTTGTTTTTGGTTTCTTTGAGTGCGCATGTTCACTGACTTGAGACTAGGAGAGGGCTTGAGCGTCGTGTTGATAGTCTGTCGTCGAATCTGCGCTAGCACTCTGTGTCTACGGTACCCTGTGTTTGTATGGTATGCTTCTTGACTGCTGCTGTGTTTGTGTGTGCGCTGCTGTTGAAGTGCATATGCACCTTTCACATGTTGTGAGTTTGAGCTTGAGTTTTCAATGTTCGCACCAGATGACTTTGAGTGGACAGGGGCGGAATATTTACTTTACACAGGATTTCGCGGCTTAGCTGGACAGCGCTTTATGGATTTGCTGCTCTATGATTGTTGAAGTGTTGACGATGTTTTGTTTGATTCTGCACATGTATTATAAATAATTATATTATAATTCTAAGCTTTGCAGCAGTATGGTATTGTGTAACATAAGACTAGGTGTTGGTAGGTTTTCTGCACATGCGCACTGTTTTATCATGCTGTTACACAGCGCCCATTACCACCAGCAGGTTTCTGGTGTTGTACTCGGCTTTTTGCATTAGATTTGCTCCTGGAGGTACACGTGCTCGTCCATGCTCAGTCTTAGCACTCTATGCGATTTTTTCCATTTTATCAGTATTGTGCCTGGCAGTTCTTGGCAGTTCTTTGTCCACTGGCTGCTTTGCTTCTTGTGCTGCTGCTGCTGCTGCCCAAGCATATCACTACTAGTTATAATAATTATCCTGCTACATACTGGCCAACCCTCCCGTTTTTCCCGGGAAAATCCCGGAAAATCAACACACCTCCCGGGGTCCCGGGGATTTCAAGCAAACTCCCAGAAAACCACAGTTTTGTCTGATACAGTATTTTCCTGAAAACTCCATGGATTCGCCCCGAATGTCCCGGTTTTTTAAAAACTTTTTTCAAAGGTATGTACGGTGCTCATTCGCACTTCGAACTGTGCACAGCACTTTCAAGACCTGACCATGCCTAGCCTGCAAGATCTGCACTGACAAAGTGACAGGCGGGCGCCGACTGATCAAACTGCACTACAGAGTCGATACGAACTGTGCTGTGCGCAGAGCTGCAGAGTTGAACGTTTTCTTGGCGGGAAAACTCTTTTTCACTTGTTTTTGTGCCATCCAGGGATTTTGAGAGAAATCCAGGGATTCTGCATGTCTTGTCAAGGGATTGAGATTGTGGTGGTTGGTCAAAATGCTGCTATCACCGGAGCTCTGCTCGACTTCTTCACTATCTTCTGCACTGCATGTATACCTTATCCTCTTGTCATCAATACAATGTGTTTTCTTCAGATCTTCTAAAGTCATGACTGCGTAAGCCACACTGTGGTGTAAAGTACTGCGGGGCGTAGAAGAACGGAACGGACAGATCTCACCAAACACTGCATACCGCTATACAGGTGGAATCCTGATAATTCGAATATGGCTTAATTCGAACATGCCGCTTAATTAGAAGTTTTTCCAGGACCGATTTCTATCAATGCGAGTCCCGCATAAATTTTGATAATTCGAACCTCGAACTGGATATGTCCGAAGTCCCACAGATTCCACTTACATAGAAAATGTGTGGGATTTGTGCTGATAATTTGAAGTTAGCAAAGTGTAATTCGAAGTTCACTGTACACTGTACTGGTCAGTTCAGTTTGCATGAGCAGGCTGTGCCGGTCAGTTCAGTATCCGCGAAATCTGTGTCTAAGGTCCATAGCGCAACTCTGCGTGACCATGAGAGCATTTTGACATACATATTAATGATATTGTGTTGTGGGTGCATGTTTGGATAATTAGAATGTCCGGATAATTAGAAGTTTTTTCCTGGCATTTTGAGGTTTGAATTATCATGATTCCACCTGTAATAATGATGAGGTGACTCGGCCATAAACTGTAGTGTATGAAAAAAATAAGAACGGCCTATGGCTGATCACCCTCCCTCTGTTCTTCGCCACTCCATCCGTATTGCATCGGAACCAGTGCGGCAGGTGCTGCCAAAGCAGGGGCGTCGGACACGGTACGGTCACTACGGTATTGACCGTACCACTTTTTGCCTCAGGTACCCCGTGAATCAATAAAATACACTGATCTGCTCTAAATTTCCAAAATTTTCGCCTCCGCCATCCTCCCCCACAAGTAAACTGCACTTCAGATGACTGACCGTATCACACTAAAAATACCTTCCGACGCCCCTGCAAAGCCACTGATAATGTTTGTCTTGTGATTTTTGAAGCAATGAAATGTGGACCATTTGGGTCCAATTTTCCAAAAAGGATTCCCAGGGGAGGGCCCCGGACCCCACGTACCTCTTCATGGCCGCACCAATGTCGAATGCCTCCCGACGCCCCTGTCTAAGACTCATACAAGTACAGTTAAGTGCCAGTGCAGCCAGACCCTCGACTCACGCAACCTTCATTTCTCAACTGACTCAAAATCTCCAAGTGACAAGTACTACAAGCTGGCATGTGGTCCATTGACATTGTGAATTTGTGGTGCATGCCGGTGAGAAGCCCCTCGCCTGGGCAACAAATAATATTGACAGTCTCAGTCTACTTACCACCTCACTTACCCAACACGGTAACTAAGGGTTAGGTTGTAGGCTATGTCACACCTTGACCTGAGGGAGCGCTAGCGCCAATTCTACAGGTGACACTTCAATGGTGTGAGTCTGCTGCAGGGTCGGGGATTACACAGCAGTCCGCCCGCCTGGCGAGCTCACTCGAGCTCATGCAGACAAGGACTTAGGTGCTTAGTTGGCTGCAAGGAGGTTGGTTGGTGTTCAGCGTCTACCATTAGCTGGTCTACATCATTGGAAGAGCTTCTTTTTTCCTTTCTCTCTGTGGTAGCCTCCTGGAGAAATGTATCTCCTTGCCATGGCGGGTGGTTGATAGCTTGTGGCGTCGCTTGCAGCGTCCTTTGACACGTTTATGGACATGTCTCACTTATCTCGCCATTTCCTGCTGTGGAGGTTCACCTTGTCGGACCGGAATTTCAGCATGTTTTCCTCAGCGGCTCCATGCATATCGGCAAGTCAGTCCTTCTGCCAGAGGCTGCAAGGTAAGAGATGATTTCCAACTCCAGAGTCTGCTGAAGCGAAGAAATGTTGTGTATCCGGGAATTTCCTGTCGAAGTAACAGTTTGAGGTGATCTTTCCAACGGTAAATGCTTCTTTTCGACTCACGTGACATGACTGTAGTATGTTCCTATTGTTAGTGGATAGCGGTTATCATGGGTATGAGGTTTTGTGAAATTATCGGTTTCAAAACCTCTTTTCGCGAAGTACTGCTACTAGACACAGCGGTATTTGGGCTGCTGGAGCGCTAGAAGTTGTGGTGTTCCTTCAGCACCGTCCGAATATTTTAAAACTTCATTAACCAACTCAATCGCAAATATTTAGGGTAAATCCCCCCGCTGAAGAACCTAGGGAGTGGTACATGCACTTTCCAATGCTGGTTTCTTGCTGAGTGTAGCGTTTCGATATGCTGGTTGTGTGCTTCAGACGGCGGTCATAAATCAACCAAGCGTCAGCAGGAAGTGCGACCTCCAAAGTAGGGAGCAGCCGCCTCCACTGCTCCACATATTGCCAATGAAGTCGTGACTTGTGAGTACCGTAGTCAAACTCACTTGACTCGGGGGTAAAACTGGAGTCAACTTTGGGTATAAGTTATAACGACACTCGGCGGGGCATAAGGAAAGTGTCCTTATTCGCGAAGTTTCGTTATATACCCGAACTGTCTCATTGTAGGTATTACAGTTGGATGGGACTTTGCTCTGGGCATGGAAATTCTGTCGTTATTCGCGAATTGTCGTTATATCCGCAGTCGTTATTAGCGAAGTTGACTGTACTGAAAAAAGCTGAGCTACTTCTGGACAGCCGGGCAATAGCTGGCCTGTCAAACTGCATGGATACGTCCTGTGACCATTGATTTGACTGTCTCGGCCAGCACTCTGTTTTCCATATCTGTGCACCGTATTATTAATTTTGAATAGTCAACGTGGAGATAATAACCGTAAAATAGCTATGAACAAACAACAAAGCAGCAAATGTTTAGTTACAGAACGTTTTCTTGTCACATTTATCAATGGAATCTCACAACTGAGAGAGAAAAGAGATAAAGAGCAGTTGGATATATACACTTGAGTTTTTAAGGTGACAGCATGAAAATAATATTTCATGCTGTCACCTTAAACTCAAGTGTATATCACGTATTAGTTATCACTATTATTATAGTTTGAAACTCGGTTTCTCTTCTACATTTATTATTATAGTGATAACTAATATGTGATAACCATTCGTAAAAGATTAATAGGGGAGTGCGATGGATGTTAAAAGTGTAATCCTAGGATAGTAATGAAACAAGTATGTGAAAATGCATCGGTAAAAAAAACATCCCTCACACTCCCCTAATAATCTTTTACGAATGGTTGCCGCGTATTATTTGTGTGAATATCATTATTTTTCACGCTGTCACCTTAAGGTTCAAGTGTATATAATCCTAATCCTACTGCCGTGTATCTCTTTTCTGTCAATCACGAGATTCCATTGATAAATGTGACAAGAAAACGTTCCGGAACTAAACCTTTGCTTCTTTGTTGTTTGACATGAGCGCCAGTTTAATTTTATTCATAGCTTATTTCTTTCTTGGAGATGGGAAGCTTATCAAGGAAAGAAAAACTACAAATCTCAAGCTATTCTTTACCATCATCAGCAATAAGGACTCCGAAATTCATGAACCAGTTTTCGGGCATTCTCTTCAAATGAAATACAAGCACCCAGAACCAATGAAACATAGGGATAAGTAGCATCACAAGGGTGGCAACCATTACAACAAGGTGATAAATTTAGCGAAGGGGTGAAAAGAAAAAGGGAAAGAGAGAAAGAGAAGGTGAGAAATGAGACAAGAGGAACAAAAACACACACTGTGTAAAGACAAACACCAAAATAATGGATGCTACGTTAACTAGTGGGATCAGGGGGGTTAGTAAGCAAGAGATATTACATTTTTCTTTTGTTTACACAAAGGTGGCTGGAATCCAATACACCACACCACCACATTGCGCTCTTGGCCGATCCAAACTCTGCACTCACATCACCATCACCACAGCGGGGACAATTCCGGTATATATATTGATATTGACAATGACCCTCCAGACAGCTGTTTCGCTCCTCCTGAGCTCATCAGTGGAGGCATATGATGTTGAATGAAAGAATAATAAGAATGGACTGATCTTTATAGGGCTAAATTGGCGCAATTGCGCTCATTCTGCATAGAAACGTGGCATACCCTAAGTGACAAAAGTGACAAAAGTGATAACAAGGTCAGGTGATAACGACACGCGCTCATGACTGGAACAGGAACATGTAGCACGTGTGAAAAGGGGGCGCAAAAAACTGCAGTCAGTCTAACACCAGAAAAGTTAGTTATTGCATGTGCCACAAAAGAAAGGTACTGCGGCTGACTGTACTTGTCCCATAGTGACGTGACGGGGAACGAACGACGAAGCGAAAGTGGCCGACACGGCAGACCCAGAGGCCCCTGGGGCAATCATTGTCCTGCCAGCCACACCACGCCACCAATACCCGTTCAACATGTACACTGATTTTGCCTGCGCTTTCAGTCAGCATCTTCCGCCGCAAAACAGCCACTTGACACACACCCAGAAGCCCATGGGGCATTCACTCCAGTCAGGGCTGTGCTGCGTCCGATGCTGCTAAATTTTGATCTAGCGTTTGATGTTGAGGAACTATCCCGCTTGTCTTGTAATTTCACTGTCGCTTAACGGCGCATTCGAATAATGGCCAGGTCGTCTCGGTCGTCGTTACTTCTTCTCAAAGGTGGCTGGGTAGTGTAAATATAAAATTATTAGTTTCTAAGACCTTCAGATGGGCGAGGCCACGCACACGGGTACGTGACAAAACAGAGAAGTGGCTATCAGAATACACACGAGCACAATCAGCATTCGCAATGAGGTGGTTGGCAACAGAAGAATCATATTCACGATCAACAGAACAAACATTGACACTTTAGCCAGGACCACAGTCAGACGTCTCCAGTGTAGTCCCTGCCAGGCGCAGAAGTCGGCACCACATCAGTTGCCTTTGACACTTCCGTTGACTCTGCTGGTGACGCTACCATTGACCCTGCCGTTGACTCTGCCGTTAGCACTGCCGTCCACTGTGCTGCTGCTGCTGCTATTGACCCTGCTGTTGGCGGTGTCACTGAACCTACCAATAGAGACGCACCAGTTGTTGTTGCTGACCCTGCCATCGACACTGCCATCGACACTGCCATCGACACTGCCATCGACACTGCCATCGACACTGCCATCGACACTGCCATCGACACTGCCATCGACACTGCCATCGACACTGCCATCGACACTGCCATCGACACTGCCATCGACACTGCCATCGACACTGCCATCGACACTGCCATCGACACTGCCATCGACACTGCCGCCGTTGCCAAGGTTGTTCTACCCCTGCATTTAGGTGGAGATCCGCCTCCGCGAGAGCCGCCTCTTGGTGATGGTCGTTGCACTCACAGATCCACGCCGCCTCTTGGTGATGGTCGTTGCACTCACTGCCGTTGTTGTAGTCACATCTAGCGACTTACGCGGGTACCCCTGACACCTTCGGGAAGTAACCGCTGTCGACACTTCCATCGACACTGAAACGGACGATGATGACGACACCAGCGACTGGGAGGACACAGCACTGGACACCACCCCCAGGGAGACGCTTCGGAGGAGGACGGCCTCTCCGCGGCCGTGTACAACGCTGATCCTCAGGCATCGCATGCAATGGGACATGCCGACGGATACGTGCATCCAGGTGCTGAAGAGTCCTACCCACATACCGACTTTCACATTGGGAGCCATCGTGGTCGAGCTGTGTAGAAAGTCTGTAGCGGCTGGTGAAGTGCCACTAAGCATAAGGGATACGGAGTTCAGTGGGGTGATTATCCTGTACCTTTCGATTGCACCAAAGACCCACTGGCCTTCCCTCCATTGACCGCGATGATACTTCCGGTGAAAGTACTTCATCGATTTCCACAACCCCCCCCCCAGATGGTATGGGTTATTGGTGAGGTACTCAGCTGTCACGCCTCGGAGAAAGTTGTACCAGTCGAGCAGTGGCTTCTCCGTCACCTTGTAACATTTGAAAAGTTCTTCACCGGCTCTTGCTTGGCCCAGAAGACGATGACCGCCATCAACAAATCTAGAGGCAAATGGCTCCGTTGGAAGAATGAGCCAACACGGACGCTTTTGACGTAGCCGTCACATTGGCACCGCCAACGATATTCATCAATGCCTCCATTGTGCACCGAAAAGGAACAGCGTTGATTGCATGTTGGATACACATGAACGTTAGCAATCAAGCCGTAACGTTCCACTAGCTCTATTCCACGCACGAGACAGAACTCAACAATGATAATGCCAAGGAATATCATCCTCTTGAGCACACCGTTGAAATCCAATAATTCCTCAGGTGGAACAATAATATTTACGGGGGCTTTTTTCAATACTGAAGCGAAACTTAAAATGTTTCAGTTTTGCGGTCAAATAACCGTGAGAAACGTATGAGAAACGATTGAAACTACTGCACCGGCTGTTGGGGCCCACAGTCCTTATTATTTGGATATGAAGAAGAATCCTGAATCGTGGAATCTTCGTATCTGGCATGTGGTGTATATGGTATGGATATGGAGATTCCACGATTCAGGTTTCTTTTCCTCGTAAGGTGCATAGCCATAGATACGGTGCCAAACAGAGTGCTGGCCGAGGCAGTCAAATCAATGGTCACAGGGCTTGTCCGTGCAGTTTGACAGGCCAGCTGATGCCCAGCTGTCCAGAAGTAGCTCGTCGTTTTTTCAGTGGATACACAAGTGCCTAGTAAACTCCAGTAGTAAAACCACTCAGGAACATGTTTTTTTCTGGGGAACTATCATTACAGCGTAAAATCTAAATTTCACTACTTGCGGTCTTGGGTGTGCTGAGCCGAATGGTTTTGGTGTGAGGAAGCTAAGAAACTCCCATCATCCTATATAGTATATTCCCAACTGAACTCGCACACTTCCCCTGAAACTGGATGAGTGTGTATTATTAGATAGGTTTTGTTTGGAAATTCACTGAAAGCGTCACATTGTTCTTGTAGAAGCACGGGGGGGGGGGGGGGGGGGTGCATGGTGAAACTCTCAGACTGTGACCTGCAGTCTTCTGGACGCCGAGTCGATGGTCGTGGTCTAATGGGGTCGTGATACAGCACTAGGCCCATATTCCCAATCGAATGCGGTCACACAGTGATCTGTACATCTGTGACAATACTGGTGCAGTGCACCGTGATCCTGTGTGTACTGGCGTGCAGCAACATGCACACATCACATTACCATAGCGCTGCTCAATGAAATCCGATCAAGCAAGCCAATGCCACTCCGGGCGCTGTATGCAGCCCTAGACTTGCGAACACTGGGGCGTGAACTGGCACAGGGCGCACACTATTCACGCAAACGATTTTCATTGAGCTGCACAGTAGTATGCGCTACATTGTATATTGACGACCATCCACTTGTCTTAGTGACTCGACGAGCTGTCTGTGCATGTAGAGTTGGTCTACCATGATTTACGGTCTACAAATGTACACCAGTTCCCACGTATTTGCAGTTTTTGCACATTCATAAATAGCTCTATTGTTCTTAGTTTCCTCGGATCAAGACCGTTACTCCGTACCCCAAGACGGAGTTGTGAAATAAGATTTTACTTCCCCTCTTTGAATTTGAATAGTATAAGAATCCCCCCCCCCCCCCACACACACCTCATTTTGTCATTGCATGAGAAGTACCTCGAAGAAGTATTTAAAATACAGTCCTTAACAGTCCTGATCATTTCGAACTTCCTGAAGCCTTTTCTCCTTGAGGAACTGCAAGCGTGAGCGGCAACTGAGTTAGATTTTGTTTCATTCGAAATGGAAAGCTCGCCAGCATTATGCTACAGTAGTAACAGTAATGCTAGAGGCTGATAGGACTACCGTTCCTTCCATTCCCGCTATCTCTCTTATACTAGTTCTGCCAGTACTCTATACACTTCACGCTGGACTCTACAGGATGATGTTCATTATCAGTTGTGCCTATTGTCTATCCTCACATTCAACACACTCGGTTAACAACTAGGCAGACTTATCTATGTGAGTACACCGACAGACAACACCAAGGAGGCGAGCAAACCAAGCAGGCAAGCAAGGCAGTACTGCCACGGACAGCAATAGTCGGAGCAACAGGTATGTAGGTATGTAGAATGGCAGCAGCTAACGTGTTAGACTAGACTTCTGTGCAGTACGTGACGGCATGACCCTTGTATGGCCTTACATGTTTATAATTAACTATACAGTTGACATCGGTTAGTTAGTCTGTTCCTCTTTAGCCAGTTCTCTGTGTTCATGAAGAGCAGCCTCTACGGTGGCCGTGAACTAGAAAGTAGCGTGTATTCCAGGCTAGGAGAACGAGTTTTTCAGATATAATCCTGCAAAAGAAAGAAAGGGGTTCTATGTATATACTGTGTGTTGTCTCCGACTCGGTACAGCTGACTTCACAGACGTATCATCATGATTACTTGATGTAGGTTAGATGTTGTTCAGATTCGGTAATGATTCCGCTTTGCATCCAGCGTAGCACAAGTCATGAGGTTGTTTCATGCCAGCGTAAAGCACAGATTACTGCTGTCCACTACTTGTAGCCGCCCTGGTATGACCTTGCTAGAAGAAGAGACAACACTTTACTGTACTGTTTTTACGGTTCTGGAGCTGGGAACTGGCATCTGATTTGGAACTCGTCTTTCCGTCTGATGCTGTCCACAGCTGCATCCAGGTCTGCCAGGAGCTGCGTCACCTCGCCATCCATTCTTGTCAGCGTCCTTCTATGTTCTACCGTGCTGTTGTACACCACTGCAAGAAGAGGACAAGGACAAGAGTGCAAGAGAAAAGGGGGAAAATAAAGTAATCTTCAATCTCATTTACCCATGCAATGGCACGGAGCATGTTACGAGATATGGCGAAATGGTGGTGAATCACGGGTACATAATGCTTTGAAAATAATAGATGCATTGTTTCATGGTCTGCAATCCCCAGTTATGCATACCTTCCACATCTGGACAGAAGTCCTTGTCCAGGGAGAAAAGGTGTTGCTGACATGCATGCATGTCCTACACATCCGTGTTGAGCTGTCGAGCACTGACCGGCATCTTACGCAGTCAACGTGCAACCAGACATGCTCAATCAAAAGTTCTACATTGACCCTTTCCGTAGCACACCAAAACTTCATCCTAGCCTGAAGGTCATGTTTGGTCTGGACTTTCATGTTGTCAGAAAGATTTCTCCAGTGAAGCCTCATGCAGCAGTCATTCCTCACCCTCAGCTCGCATGCGATACGTGTCCATCTCCTGGCGTGCAGTATCGGTGCGGTTCACCAAGTCAAGCGACAACTGGAGACGTTGGTTGATGGCAGCGTCGGCATCCAGCAGCACACCAAGAACTTGACTGGAGCGAGATGCAAGATCCCCGGCCATCTGTGAGGAATCACACATCAACGTAATAGAGCTACACGGCTGGTTCACTCCGATGCCACCCCATGCAACCAGTGATGCCACCCCATGCAACCAGTGATGCCACCCCATGCAACCAGTGATGTCACCCCATGCACCCCATGCAACCAGTGATGTCACCCCATGCAACCAGTGATGTCACCCCATGCAACCAGTGATGTCACCCCATGCAACCAGTGATGTCACCCCATGCAACTAGTGATGCCACCCCATGCAACCAGTGAGTTTGTTTTGACTGTTTAGGAGCAGGAGGTTAGATGTTCCAGTTACACTATAATGTGACCATTCAAAAATGACCAGGTACTTGGGTCTGTCATCCAACATACAAATGCGATAATTATCGTTTACCGTTAGCCTTCAGTGTATTGCAAAACTGAGATGCGTTATCGTGCATCTAGTGTCACTATTGAGTGTAATGTACCTGAGTCACGTTTCTGGAATCTTCTCTGAGTAAGGTTTGTGATGCTTGTATCGTATCCAACTCCTGTCCTGTTTCTTCATGCAGCTCTTCCACATCATTGAGAATGTTGAATGCCGTGCTCAAATCTGCCTGGGCAGCAGTGCGCAACTGAACACTTCGTGCCAGAGAAGCCCTTGCCTGGACACAGCAGAGTGAAAGGAAATGAGCAGGAGAAACCGAGGCAAAGTAGGTACACAAGTACATTCTAACACTGGCAGGGAATAGATAGCTTGTTTTGCTGCTACTGTTAGTACTGGTATCCACACATCATTCTCACTGCAAGTACTGTACATTTCTTTTACACGAAATAGCCTGTGAAGAGGCTGTGGCTTATACCGCGGTGCAGCTGAGACCCTGGAAGTACAGTACACTGCCATTCTGCTAGAGATAGAAAAGTACTATAGTCACAGTGTAATGTGGAATCAGGAATCAGTCCGCTTCCTAGCAACACCAGCAAAGCTATGCACCTGAGTGCAGTCAACATTCTTACACTACAAGGGGTTATGGCAAAATCTAGTTAGTCGTAATTGGCTAAGTGCCTTGCCAAAGCCGATCCATCCAATACTTTTTTTAATAAATTAAAGCTCTAGGTTTGGGGTTCCTCAACTGGAGCCGGATGTGAATGGCTGAAATTGAGTCTGGACATACTTAGTGTATGCTGTGGGGTTTTACGGAAGTAAAATGTGGGTCGGTGTTATTGAAAAGTACTCTTTGGAACACGTTCAGATTGGTGCAGGCAGTACTGGGAGTTATCGATTGGAGTATGGTCCTGAATCACTTGAAGTCTCTGATCAATGCTCACCTACCATTCTATGTCTGTACCCTACCGATGCTGCAATACGTGCTAGTTGTGGATTGTCCCGGATATTTCGAGCAGTAACCATTTGAAACATGTGGAATTTTAGATTTTTTTTCTCCAGTAGAGTTTTCCGGCTTTTTTCTCCTTCCTCATGCAGAAGTTCAGCCATCAGCAAGCTGAGGAGAAAGCACTTGCTCAGCTCGATTGGTGTGAACGTGTGAAGTTCAGAGCCAGAATAGGCTAAAAAAGTATTATTATATTAGATTTTTTCATTTTAGATTCCTGTAGAATTTTCCGGCTTCTTTCTCCTTCCCAACTCTGGATATGAGCTTTGAACAATACCGCCACTTTTTATTTTAATATTACATGTACATCACGGCAAAAAACACTGATACGGTAAAAAATTCTTCTCTGGGAAGGTGTTAAACAAATCATTTCCATTGCCATAATATCCTTATTTGAACACTAAAAAAATTTCCCTGACATATCTACAAATTATTCATTCTTTGGCTTTTGCAAAATTCAGTCAGTTACACAGGTTCATGTCCTGGTGGTGGCAGCACATTTTTTCTTCAAAATTTTCCCTTTTCTCCCTCAAATGAATGAATATTTTACATAGTATAAAAATCTCAGAGTACAAAACAACTTCAGCTGAAATGTTTATGGAGTATGGAAGGACTGGAAGGGTGGGAGCAGGGATGGGGAGGCCTGGAATGTGCAGGAGGGGGGGGGGGGGGGGGTGAGGCATTCGGTATGGAGTGGGGGAGCAGGAATAGGGGCTGGGGTTCAGGGAGGGGGGGGGGTAAGGCTGGCGGGGGTCAGGGAGGGGGGGGGGGGTAAGGCTGGAACGTGCACGGAAAGAGGGTGGAATATGGGGGGGGGGGGGGGTAAGGCTGGAACGTGTACGGAAAGAGAGTGGAATATGGGGGGGGGGGGGGGCTGGAACGTGCACGGAAAGAGGCTGGAATATGCAGGGTTATTGGGGGGGGGGGGGGGGACTGGAATGTGCACAGAGAGAGGGTGATGCTGGGCTGAAATTTAAAGGAGGGGAGGCCAAACCCTGGGTGAAAATGCCTTCTTGCCTGCCTGTTCTGCCTGCCCACGCCACATAAACTTTGCTCTGGTCTCTAGTGTACACTGGCATATTGAGTGCACCAAGTCTATTCTACACGGAACTGTATAACAAATCAAGTGACAAATTGTTCCTTTAGGGGGGGGGGGGGGGGGGTACTGAGTATGGAGGAGTGTGGGACCAAGGAAGGTGCCTCTGTATGCTTGTAAGACGCAGTGGAAGGGGATAGAGATCAGGAAACTGGAGGAAATGTGCATATCCGAACAGACAGTGCATGTCTGCTCCATGAAACAGTACCAGGGGGTACCACCGTTCACCTTCAATATTCATGGAATAGGAGCACATTTGCCACCACTACCAGTACTGCTCAATGAAATGCGATTGCATGATTGCATGATTGCATGGGTGAAGTTTGAACTCTAAACTAGTGCACAACCCAGTGTTCACAGGTCTGGTGCTGCAACCCCCCCCCGGCCCCCCTCGACGTGATATCGACTTGCATGATCAGATTTCATTGAGCAGCACTGTATATGCACATGCATATTCTGAAAGAAAACTGATCTAATGCATGAGTCGGCACCCTGCACCAATAGTGCACAACCCAGAGCTAACAGGTCTGGGTGCTACTTGATCGGATTTCATTGAGTTGCAGTTTTGTTATTGTGCCTAGTACTTACGGCTTCGTGCGTATGTTCTGTCTCATTAGCCGTGATGTTCAACTGGCGGACAAGCAGCATTGCGTCTTCCTGGATAGCAGCTGCCTGGACGAGCACCGTTTCCAACTGCAGTGCGGCCAGTAATGCAGCTTGTGCTTCGGCACTGAAGAGCACACATACACAACAGTACATCACAACTAGGTCAACAATACATGGTGCTGTGGCTGGCGGGGTTTCTGACGAATCAGGGCTGCTTGACCTGATTTGTCAGGTATAGCCGTTACCAGACCAACTCTGGCAAATTTTACATTTCTGACTGAGAAATTGCTTTAGGATACTTCTGGGGAGAACCCTCCTCCACCTCCCACGGATCCCCTCTCCCCACACTGTACCAACTTCAACTGCCTTATGGCATGCCTGGAAATCGCTGGGAGAACCCTGGTTGGTTGCCAGGGGCACGGTTACCTGGACCAGCATACTTTTGATCACGTTTTCACAACACCACAAAGAATTCCCCGCCAGTTCTGAGATTTATCAGACTATATTCGGTGACCGCAGTAAACCATAGCTAAATGTCCAGCACCAGCACAGTTGTGGCAACTGAGGTCTGTCCTGGTTACCATGGCGTTGCCATGGGCATTGCACAGAGTGTGACAGACTGCTTGTAGTGTGGTGACTGTTCATTCCCTGACATTGTGAAGCTCAACTGCCACAGTGTTCGGAACATGATGTACCCTGCCATAGAATCGGTTGTGGCAACAAACGCGATTAGGCCGGCTGCAGGGACGCCGTAATGTCTCACTCGCCCCAGCACCATTCAACAATTCCCTTTGGCAGGTCACGGCACGAACTTCAACAAAGCCCCGTGAATGCGTACCAGGAGAAGGCTAGACAGCATGTCTCTAGACATCAATAGGCATCGTATGAAAAGCCAGTCAATAGCACTAAAGAGCGAAAGCCTTTGTCACGGTTCGGTTTCACTCGCGCACCGGGCCCGAGCTGGCAGCACAAACAAACGCCGGACGCGAGCTGGCAGCACAAACAAACGCCGTACTCACACGAGCGTTGGGCGAACGGATGGCCACAGCCATCAAAAACAGGAACAAACCCATCCACGGCTCTTTCTCTTGCTAGCTGTGCTGCTGCGTGCATCCAACTGTTTTGCAATTTCTCCCTCCCACCCACGCCTCCTGGTATTTATTATCGCTCTACACTATCCTACGTCTCACAATGAGTGCCACTCAGCATGATGGTACTCCAAGCTACATTGTATTTGATCTGTCCTAGCTCACTATTCTGGACAAAATATTAATTCAATTGCAATGAAGCGCCGGGGGCCGGCGGGGGCATTCGGCGGCTTGGTCTGATTCCTAGCTTGTTGGTAACCGGCTTGAGATTTCCAAGGTTGCTATGACAACGTGCAATCATGCGCAGGGCCACCCAACATGCATTTGGGGGCCCAGGAAAGACAGAAACGCGTTGCTAGGCAACAGCAAAAGCGCTCGGCGAGTATCACGCTACTCATGCAGCACGTACGTTGGCTTAGGGTATCACGCTACCCTTGCGCTGCGGGGTACCACATTGCCCCTCGCTGGAATCAGACCCGCGCCCCGGATACCTTGCGCTGGCCTCCTGACGGCCAAACTCAACCAACTACTTGTGCGCTGTGACTGGGGTTGTGCATGTATTAGCAACATAATGTGGCCGAGGTCGGCAGACTTTCAATTAGCCAAGCGAGCTACTCAGGCCAGGGTGCATGATCACTATTCGCAGCACTTATCGTCCATGCAGCAGTCGGGTTAATTACATTTCGAGATGCTTCCTATGTTGTGCATGGCGTGGGGAGCATCTCCGAGACAGGTGCTGTCTCATAATATCCGTCCACGAGCTGTCACAGTTTACTAATGACGACCGCTGCTCAAACGAAAGGTTTTAGATTTCACAAGCTGTCCCTGTTGCCATGTCAGTTGGGCAAGGAGTGAGTTGCCAAAGCATACAGTAAATGTCTATGTCCGGAAGTGGCTACTTGCAACAGCAGACAGTGTTTTACATTCTTAGTTTGGTTTGGTTTGGTTCGGTTTGGTTTTTATTATTTCAGTTCGTCGCCTCAACAGTACAAAGTATAAATATCAATCTTACTGCGGCATATCGCTGAAGGAAAGAAAAACGGACTCTTTCCTGGTACAGTAAAACCGGTGACTAACGACCACCCCTTGGGCCCAGAGAAAGCGGTCTTTAGTGACAGGTGGTCCTTAGTTAGAGGTGCACAGCACAACCACATAATATGAATGTGAGACCGTCCGTGCCTGGCGAAGTGGTCTATAATACCAGGCTGGTCGCTAGTCACGGTGGTCTTTAGTTACAGGTTTTACTGGTAATTACTTACTCAACTGCAGTAGCATTATCAAACAGAGTTTTGGCCAGTGACAGTGATGATTCCGTATCCGACATAATCGTGTCCACTTCACTAGCACTGATACCAGCAAGCAGTGTGCTGATATCTGCCACCAACTTGTCCATCTGTGTAGAAAGAAGCAAGCAGAAAGACGTCAGGAATGTACCCCGAGTGACATGTTTACTGCACGCCCTTACGATCATCTCTGTACTAAAAACTTGGCAACCGTACAAATTTAAGACTCATAAGGATTATGTGTCAAACGGTATGACAGTCTTGATGAAAGCTGATAGTGAAAGACTGTCATGCTAAGCTAAAATTCCGACCCCATCTCCAGGCTAATCACCAAGCTAGTCTTGCTATAATGATCTCACACAACATACTGACATGCAAAGCTCAATTACCCGGGCCAAGATAATGCTAGGACTACATCATAACTGCCACAACTACACTGCATTTAAATTTGTTGTATCACACACACACCCATGCATACATCCACTCATACATGTACCCATGCAACGACCCATGCATGCACCCATGCATGCACCCATGCATGCATGCACACATACATGCACTCATGCATCCGCTCATACACACACCCATACACACTGGGGTGCATTAACCAGTGCATTCGCCCACCGTACAGCTCAGTTATAAGCACCACTATGCATTCAATACAACCAGTCACCTGCCTCACCTCAGTAGAGTTATCCGAAAGTGTCGTGGCCAATCGCTGACGTAACACAACCAGCAAAGCTTGCATAGCTGCCCTGTTGCCGGCTGCGCTTGATTGCAACTCTTCAATCGTGTCCTTACGCTCACTGGCACTAGCGGATACGTCGGAAGAAGTGTCTGCGAGGTTACTGGCAAACTGCTGTGCCTGTTCTACTGGAGTACGAGTAGCAGTGACATTGCGTGACATCACAGCAATCTGTGCAGCACACAGTAACACACAGTACAGCACAGTACAGCACAGTACAGCACAGTACAGCACAGTACAGCACAGTACAGCACAGTACAGCACAGTACAGCACAGTACAGCACAGTACAGCACAGTACAGCACAGTACAGCACAGTACAGCACAGTACAGCACAGTACAGGTCAATAAGGTAGTCAGTCATGCACATGTACACATACTCTGCAAAACATGAATCGACCTTATGCCATTTGTACAGATCCACGAAATCCCGTAGAATCCCGTAGACCCGGTAGGGTGTTGAATGTGCAGGACCCAATGGTGTTTTCTGCTATTTCCACTAAGAAATGGGGCCTGAAGGCATTTCATACGAAAACCTTTTCTGACAAGGATCTAGCTAGTCATTAGTTCTAACCAAAGTGAAGTAGCTGGAAAAGCGATTGCTGGTCATTGAATTATGAAGCTAAAAAGGTCAAATGTGCATGCATGGCACACAATGAACACCCTACCGGGTCTACGGGATTCTACCGGATTTCGGGACCCGTACAAATGGCATAAGGTCGATTCAGGCTGGGAAACTGGGTATGATCACGTGACCAAGTAACTGGGTATGATCATGTGACTAAGCAAAAGTGTATGATCATGTGACTAAGTAACTGGGTGCTACCATGTGACAAATGAACTTGGAATGATCAGGTGACTGAGTGACTAGGTATGATCATGTGACTGAGCAATCGAGCCCCAGATCTGTGATCACTGGGCTGTGCACTGGTGCAGGGCGTACACTTGACTCATGCGATTGGATTTCACTGAAAAGCGCCATAGTGCCCATGACAGCACTGTTTAGACTTGAGAGAGTGCTGGTGCTAAGACAGCTTGGTTGTGTAGTGCAAGTACAGCTTGGTTGTGTAGTGCAAGTACAGCTTGGTTGTGACAACGATGTACTTGAAGTACTCTTCTGGACATTGAAATCCGTTGGAAAGTCAAGCGGCCGCAGGGCGCTGGCCTTGCAGCCGCAAGCACTGCCGGTCCATTCGTATAGTGTGTACACGAGCTGCAGTGCGTGTACACACTATGGCAGTAAGGACACCAGCCCCGGTCACTGCACCGGATTTCAATGTCCACACCAGTAGATGTACAGTGCCGGTATATGCTTACGCTATCAACAAGGGCTTGAATGTCCTGAGTTCTCTCTGCCACTGCAGCGAGTGTAGCATCTGCTAACTGGATGGCTTTGCTGGAGTTGCCGGCTGCTGAATTGCAACTATGGTCGCCAAGGCACACAGCACAACGAAGACCACCACATCCAGCTGAGCCCGGCGCACAGCCGTCAGCACCATCGCGACTATCCGTACCGCACATGCTTTTGTCCAGGTCTCCCAGTGTGTCGAGCGCCGCGCGAATACGTGCTTGCAGCTCCTCAAACTTCTCCTGGTTCTGGCCAAACATGGCCATGTACTCTGGTGAGGATAGCGTGGAATTGATGATGTTCAGCTGGCGTAGTGTTCTGGCCAAATGCTGACCACCCTCACTCACTGCCAACACACACCATACGCAGGAGACAGTGGACAACATGGCAATATCAATACAGTACCTAGCCAATACAACTACTTCTCATGTGTTTTTATCAGAATTTGCTCATATGTCACACACAGTAATTCATAAGGCATACACCACAGTAATTCATGAGGAGAGTAGGCAGCTCATCATGAGTCACACCCAGCTAGTCACGAGGCATTGAAAAAACAAGAAGAGCAAAATCTGTCTCTAGCGACCATTGCAATATGCTGAGCAAGCAGCTGTTACGCACCAGTCATCATCATCTCAAAACCATTCGGTTCCACACTACACACACAGGAGATAGGAGGCTGTTTGTCAACAACAGCCTACTATCTCCTGCAATTATGTGTGTGTGTTGCTCCGAGGCTGCACTCTAGAGTGCAATGAGAACTGTTTCGTGCTTCCCCCACAGGCCCTGATTGTAGATGAAAGTGTTGATCACTAACTCTCCAACATAATACAGACAAGGAGCACTAACGGTTACCATACAGTGCCCGAACTAACTACTTACCCGGCAGGTACAGCTGAGATAGTCGTGTTATGGAGTTAGTAGACGAGGCGCTAGCATTCTCCGCCACACTCAAGTCAACATAGGGAACTGGCATGTAGCCTTGCAGCGTACTGCTCAGCTCCTGGATGTGCTGCTCGACATCGCGTAGTACGCTCGCATTGACGTCGACCAAGTGGCGTGAGATCTGTGCTGCTTTGCTACTCTGTTCCAGTGCTGCATTCTTAGCAATGCTGACGTCATCGCTAATTCTCTGGATATCTTCTTCGAGCTTAGCAAGTTGCCTGCAGAGTCAGTAAAGAAAGCCAACACAGCAAAGCCACATATTGGGAATGCAATTGGGCAATACACAACAGTGTGAGTCTGCCATTCACACTGGGTTTACACTGAAAACTCTACATTAGCACATTCAGTAGCCACACCATATTGCATGGATACGAATGAAGCATGTCCAGCACACGCACACGCACATGCACATGCACGTACGCACAAACACACATACGCGTAGGGAGAGTATCTTGGAGTTCCCTCATTGTAGACCATAAAAGCACTGTGCATACACAGTCTCTGCCGTTGCCATGGCATCATGGCTACCTGATACAGTAACACAGTATACCCAGTGTCCTGTGTGTCGGTTAAGATTACATCTGTCTGCATTATGTCCTGTGTGTAGGATAAGATTACATCTGTCTGCATTCTGTCAAGTGGCTTCATACAGAAGGTCACTACCACCTCCTGGCAAACCATTGTTGGCCTGAACGTTCTAGGAGACGAATATCATGCATTTCCCTTCACACAGTAATACCGTTAAGTACAGCGAGAGCGCTCCACCAACTCGTCCGTTTGTGGTCGTGCTGTGGAGGTGGTGTCCGGTCTGAAGGTCATACGATGCGTACCTTGTACACATATCGCACGCTGTACACCTATTCCATACTAGGTTTAGCTTTGACCTCCGCACAAAAACCTGCTAAGCATGACCTTAGAATACTGCCCAGCTGTCATACACACACATTCACACAGCTCTAAGCTGTCACTCACTCGGAGCCTGGCAAAGCAATTGACAAACCCTCCTATTCCCCAAACTGGTTGCTCGTTGTGTGAGTGCGGCATGCAGATGCTTGTGTTAACCTAAACATGTCTCCACAAAGATATGATCACTCACAGATTGACAGCTTCAACAAGTGTTTCATTCAGGTAGGATGCATCCAGGTAGCGACTGGCGAACTCTAGCTCGCGCTGAATGGCTTGGAGAGTTTCACTGTACGTGCCAGCAAATCCTCCCTCACGTAATAGCTGTGCACGCATTCCAGTCTGATGAGATAGATAGGATGGGCATACAAATGTAAAAAATATGAAACCTGCTTAAAGGGGAAGTTAAGGCAAAAATTAAAATTTCAAGAGTTGTAGTCTTCGGGGTGCTGAGTCGAATGGTCGTGGTCCGAGGAAGCTGAGACGCTCCCTTCCTACTTGAATCCCAATCGAACTCGCGCACTTCCACCGAAACTGGGTGACTGCGCCCTACTAGATGGGGATTTGTATGCAAAATGTCACTAAAAGCGCCATTTCGTTCTTATAAAAGCATGGATGACCGCGATTGGCCCATATGTTGTAGTCTTTTGGACGCTGAGTCGATTGGTTTTGGTCCGAAAAGGCTGCGATGCAGCGTTCCTCCTTTATTCCCAATCGAACATGGTTGAAGAAGCGGTCACGTGCTCCTTGCTACACCAGTCACCTGGTCACCGTGCCTGCAGGGTACAACTTACTAGCCTGTTTTGACCTTTTTTGGGTGCAGTCCTGTCACTCGAGTTGAACTCGAGTTGAACCTTGGTGTGAAAGTTGTCGCCTGCTGGCGTGGTGACCAGGTGATTTGGGCACCCAGGAGCACGTGACCGCTTCTTCAACCATGTTCGATTGGGAATAAAGGAGGAATGCTGCATCGCAGCCTTTTCGGACCAAACCCAGTCGACTCAGCGTCCAAAAGACTACAACATATGGGCCAATCGCGGTCATCCGTGCTTTTATAAGAACGAAATGGCGCTTTTAGTGATATTTTTCATACAAATCCCCATCTCGTAGGGCGCAGTCACCCAGTTTCGGTGGAAGTGCGCGAGTTCGATTGGGATTCAAGTAGGAAGGGAGCGTCTCAGCTTTCTCGGACCAAGACCATTCGACTCAGCACCTTGAAGACTACAACTGGTGAACTTTTAATTTTTGCCTTAACTTCCCCTTTAAGCGACCACCCCACGGTGCAAGCAAAAGCGGCCGTTAAAGCGGTCTTTAGAACCAGGTACCACAGTGTCTGTGTACAACAAGACTGGTGAGTTCACGCCAATGATAGGACTGCTCTACACTCCAGTATCTTGTTGCCCCATGCAGCAGCTGATAATCTTGTACCCCCATGCAGCAGCTGATAATCTTGTTGCCCCATGCAGCAGCTGATAATCTTGTTGCCCCATGCAGCAGCTGATAATCTTGTTGCCCCATGCAGCAGCTGATATGCTAGATGATAAGTTGATACAGTAAAGCATGCCAAGTCCGCTACCTATCCTAGAAGAATACTGAAACTGGGATCAAGGGATGCTATTTCCAGTCAGATGACCCTGGATAAGGAGACCACCTGGTAACAGAGACCACCTGGTAACAGAGACCACCTGGTAACAGAGACCACCTGGTAACAGAGACCACCTGGTAACAGAGACCACCTGGTAACAGAGACCACCTGGTGACAAAGATCACGTTTTGAAGATCCATCGACAGATTTCACTGTAGTTTTAAATTCCCCGCCAATGCATAGAAAGCGTAAAGCAGGCATGCATGAGAATTTTGTGAATGTGTGATCTACCTTTCAGCAGCAGTATTACTTCACTGAACATTCTGGCTGGTATTACTGACCTGTCGGATGTGTAGTGCCATGTCCAGCACAGTCTTGTTCCAATCATCAAAACATTGCCCACAGTGTACACAGTCTGGTGGACCGTATGTACCCGCTGAACAACTGTACTCACACACAACACCACACAGACATACTACAGTAAAACCTGTCAAGGCGACCATTCAGTTAAGGCGATCCCCTGTCCAAGAGGACGACTATGACTAAGACCAAGGGATACCATTTCCAGTCAAAAGAGTCGAAATCATCCGGGAGAAGGAGACTAACTGTACACAGGGACTGCATTTTGAAGGTCCCTTGAGCGATCGCCTTAGGCAGGTTGCACTGAACATAGCAAACAGTATGCACACTTGTTTGCAAGTGCCATATTGTTTGGTTGTTTGGTTGGCATGGCTGTCGTGACATACAGCACAAGTGACCACAGCGAGCGTGCTGATGTGGGTAATGTGAACAGGCATGCGGCGGTAGTGCGAGCATGCAATGACAGTGCAGGTGATTTGAGTAGCATACTTTGAGCAGTAGGATGTAGCAGTGCACACGCGCGCACACGCACGCACGCACACACACACACGCACACACACACTCAGACTCAGACATGCCCATCGCGGAAGCGATGATAGCGAACAGCTATGTTAGACATAGCAACTTGTGCTGGGATTACACCATTCAACAGCTTGCAAGGCTGATGAACACACACACACACGCACACACGCACACGCGCACACACACGCACACACACACACACACACACATACTCACCGGCTCACTCACTCACACACTCACGCTCGCTAGTACGCACACTCGCACGCACATAGGCCAAACTACAAAAAAAGGAAATGAGAGTATGTGAGTGCTGACCTGTCACACTTCACCCCGGTGCTGGTTGGTTGACAGCGACATATCCCTGTGTCTTTGTCACACACTTGTGATAGGGAACCACCAGTACTGCAGTTGCAAGCTGTGTTAGAACAAACATGCAGCAGTAATACAAGATACAGACTCTAGCTTACCATGGGGTACTTGCACAACAGTGTCTCTAGTATCGCACATAGTCTAATAGGACAGTCTAGTCACAACACACACACACAGTATAGCGATTTATAAAGTCTGGAACACGTACACACAGAAACCCATACACACACGCACACATACACACAGAAGCACACACAGATTCACACACACGTACACACACGTACACACATACACCCATACACATACACATACACAGACAAACACACATACACGCAGGGGCGTAGGAAGCAGTTTAATATTGGTGCGGCGAAATTGTGAGAGGGGGTCCGGGGGCCCTCCCCTGGGATTTTTTGGAAAATTGGGCCTAAAAGGCCATTATTTTAATGCTCCAGAATAATATGAGAAATAAGAATATGCATGCTGATGATACACTGCATTGTCGATGTAAAACATGGTACCTGTACAAGAGTCGACAAGCCATCAACAAGGTTGAAATGTAAAAAAAATTAAAAAAATTAAATAAAAAAATTCGAAAATTATTGGTCCGGCGACCGCCGGGCCTGCCGGACCGGTTCCTACGCCCATGACACGTACACACATGTGGCACACACACACACACACACACACACACACACACACACACACACACACACACACACACACACACATCCACAGCACACTCACAAGTTTTCATATTTTTGCCATCATGCACATACATGTGCATATGAACAGAGGCATGGACACACGCATACACATACCTTTGCAACCAGCAATTTGCGAAGGTACGTCATCAAAACTTTCCCGTGGGAAGTCCCAGAACTCATCGTGACATTCACAACATTGTCTACCAGAGATTCCTGGCAAACACGAGCAGTTTCCAGTGATCTACAGCAGAATATTTGCACACAAGCAAAACATTCATGAGTGACATGCAGTAGTAAATTAATGAGAGCTATGCAAAATCCTCCCGCCGTTTGGTTTTGCGCGGCAAGTCCACTTCAGCTAGCCGTACACACTGTGATACCAGCCCCGCACACAAAAGGTCATGAGCTGTGTACGGTTATATTCACACATGTACTAGAGCTGGCCGTTACTGACACATGACATGCAGTCAAATGTGCCACGAAGCACATTCAGTGGCATGACTTACCAGATCGCACTGTTGCATGTGAGATCCTGAGCTGCAGCAGTTACATGCCTTGCAGCCCTCACCACTGGCCAGGTCATAGTGATGCGGCGCACACTCGTTACATCGTTTGTTGATAGTGTTTGGTCGACATCGGCACTGGCCTGTCTCGTAGTGGCAAACCGAGCTGTTGGAACCGTCCACGTCACACTCACAGGCTACATTCACACACATACATAGAGAAAGCGAGGGGAAACAACAAAGAGGATAGTTTCTATGCGTGGTGTGTATGTGTATTTACCGCTTGATGCGCTGATTACCTGCCGACTCGCAAGATAACTGTGCGCATGCCACATTCCCTTTGTCATGTCACTGTCTAGTTGTGTTGTTAACTCCTCACTTAAACAGACGGTCGGCAACCTTTAGTACAAAAAAAGCATATTATCACCGTTACACGTCTTTTCAACCTCCCTCCATCCTGTGCTTCTAATCAATGGAGACATACCTTTAGTTCAAGTCCACTGCATGTCCTCATGCTGTGCCATTTTGAGTGATATGCCATGCATGTCGGCTACTCCCATTTCTGGCCATTCTACACCCGAGGTTTGTCACCTTTCAGACGTGTGTGTGCAGGCATGACCTCGAGACCAGTGTTCGGAGGAACCCCGCATCCTCCCATCCGCACTCCATCCGCACCGCAGTGTTGCCCCGCATCCCTTTTTCATGTAGTGAGCCCCCCCCCCCCCACACACACACTCAGGCTCGCTGTTATCTCCCACGGGCCGTGAGGGATGCACATCATGTGCACGAGTGGGTCTCCTGATAAAAGCCCACAAACAAAAACTAGGAGCTATGGAAACCCGCTTTCACGACATGGTGATCGTGTTGACTTCCCGTATGGTTTGGGTTTGAATAATGCAGAAATAGCTGGTACATGTACATACTGACTTGGACCAGGAATGTGGTCTTATAGATACTGACTAAGACCAGGAATGTGGTCTTATAGATACTGACTTGGACCAGGAATGTGGGGTTATAGATACTGACTAAGACCAGGAATGTGGTCTTATAGATACTGACTTGGACCAGGAATGTGGTCTTATAGGTCTGGGTTCCCTCTATGTCTATGATGTACACTGCTGCACCCTTACGTCTACACGTTCTCCTGAGAGCATCGCCGTAGTAACCATCGGCGCAGCGTCCGCACGTGGCGCCGCCGGTGTTGTAGAGGCAGTCCAGGCACTGTCCCGACTGCCGGTCACAGAAGTCCAGCACACCGGGGTCAGTGTTGTTGTTACAGTGGCATGGTTCACACACCTCCCTGCTCACCACCGGGTCACCATAGTAACCAGCAGAACACTGCGCACAGCTGCAAGGACAATAGCAAGCGACATGAGTACATGGTGAACCAATAATTCTCTACCACTGGCAACAGTTGATATACTATCATCTTCAGGATACTAAAGTATGAAGGATCTTGGTTAGAGGTAAAAGAAAATATCTTGCTCTGTCATATTTGACCGCATATCTGTTTCCAGATATCTTCGGTTTGTAGGCACCGTAAAAATATTGATAATGGATACATTCTCGTTTTTGTTCAGTTTCGATAGAAATGACCTGACAGCTTTGCCAGTACTCACTCTTCTCCAGTGTGTCCTTGAATACAGGAACAGACGACTGAGACGGGACCACTGGGTTGACACGTTGTGGCAAACTGTACTCCACCACCGGGGCATGGACACTCCAAACAACCCTAAGCGCATCAACACGCGCGACACACGCGACAGAATCAAACCATTAACACTAGCACAAACAACGACATTACACAACTTGACCGTCCTATTTCTTACACCTGTGACCCCGTCCTTGACTAGTGTACACGGTTGTAGAAACTGCATGCCGGGATCATGCAGTGGCAGTGATATAACAGTGGTTTCAAAGATACACAAGATTCATTCAGACCTATCATGACTATCAACTGGACCAGTCTTACCTGCTGGTACAATAGAGGCACTGATGTGCTTGAAGATTATGTATGAGTTGTGTGCATGTCCCTACCTATAATAAGGCATGATGCTGTGTATGAAGGGCAGATTCTGCCCTTCATACACCGCATCATGCCCATGCAGTGTTCAATCGATCAGGCCGTTAGACACTGCTAGCTACCTGAAAGCGCTGCCTCTGGTAGTGCAGTGGGTTGCACTGCTGACAGTATGTTCCCTGAGTGTTGTTCGCGCAGCCACGACACTCTCCAGAGTTGGCATCACAGTGATCAGTGCTCAGTTGCTCACACGCGTCGAAGCAGCGCAGGCACATGTCAAACTCCGTACCAAACGATGGTTCACGGGTGTAACCTGTCATGTTCAACGAGAGCACACCATAGAGAAATCAACCGCCGCTAGGATCAACAAACACCCTGCGCAAATTTATACTGCAGCTGATTATGGCAGACTATGAGTACTGAGACATTCGATGACCTGACACCCAGCTTCAACACATCTCCGTAGCGCTAACCAATAGCGTTCCAACTCGGAAGGTTCAAGGTTAAGGAGAGACCAAAGAAGGGAAGGTAAGCGCAACGAAAATGAGTACAAGCTACAGTCCCACGGGAACAAAGAATATCGACTGTTACTGGACGATGACGAGACCAGTAAGATACTTGACAAATCGGTCTCTCCTTAACCTTGAACCTTCCGAGTTGGAAGGCCGTTGGTTAGCGCTACGGAGATGTGTTTAAGCTGGGTGCCAGGTCGTCGAATGTCTCAGTACTCTGCCAGTTTTGTGCCTAGTTGTTGCAATTTCTGACTGTATAATATAGTATCTAGTTAAAGCGGTGGACAGTTACTCTTTACTCGTATCCATACCGTAGTTCCGCGCATATAAGCCCATGGGCTAATATACGAAATAATGCATTTTCCGGGGGAAAAAATCGGTAATATTGGTTCGTTTTTTAGCCCTGGGCCTATATTCGAATTTTGAAGGCAGCTGGCACGCGAAAAAGTACAAGTCCGTGCGCGGTTGTCCGCCTACTGTACGTACCGGTACTGGTAATGTAGTCTGCACTGACATGCTGTACTACGGTGTTTGGGTCTGTTTATTAGCCCATGGGCCTATAAACGGAGGTGGGCTTATATCCGGATATAGGCCCATGGGCTTATATGCGCGGAACTACGGTATGTCCTTTTCCTTTCTACACTTTTTTATTTTATTTTTTTAAAACTTCAGTGACTTTCATACACTTGTTGCACTCACTGTGTAGTGTACTGTGTAGTGTACTGTATAGTGTACTGTATAGTGTAGGATAGATTGTCGCAAACACCAGTATGATGTACATGTAGTTGTAAGAGGTGTATGGCCGTTGCTAGACCTACTACTAGCTGCTAGTACTTGACACAGGTGCAGTCAGTGAACCTGGGATGAGGAGTTCTTATTTTCTAGCTGGGTATTGGGAAAATCAAAGAAATAATGGGAAAAATGGGGGTGGGTGGGTGGGTCAGAGACAATTTTGCTCGAGGACGGATTTTTAATTTTCCCATAATTACGGACGACCCCTAACTTCGGTACACGTAATTTTTACCTAAAATAAAATACACCGAAAATACGTACATGCAGTACGGAAAACTGATTTACCGAAGTTTTCGCGCTACCAAACCGTTGATTTTGGGAAATACCGAAAATATTACAGCAGCGAAAATTCCCGGTTTTTACAGTACATACCTGGTGCGCAGTTTTCACAGTTTTCACCTCTGTATGGAGGAGGACATGAACAGGCTTCCACCCACGGTGCATCCCCGTAAAAAATGGCCAGTGATGCTTCAAAGAACGCCGCTTCTTCACCGCTGCCCAGTGCTGTTGATGATGTATCTTCCGATCCTGATTCTTCTTGATAGGGCCCCTGCCGCACTGCATATGTCATGGATGCTTGGGTCATACCCACAGTGTACTGCCTGTCAGGTGCATCCTGACATCAAGTGCCAAACAAACAAACAAACAAACACAAAAGAAATTGAAGCCACGTTTTCTCGTCACTTGTGTCAGTCGCCAACATGCAAACCAACTCTGCAAAGGAAAAAAACACGACCAACGAGAAAACAAGTTAGAGGATGCGGGGTTCAAATCCATGGCCTCTTACGTACAAAGCAAGCACACTACCACTTCTCAACTCTGCTAGCCCTCGCTGCCAAAGATTCACCGGATGATTTTCTTGAGCACTACGCGGGTTCACATTGCAGCCGGGAGAAGGTTGCAAGAGGCACTCCCTCCTCCAGTCCGTAACGGCAATATGTGAGCCAGCCATTTGAGATGTTTGGGAGTTCAAGTCCAAATTGGACGATTCCAATCCAGTACCTGAGCCGCAAAAATACTAGCGATGGAGTGTAGTTCATATCGCCACGGTCACAAGACTTTGTAGTTCATATCGCCACGTTCACGAGCCTTTGGGATATGGACCACAAGGATTAGTATACTAGTGAAGAAGTGCAGTTCAATACGGTTTGCATGCATTCACATGACCTTGATGTGCACATGCCGGATGCATAGTGCTGGCCTGACCTGTGATATGGACACCAAGATCTCCAGTGAGGATAAGTTGGCCAACGTCTCTCGCAGGTCACTGTCCTGGGCCATGGGTCCAGTTGGATCATCGACCTTCCAGCCATGACGAAGGAACCTCACCTAAAATGCATAATAGTGTTTTTGAACACAAATGCACACAATGAAAACCTTGGCAAATTCCTTTGTGACTCAGAGTTTCATGGCTGTTTTCGTAGACACATTCAAGAGCAAGAGCAAACTTGAATTACGAAATAAACACTTCCACCTAAGAAGGATAGCAACTAACCAGGTAATGTTTGCTACATGCGCCGGGGTGCACACTGTGTAGGGTACAGTGTGTTTTTTCTTCTTTTCACTATTAAAATCCACTATGCTCCCGAATAAATGCGGAATGTGGTGGTATTATTAATATTCATGTAAATCATGGTGAGCAATTTAATAGACGATGCATAAAAAAGCCAGCATTTGCATTCTGGGAGGAAGGATTCACAAGAAAACATCATTGAATGATGAACTGTGCATGGCTAAAAGTTACTGCACTCATCAGTGGTGTAGTCTGCATGCACAGTGCCGAATACTACAGTACTACATGTTGGACCATGGCCAGCATACCAGTAACATTATACCGCATCACTCTACCTTCAGCTTGCTTGCCTGACACAAGTGCATGCACAGTAGGACTATAGGTACACAGTGAAATCCCGATAAGAAGAACACTGATAAGACAAACTTTCACTTTAGAAGACCTGATATTCACATTACTATTGGATAAATCACTGTGTATTCACTGTGTTTAACATATTAGGGATAAGACTGAGTCCCGTTACGGAGAGGAAACCCCATTAACCCCTGGGAGTTTCCTCCTATAATAGTTTGATTGTAGTTACAACTATAAGATATCCTCATCAGCATACACTGCATCACTCACCTCAAAATCACTTCCATTGTCTTGCACTGGCATATGCACTGGGTAGTAAAGAACCCGGGGTGGCATAGCTCTCCTTTCCAGCCTCACAGAGATAGCAGCATGAGAGTGGTTGCCAGCAGTAGACAAGGCAAACGTCAACGCTTGCGAGAAGGCCGTGCGCTTGTCGCCAAGGTAGATTGATGGCGCCACAAACGTCACAACCTGCCCTGGGCGCCTGCATGATTACATGAAAGACAGAATATGACATAGTATACGAGTATTGTCCTGACTGTACTGCACATCTGCTACTGGACAAAAACTCGGACCACATACTTGGAAGTAACTACACAGAACTTACACAGAACTTACACATCATTTGTTACACATAACCCACACGTGATACTGATACTGCACCGCTGTTTTGCATGTCATGATTGGAAGCTGTGAAAAAATACCGTACGTTTCATACGTGGAATATGGTTGGGTAGTAATGAATTTCTGGGTAAAATAGGATGTCAACAGTGCACACTATGCTCCCGTAAATATGAAAGATTGGCTCTCCTGCACATGCACTGGATACCCAGGGAAAGTTAAATATGGCGGTGGCTATGTGGCGCTGGGCACACAGCACACTATGTATTCTAAGAGTACGTTTTACAGCAGGCCCATGTGGTGCTGGATATGCATGTTCGTGTACACAACAGCCAAGGTCAGTTTGCATCAGTAGATCACAGCACAACGGTGTTAGGCAAATAAATGTCCCGGCAGCCACGCCACACTTGGGCGGACTTGCAACATGTGAAAGCAAAATTGTCTAGTACAGTGGAAATAGGATACAACGACCTTGGATATAACGACCTTGGATATAACGACCTTGGATATAACGACAACATTTTAATCAAGGATAGCGACAAAATTCTGTTGCCCAAGTCGTTTAGCAAGTCCTTTTTGTACATTATAGATCGGGTATAACGACCTCGAAAATAACGACAGATCGAATTTACCGACACTTTTTGGTGCCCGAAGACCTGAAAACACATCAAGTATAACGACTCAGTTCCTCTTGTATCAGGCAGACTGGGGACTAGCGTGCATGGAACATAGCTGTTTCACTTGTATCAGGCAGACTGGGGACTGGGGTGCATGGAACATAGCTGTTTCACTTGTATCAGGCAGACTGGGGACTGGGGTGCATGGAACATAGCTGTTTCACTTGTATCAGGCAGACTGGGGACTGGCGTGCATGGAACATAGCTGTTTCACTTGTATCAGGCAGACTGGGGACAGGCGTGCATGGAACATAGCTGTTTCACTTGTATCAGGCAGACTGGGGACTGGTGTGCATGGAACATAGCTGTTTCACTTGCATCAGGCAGACTGGGGACTGGCGTGCATGGAACATAGCTGTTTCACTTGTATCAGGCAGACTGGGGACTGGCGTGCATGGAACATAGCTGTTTCACTTGCCCAGACCTGCGAGTCACTGCACAGTCCACACATTCTACACTTTACTTTGTAGCCGCAGTGCAACGGTGTAGTTACCATGCATGACTTTTGCCTTGAACAATGCATGCACGACGCATGCACATACACATCTGAAATCCATACCAGTGCAATATATTGTCCACATGCACATCTGCAATACATTTCTGTCATTTTGACATACATATTGCATGCTAAATGTGAAGATCGGGTTTAGTGACAGATCGGATATAGTGACATTTTGTTTTTTCCCGAAGGAGTGTGGTTATATCCAGTCTCCACTGTACCGTCCATTCCTTGCCCCTGGGCAGCCTCAACAGTCAGTCCCCGGACACATTGAATGTTAGAGTCTGCAACTATGTTGGGAAGCAACATTTCACTAGGTATGTTGAGCTCTAAGTACTCAGTGCTTGGGTCCCATATGGCAAGTCACCAAGTCAATGGAAGTTTGATGTTGACAGACTCAGCAGCACAGAACAGACACGAGCTGAAAGGAGGTGGAAACTGCTTCCCCTCTATAATAGGGCTCCCAGTCAGAAGCAATGGACTATCGCATAAACATGAACATAGGTTCTGATAAAATGATTCGGAGCGTTGCACCAATACACCTACGAACTATTTTCAAGGAGACAAAAGGAAATTCAACCAGCACCTTAGTTACAAAGGCAAAAGCACTTACGCAACTGTTTCAAACGGGGCACTTCCAGATGTTTGCTCGGCAACAACCCACATATCCTCGCCACTAGCATCCATGAGTACCTGCCCAATTCTAGCCCTCCTATATCCAAGGGCAAGGTGGCATGTGTCTGATTGACCATTACAGAAGCACTTCATACAGCCATCGGGATTTCCCTCCTGCAGGTATATGTACCCTGGCTTGCACCGGTCTGCTTTGTCACCCATTACGTTGGCTTTGGGCGTGCATACTCCAGTTGCAAGGTCACACTCAGGGCCCACCGCTCCGGCCAACGAGCAGCCACATGGCTCACATCCGCCCTGTGTGAAGTTCCAGTAGCCGGCCATGCACCGGTCACACAGTGCTCCGGTCACGCCACGTTTGCAGCTACACTGATGCCCGGCAGAGTTGTCCGCACTCGGCTCGCAGCTCTGCCGTACAGAACCAACCGCGTCACACTGGCATGCCAGGCAGCCGATGCCCAGGAACAGGTCCTTGGCCGGGTAATGGTTCTCGCGACAGGCATCACAGGTACGTCCAACGGTGTTGATAAGACAGGTGCACTGGCCGTCATACCGCTCACACACCAGACTCTCAGAACCAAAGCTGCTGCAGTTGCAGGCTGCACACAGAGTGAAACAGAAGATGCAATCACCTTGTCACTATGGTCTACTCTAGATGGAGACCTTACACACTCAATTAACACTCAGTAAATACTGCAAACTGTTGCTGATACCACTGTTGAGGTTAGTTGAGAATCTGCTGCCCTGTGCTGAAAGACATGTGTCGAAAATTGAACCAATCTAAGACGGCCTCTGGAGGTCCACTTCTTGTTTATGGTGGAGTCTATCTATGCATAGTTGGCACTGTTAAACTACAAAACTCTGTGAATGTACATGCAATGTACCAATACTCTACTAAAAAGCCATTGAAGGCACTTGTCTATATGACGGATAGCTTCTGCATTCTGAATTGGCGCAGGCCACGACTGAACTGATTGTGACTCCCCGTGCTGTGTGAAGCATGTCCATTGTAGACAGTACACCTGTATGAAGCACATCAGTTGTAGACAATTGCCTCTATACCTTTGCAGCCAGTATCACTGAAGTCGTAGTGATATGCTTGGCATATATCACACTGACGACCTCCGATCCCAGCATGACAGTCACATTGACCGTTGTAGGCACTGCACACACTGGCATTGCTGGAACCAATTTCATTACAGTCACAAGCTGCAGTAGCGAGAGAACATGCATCAACCAGTCACGATTATTGTCTAAACATGCAGGGAAGTAGTAGGCACCGTACCACCAATACGCAGTGCTGTTCAATGAACATTATGAAATCAATCAAGTGTTGAATGCCATGGCGGGAGATTGTAGATTGGGTTGGACCCACAATGGTTGATAGGGAACCCAAGCATCTAGTCATGAATCTGTCAATGTAGAATATACTGCATTCATTAATATTAGTCGGCTGATGATCAGTTACGCACAAATGCTGGCTTATACCCTGGACTGTGCAATTCAATTCAGGTCATGTTTATCCATTGTTTAACCCGACTGCTGCATGGACGATAAGTGCTGCGAATAGTGATCATGCGCCCTGGCCTGAGTAGCTCGCTTGGCTAATTGAAAGTCTGCCGACCTGGGCCACATTATGTTGCTAAGGCATGCACAACCCCAGTCACAGCGCGCAAGTTGGTTGAGTTTGGCCGTCAGGAGGCCAGCGCAAGGTATCCGGGGCGCGGGTCTGATTCCAGCGAGGGGCAATGTGGTACCCCGCAGCGCAAGGGTAGCGTGATACCCTAAGCCAGCGTGCGTGCTGCATGAGTAGCGTGATACTCGCTGAGCGCTTTTGCTGTTGCCTAGCAACGCGTTTCTGTCTTTCCTGGGCCCCCAACGCATGTTGGGTGGCCCTGCGCATGACTGCACGTTGTCATAGCAACCTTGGAAACCTCAAGCCGGTTACCAACAAGCTAGGAATCAGACCAAGCCGCCGAATGCCCCCAAATTCCGCGTTGGTCAGCCGAATGACCTTAGTGTGGTATTCAAGCGCTTCAGCTACATGTACGTAGTTCAAATGCGTGCCCTTCGCATGTTTGTTTTCCCTTAGTGACACCGAGAAGGGTTTGAATCGCATGTAGTCGGAGCGTGCGTGCACACATGGGGTGTCCCACACCGCCATGGCATGGGGTGTCCCACACCGCCATGGCATGGGGTGTCCCACACCGCCATGGCATGGGGTGTCCCACACCGCCATGGTCTGGGGTGTCCCACACCGCCATAGCATGGGGTGTCCCACACCGCTAGGTGGGAGCTATAGCACAGCAACAGAGTGGTGCAGATAACTTATCATAAGTATCAGAGGCGTGCGTGCACAGTCAGTGCTAGAACGTGAGTGCATACGTCCGCGAATGGGCGTACCAGCGTGTGCGCAGCGTGTGTACCTGCATGCATGCTTGTGCGGTGTCAGACTGTGGGTGCGTGTACGCGTGCATGCATGTGTGTGTGCATGCGTGGGTGTGTGTGCGTGCGTGTGTATGTGTCTGCGGGTGCGTGTATGTGGGTGTGGCTGTGCGCGCTTGCGCGCCTGCGGACGGCGAACAGTTACTTTCCACAGCGTACATAGTTCTTGTAGCAGGCACTTCGCCATCTGCCGAGTTTCATGATCTCGGATTCGGTGAAGCCGCTCATTGCTCCTGTGGTTGCGGCTCCGGCTCTGAGGCCGTGCAGTGAATACTGGATAGGTGGGTACCCTGCGCTGCTCAGGAGCTGACGGATTAGACGGGTGAGTCTTGGTGCAGTTAGGAACTTGCCACAGCTGTCAACGAACAGTGGTCTATTGGGCAGGTTGGGGCGTCTTGATAGATAGGTATGCATGGCTTTGACCGGGCAAACCGTTGAGTTGGTGGTTGTGAGCCGGACGGAGTGACCCTTGCCGAGTTGGTCGGTCTTGGACTTCTTGATTGTGACCTGTATTGCCTGCGGCGTGATGGAGAGGTCTTCTGTTCGGAGGCCACCGTCTGACATGGTCGTGGCGGTTGTGGAAGTGTACTCACTTGCCCGGAGACACGCAAAGAAGCCCAGGCAAATAGCTGCCCATACCATGGCTCGGTCGGTCGCGTTGAGGTTAGACCGTATCAGGGCCCTGCGCATAGCTGCCATGTGGGGCAGGAGGATTGGCTTACTGGCGTTTTTAGTTCGGTTGGCCTGTGCACGTGCCACTCCTTGAACTGCGAGGTCCACTCTTCGCGACGAGAGATCTTTGCCGTTTTCTTTGGCAATTGCCCGGATCGCCGACACATACAGGCGGACGGTTGACGCGGCATGTTGACGCGCCAGGTAGGCTACAAACGCCAGCATGATGGTGTCTGTAATCACCTTGGTGCCGACTAGTTGGCAGAATTGGTGCAGTCGTTTCCAGGCTGTCGCGTATGTGGCACGTGTGGACGCTGACAGGCCTAGCCACTGGTAGGCCTGACCCTCCAACATCAGAGGGAGTAGGTGCTCTCGGGCACCGGAGATGGCGTGTCTTCTGCTGTGGGTGCCAGTCGGCGAAATCGGGCCATCTGAAACCGAGACAGAGAGTCAGCAATCGCATTGTCAGTGCCGGGGATGTGGGAGACTATGACGTGAAAGTTGTGTCGGGCAGCAATGGCAAACAAAGTGCGTACCAGCGCCATTAAGTCGGGGCACTTTGTGCGTGAGCGGAGCCAGATGTCGCATACGCTACGGTTGTCGCAGTGGAAGCGGATGCGCTTCAGATGCAGCTGCGGTGCCCATGTGGATGCTGCGACCACGATGGCAAAGAGCTCCATCCACGCGATGGATCTCTGGGATTGGTGCCTCTGCCACCGGTGTTGGAGCCACCGGCCGGCGAAGAAAGCACCATAGCCGATGGCTCTAGATGCGTCCGTGTAGAGGTCCATATCGGCGGCGGCTGACCACGTGGGTTCTAGGAAGAAGGCGACGCCATTCCAGGCAGGGAGGAAGTCAAGCCACCACTGGATGTCTGCTTTGGCGTCTTCTGTGATTCTGATGTAATCGTTTGGATGCGGGACCGTCGTGCTGAGATCAATGAGGCGGCGCAGAAACATGCGGCCCGCAGGGACCGCCTTGCAGGCAAAGCTGAGGTGACCTATCAGGGACAACAATTCAGACTTGCGGGCGGTAGGGCGGGTATGTTGCCAAGCCTTGAGGGCAATGAGAAGGTCTTCTAACTTGTCGGATGGGAGGCGGATTTCGAAGCGCTCTGTGTCCAGCATGACACCGAGGAATGTCAGGGTTGTACTAGGGCCTTCCACCTTTTTTGGATTGACCGGGAAGCCTAAGTCGTGGCAGGCTACCAGGGCACGGTCAAGCTGGTGCTGTGCGCCGATAGAGTCCGTCGCTCCACCAAGGTAGTCGTCTAAGTAGTGGATGACTGGGGCTACGTCGAAGTTGTGCGACATGACCCACTGGAGGGCGTCTGCGACTTTGTTAAACAGCGACGGTGATGAGCGAAGGCCGAAGGGTAGGCATTTGTCCACGTAATATTGCCCGCGCCAGAACAGGCATAATAGTTCCCAGTCCTCTTTCCGTACTGGACAAATGCGAAATGCGTCTTGGAGGTCGACCTTCCACAGATGGCAGCCACGGCCTAGGGACCGTGCGAGATTTACGCCGTCGTCGACCGAACAGTACTGTACAGAGAATTTGTCGACAGGGATACCATCGTTCACTGAGTGGCCCTGTGGTGCTGACAGATGCATAATCAAGCGCCATTTTTGCACCGACCGTGACTTCTTGGGAACCACACCCAAACCGGAGACCTGTGTAAGTGTGAAGGGGGGCTCTTGGTAGGGACCGGCCATGCGACCTGCGGCAATTTCACGACCGATGGCAGCATCGACAATGTCAGGGTGCTCAATCGCTGATTTGAGATTACGAGAGACTCGGAAGGTACGGGGACCAGCAAACCCAATATCGAACCCGTAAGACAAAGAATGTATTACGAATGAGGCAAAAGCCGGATCAGGATGCTGACACAAAGCGTCCTGCAGGTAAGAAACGTTAATGGGGGTTACAGGCGTGTGCAAATGGATTGGCTCGTGAGCGAGGGTGCGTGTAGGAGAGATGTGAGCAGCTGGGCAGAGTGTGTGAGTGCTATTGGCCTGGGTGAGTGTAGAGTTACCGGTGAGTGACTGGAGTGACCGAGTCTCCAAGCTGGGCAACTGCGAGCTATTGGTCGCGGCTGGCGGCGGCTGGCTTTCCTGGGCATGACTTGGCGGGGTGGCTGCCAAAGCATGTGCTGCACTGGTGGCCGTAGCGACAGGCTGCGCGTTGGCAGCGGCCTTGGTTGTAGTCGCGGCAGACAGCTGGGGCGTTTGGGTGAGCGGTAGCCCCTGACCGCTGTGCCGGAAAGGGGCGTTTGGCTGCTGGCCCGTCAGACAGTGAAGCTAGGCTACGGGCGCGGGGGCAGCGAACTGTTAAATGACCTTGCCGGTTGCAGTGACGGCAGGGAGGCAGGATGGAGTTTGTAAACCACTCCGACCAGAGTTCCGGATCTGACGTGGCAAGGCTAGATTTGCTGCGTGCAGCTCTTGCACGGAACGACATGTCGAAGCCAGACCACGCACCGAATGTATAGCGTGCGGCCGCTTTCACGATTGTGCTTTGGTACTTGAATAATTCCGGACCTCTGCCGGGGTCGTGGTGGAGGGCTACTTGGGCGAAGGCTGAGAACGCCTCCAACCACGATGTCAAGTCTACAACTTTCTTTAGACGGGATGACGACATGGCAGATGGCACAAGGGTGATGTGGTCCCCCGTCCCCTGCAGGGTGAACCCACTGTCCGGACCCATGCTCGTATCAAAAGCCAGCTCTCCCAGTACCCTACCAAAATCAACGTACTCACGTTTGATAATCTTGTCCGTGAGATGGTCGCTGAGGGCAGGTAATGGGATGGATGGTGGACGCTCTGGGGCGAGCAAATCGCCGTCCAGGAAGAGACTCTCCTGGTCTGGTCTTAGTGCTGAAGCCAGTGAAGGCTGGACATATTCAGGCTCAGAGTCAGGCACCACAACATCACCAGAGACTGGACCAGCCCGCTGTGCTGCTGTTGCTGCTGCTACAGTTGGCTGTGCATGTGGAGGTACCACCGGTAGACCCATCGAAGTTGTCAATGACGTCATGCAGGACGCCACTGCATCGTGCACGACCCGAGAGATCTCGGCAGATTGCTGCGACGTGAACGCGGGCGACGAGTCAGGCTGGGTCGCGGCCGCGGGGCTTTGAGTGGCCGGGACTGCAGGACTAGCCCGCCGACGCGTGGTCTTTTTTGCGACCTGGCTCGTAGACTTAGCTTTGTTTCTTGCCTGGGCCGACAAATGCTCATGCAGACGGCTCACCTGGGCTCTAAAATTGCCTGAGCAAGAAAGCCCCAGTTCTCGCAGTCGAGTTTCAACTCCGTCGACTTTGAGTTGGCGGAGATCGGAAAGTGATGGCACGGAGCTCATGGTGACGGCTCAGGATCTCCTGCGACTGCGGAACTTTAGAAATTTCAAATCTCGCCGAGTAATTGCAACAAGGAAGAAAGAAATTGCAAAACAGTTGGATGCACGCAGCAGCACAGCTAGCAAGAGAAAGAGCCGTGGATGGGTTTGTTCCTGTTTTTGATGGCTGTGGCCATCCGTTGGCCCAGCGGTCTCGTGTGAGTACGGTGTTTGTTCGTGCTGCCAGCTCGCGCCCGGCATTTGTTTGCGCTGGCAGCTCGGGCCCGGTGCGCGAGTGAAACCGAACCGTGACAAAGGCTTTCGCTCTTTAGTGCTATTGACTGGCTTTTCATACGATGCCTATTGATGTCTAGAGACATGCTGTCTAGCCTTCCCCTAGTACGCATTCACGGGGCTTTGTTGAAGTTCGTGCCGTGAACTGCCAAAGGGGACTGTTTGAATGGTGCTGGGGCGAGTGCGACATTACGGCGTCCCTGCAGCCGGCCTAATCGCGTTTGTCGCCACAACCGATTATATCAATTAAGAGTTGGCCCTATTCAACATCAAAATTAAATATATAATAGCCAACAGGACTGTTGCAAGTCAGAAGTTAGAGTTGGCCTAGACTATATTCAGGTCATCACCTGAGCCCATGGTCCGACCGCCTTACCCAGTGAGCCGTTGTTCAGGATGCCAGAAATTGCAAACTCATGCTGCTCGCAGGCAGCCGACTGGGCCATGGTGGCTTCCTCATTGGAACGCACCAGACTACAGCCGTCGATGACAAAGTCGTCAATCACGTTACGGAATATAGAGCTGCCCGTGGGTAGCAGGCTGATCTGAAGTGTGCATGAATATGCAGCATGAGGACAAGACACAACACAGCCACTCACTTCACATTGGCCAGCTTTCCCACTGCACCTTGCCATGTTGCAATAAATACAGTCTTATATGCTGGGATAACAGCTACACCATAGCTCAGTGGTTAGAGCATCACTGGCAACAAGCGAAGGTCCCTGGTTCGAGTCCTGACGGTGACAGTCAATTTTTCTTAAGACTTTTCCCGTTTGCATCTTTCTCATCAAACCAATGAAAAAGCACATCAAGCTAACGCAAGGAGAATGTTGTGGTGTGGGTAGGATTAAGCACTGGAAGTAACATATTTCTTAAGTATTTTCAGGATGTTTTCTCATGCACTAACATAATACAGTGCAGTACTGTAAATTTTCGTGGAGTCTTCCTATGCAGTGGCACCATGCAAAATATCAACCATTTTACCTAATGTGATCAAAAAAAGGTCGAATGCGGGTGGAATCTCAAGCTTTCGCATACATGCATAGCGGCTCCTTTACGGGAGTTGTGGCTGTGCATAGGATACAGCACATCCTGGATGAGGGCAGACAGTATTTCCAGCGTACAAATCCCCTTTCAAATCTTATATCAAGATATTTACACCAAAAGTAGCTGAGCTCCGGCTACGTCCAACTTACCGTATCCAGTAACACATCCATAGGTCCATCTCCGTCACTAGCTACGGTGATGCGTAGGCGATAGGTGGTGCCCTTGTGCAGGCAAACACGATGGTCAAACTTGACAAGATTGCCAATGGCCGGCTCCATTGCGACAGTGATACCTGGCGTTCCATCAGGCTGCTCATGGCACACGATACTACCGGGATCCGTCTCACCGCCTGCTGGACTGTCACCTGCATCATTGCCGTTGTCGCTGGCTGGGTCTGCAACAATGCTAACCTTAATGTTACCGCTACTCTGCTCGTCTAGTTTCTGCAGTGACATGAGAAGTCATGCACATATGCACGCACGCACACGCGCAAACACACACACACACACGTGCAAGCGCACGCACGCACACACACTTGCACACACACACACTTGCGTGCACACACACACACACACACACACACACACACACACACACACACACACACACATACACACACAAACACACACAAACACACACACACACACATATATACACACAAACACACACACATACACACGCACGCGCATACACACACATGAATGTCTCTATCAGTGCCGCGCATCCACTTGACATGGGTCTGAACGGAGGTGAGTCCTAGAATGTCCATGCCAATGCCATTTCCACGGCACCAAACGTGCTGAATAGGTATGTCAAAGATTGCCTGTGTTCAAAGACAACCATGGCGGATTCCACCCATGGTCGATGAAATGACTGAGGTGTCAGCCTCGCCCGGAAACCCCAGTGAGTGCTCAGGCACACTTAGAAATACCAGTGAACTAGTGAGTTGCTCAGTGAGTGCTCAGGCACACTTAGAAATACCAGTGAACTAGTGAGTTGCTCAGTGAGTGCTCAGGCACACTTAGAAATACCAGTGAACTAGTGAGTTGCTCAGTGAGTGCTCAGGCACACTTAGAAATACCAGTGAACTAGTGAGTTGCTCAGTGAGTGCTCAGGCACACTTAGAAATACCAGTGAACTAGTGAGTTGCTCAGCATAACTCTGTCAACTAGGACTATGTATTGTATACAACAAGAGCTGTCATGATGCACACAATTCACTGTACATTGACAAGATTACTGTACATTGACAAGATTACTGTACATAGTACAATACACAGTGAACCCCATGAATAACAACCTCAGATACAAAAACAATAATCATGAATAACAACCTCAGATACAACAATAATCATGAATAACAACCTCAGATACAACAACAATAATCATGAATAACAACCTCAGATACAACAATAATCATGAATAACAACCTCAGATACAACAATAATCATGAATAACAACCTCAGATACAACAATGATCATGAATAACAACCTCAGATACAACAACAATAATCATGAATAACAACCTCAGATACAACAATAATCATGAATAACAACCTCAGATACAACAATAATCATGAATAACAACCTCAGAGACAACAACAACTCATGAATAACAACAACTCATGACACCCAACACTTTTCTCATGCACCTTAGAGGGTGATTATCTGCAAGATTGACTACACACAATGTCATGTGTTGCTTACCCCTATGGAGCCCAGGCCAAGCACCACTGCATACGGCATAGTCCACTTGATGTCAGTGATGACCAGGTCGACATAGCCTCCAGTGGGTGTGCGTACCCAAAGTCCACGCGACGCAGTCTCGTTTACTACACGCTGGGCAGTCTGCAGTGGCAACACACAGCAGATCCATGCACAAGCTCAAGTCTTTTCAATAAGGTTTATCAGCAGTGGTTGTTGTATACATTGCATGCATCATAGGAGTCGATGTGTCATATCATGTTTCTCATGCTATTCATCCTTGCTCACGCTAGACTAGACGTCTACGTAGGGACAGCTTGCTGGTGTGCTGCATGCATTCATTGCTAGTTCCATGCATAGTTCTTTGCCCTACTGTGGCGGGAAGGTCGTCCCGTGCAGCCGCAATGATCAGCTGCGCTACGGAGGTTCAGTTCCGGCAAACATGCGTGCGGATTTGCATTTTGCTGCTTGGTTTTGATGTATTTGTAGTTAGTGCAAGGAAAGAGCTTGCTGGTGCAGTTATTGTTTTGGTTTTGGTTTTGAGTTTAGTTTGCTCTTTGCTGGTACCTGCTTTGAACGATCGCCTTTTGTGGAATCGTTACACTCCTTGTGGTACAATAATACAGTCTTCAGAAATATCGAATACATAGTGGTTCTTCGAGCCGGATCTAGTCGCGGTTCATTTTATAACCTCACGAGGATGAGTGAGTCGCGGCCGTCCGGACCGAGGCGTAGTGGAAGAAAGACTAAAGGCTGGCACTCGGCTCGATATGGGTTTGAGGAGTCAGATAAAGAGGAGCTCGAATTGTGTTTAGCGAAATTGAATAGGCGAGCGGAGGAACTAAAACTCCTGATCGCAGAGGAGACCGCTTCTATGGAAGAGCTGCATGCAGCCGGGATCGCGCGTGGATTGAGTGAGCGTCATGGACGTACATCTACGGCAGAGCCGAGTCCCGTGCCAGTACCAGTGGCAGTGCCGAGACGACCAACGCCTGCACTGCGATCGCGGAAGACGAGTGCTACTTGTGGTAGCCCAGGAGGTGTTGTCAGAAGATTGGACAGCCGAATGTCGATCTCGGCCGTAGAACAAACTAGTTTTGATCAGCCTGCACTTGATGGAGTAGGATCACCTGTAACGGCAGGAGTTCAACTTCAACGTGTGTCATATGCGCCTCTTGCACCTTCACCTGCGCCTCTTGCACCTTCACCTGCGCCTCGAACTCGCGTGGAACCTAGACTAGCCAGGGTTAGTAGGTCCAGCGGCAGCAGAAGGCAAGAGCGCAGCAGAGGGCAGGAGCGCAGCATCAGCGGCAGCAGAAGGCAAGAGCACTGCAGCAGAGGGCAGGAGCGCAGCATCAGCGGCAGCAGAAGGCAAGAGCACTGCAGCAGAGGGCAGGAGCGCAGCATCAGCGGCAGCAGAAGGCAAGAGCGCAGCAGAGGGCAGGAGCGCAGCAGCAGCGGCAGCAGAAGGCAAGAGCACTGCAGCAGCGGCAGCAGAAGGCAAGAGCGCAGCAGCAGCAGCGGCAGCAGAAGGCAAGAGCGCAGCAGCAGCGGCAGCAGAAGGCAAGAGCGCAGCGGCAGCAGAAGGCAAGAGCACGTCAGCGGCCGATTGAACCCGGCTGATCTACCAAGTCGTGGAGTTGCGGCCTCGCACGTGCAGGATGACGGCAAATGGTGGAGTTGCCCAGAGTTTTTGCAAGAGCCTCCGGAGCGATGGCCGAACAAAGACATCATAGTGCCCCAGGTTCTTCCGGCACTGCTTCAGCGGTCGCGCCCGATGACTCTCACTAGCCACATCCAGGCAGAGCAGACGACGTGCCGCCTGCACCCAGACAACGTCTCGTCATGGAGCTATCTTCTGCAGGTCACAGCCTGGTGTAAACGGTTCCTTGATAACACCAGAGGCCGACCTCAGCAGTGTGACAGCAACGCAGGTGCTACCGTGCAAGTATCTCTCAAGAGTGCTAAGGCTGTTTCGGTTCCCGAATTGACGGTCACAGAACTCCAAGGCGCCGAGCGGCTCTGGATAAGCTATGCGCAGAGGCAGTGCTACGGACAGGTAGTGTCAACGCTGAAGGACAAGAAGCCTCTTCCACCCAGTGCACCGCTAACGAAGCTACAGCCGTTCCTGGACACTGACGGTCCACCGCTGCTCCGAGTTGGTGGACGGCTCTGGACTTCACACCACCTGTCTGACTAGTTCCGGTCCCCTGTGATACTGCCCGCCAATCATCGCGTCACTCAGCTAATTGTTGGGCATGAGGATGAACGCTGTCAACACGGAGCAGGCACAAACCATCTGCTCTCTAACCTGGCCGATCGGTATTGGATCATCATGGGTCGCCAGGTCGTTAAATCCTACCGTCACAGCCGTGTCCGTTGCCAGAAGCTGTGGAGATGTGCCGCTGAGCCCAAGATGGGGAACGTGCCAAACATCCAGACAAGCGGACCGTTACAGGCATTCGCTCACACTGGAGTAGACTACGCTGGGCCTTTCCTGGTCAAGATGGGACGCGGACGATCGCAAGAGAAGCGCTATATAGCCGCGTTCTCATGTCTGCAGACCCGTGCGTGCCACCTGGAGGTAGTGCGTTCTCTGGATGTCGAGGGCATGGAGATGGCTATGGCAAGGTTGTGCCATCGCCGAGGTCGACCAACACTGATCCTATCCGACAACGGCAGTAACTTCGTTGCTACCGATCGTGAACTGCGGGAAGCGCTGAGGGATTTGGATCAAGCCAACATCACAGCTGGGTTGGCGATTCAAGGCATCAGATTGCAGTTTAATCCACCGCGATCATCGCCGCCACGGAAACCTCCATGGCCGCTACCTCCTGTACCACCGTGGGGAAGAGCTCGGCCGCACTTCGGCGGAGCATTTGAGAGGGTGGTCGGGGCCTTGAAAAAGGCACTCCAGTCAGTCCTGTACAAGGCTAGCCTGACCGACGAGGAGCTGCAAACTTCGTCGTGGGTCATGTCAACGTCGCAACAGCTCTGGAGACGGCGGCGGACTCAGAGTCGACGCCAGTTCACCCATACCTCGCTGGAAAGTTATCCAGCAGCTCCTCAGAGATGTTTGGAAGCGGTGGCTAAGAGAAATGGTCTCTGCTATGAACATCATGACTAAGTGGCGCCGCCAATCGGGCACGGTCGAGATTGGAGACGTCTTCCTCGTCATGGACGATGCGTTGCCACGCTACAGATGGCCGCTAGGACGCGTGAAGGCCACGTTCCCTGGCAAGGACGGCATTGTTCGCGTCGTGGACATCCAGGTCAACGGCAAGAAATATCGGCGTGGTGTTCGATACCTAGTGCCGCTCGATATCCCGACAGCTGAAGCAGCCACTGCGGTATCTCAGTCGTCAGCCCTGGACTTGGATGAGTTGCAGTAAGACACTAATGGAACAGACGTTAGTTAGTTACACAGTAGACTTTCGTCACCTCATTTTCTCACTGCTTTCTAGAGCACACAGCACTTATTCCTCTATGTGCTGTGTGCTACATACTAGTATCTTCCTTTGGTGTAGTTTCACTCTCCCCTGGTTCGTTCAAGGTGGGGGGTATGTTGTATACATTGCATGCATCACAGGAGTCAATGTGTCATATCATGTTTCTCATGCTATTCATCCTTGCTCGCTAGACTAGACGTCTGCGCAGGGACTGCTTGCTGGTGTGTTGCATGCATTCATTGCTAGTTCCATGCATAGTTCTTTGCCCTACTGTGGCGGGAAGGTCGTCCCGTGCAGCCGCAATGATCAGCTGCGCTACGGAGGTTCAGTTCTGGCAAACATGCGTGCGGATTTGCATTTTGCTGCTTGGTTTTGATGTATCTGTAGTTAGTGCAAGGAAAGAGCTTGCTGGTGCAGTTATTGTTTTGGTTTTGGTTTTGAGTTTAGTTTGCTCTTTGTTGTTACCTGCTTTGAACGATCGCCTTTTGTGGAATCGTTACACTCCTTGTGGTGCAATAATACAGTCTTCAGAAATATCGAATACAGTGGTGATAAACCTTAGTTGATGCGCGTAATGCTTTTAATTGCTTGAATAGGCAGACCGCGTTAAATAACAGTACGAAATAGAGGTTGTGACTTCGGCGATGACTTTGTTTAGGAATGGGTGCACTTCTCGTGTTCTCTGGATGGCAGTCGTGAGTCAGTCAAGTGTCAAGTCAAGTCGGCGGAATAGCGCGAGCTCCAGTGTGGGAGCAAACCCATTCGCGCTACATAACAGTCAGTACTGGTGTCTGCTGTGAAAATGTTAACAAATTCATATAATCATCCTTCTCGACTGTTTGCTGCAGGCGGTGGTGAGATTTTTTCAGATGAGGGAACGACACAGGGCGACCCATTGTTCAACTCTACAGGTTCCCACACCTCAGCACGGCAGATTTGGTATGTAGATGATTCCGGCGTGTGGCAGGGGAGTTGGTTTGCCTGCGCGAGTGGTGGGATGAGATTCAAGTCCAGGGCAAGCAGTATGGCTACAGCACCAATTCTAACAAGACTCTTCTCCTCGTAAAGCCCGACAAAGAGGTGGAAGCATCTCACATTTTCACCGGCACTTGCATAAGTATTGCAACAGGCACTGCTAAGTAATTAGGATCATTTACCGGTGAGTCGGGGGTATACAATAACAACCACTGTTTTGTTTTTTTTTACTTTCGGTGTCTCTTACAAGCTGCTAGCCATATTACAGGAGCCACCAGGGAGATCACATGAAAAAGGTGCTAAGGCAGATATTGGTGGGGTTTCAGTACGGGTTGTGCAGTTTTGACCAAAAGCCATACACGGAGAGTGGGGAGTAACAGGCGCGTGCACCGGGTCAAAAAAAGGTGGTTTCCAAAAATTTCGACCGCCATTTTGCAATAAGCTACCGACAGATTCAGCAGTATTACACGCATTACACACTGAAAGAAAGCTATAAAAGTTATGGCTGCCAGTCCCACCGAGCCATCAAAACAAATGTGGTACAAAGGCATTTTCCTGACACAGGATAAATGAATAGGCTAGCCAACGTTATATGGGCCAGTGCATGCAATACCGTGTCTAAGGGCAAATTTTTGGAATTTTTTCTTTCTTGAAAATCAATCACTGGGGTCTAGAGAACAACTCTGTGGAAGATGAAGCTGGATATCACATTTGAAAGTACATAGAGACCATGATTTCTATGGCATTGTCCAACATGGAATATGCCTTGTATAATGCATTATCTACAGCGTCGCTGAAAGCAGCAACAGTTTTGCGTATAAGCCTTTAGTATTGGCCAAGAGGCTGCCTTGTTATCCAGACAAAACCGGGCAACATTGTCCAGCAAATTCTTGCAGCGTTGACCTAACAAGAACTCGCGTTCCTTTTGTGCAAAGACAACATGGTCACGGAGTGGTTCCGTTGCAGACTTCTTTTCATCCTCTGCACGAGGAGAACAAATATCGTCCCGGAGCAGCGCACACTTGTTGAACACATCCATCCGTTGCGTCATGAACTCGATGGACTTGCACTTCTTAGTCCACAGATACAAACAAAATATGGTAACCCAGGGTTTGCGCTTCACCAGACTGCTCGACATGTTCCGAAAGGACAAACTTGTAGGCGACGGATGTAGGTAAGTTGCATGGGAGATTCCTCACCTCTCCTTCTTGGTGCAACAGACAAAGGGAGACCGAACACTAAGCTGTAGTTCAGTCTGTTCAGAATAAACTGCTGCGCTCTGTCTCCCACTTCTGCAGTAAATTTATTCCAAGGCACATTGCCAGCTTTCCATGTGCACCAGGGTCACAGCTAATGTTCTCCTTGTCCACTTGCAGACAGTCATATTCTGCCAACCACATGGAGCTGCATAAACGCGGTTCGACACACGATGTGTCCCATCACAGTGTATCCAAACGTGATGCGCGTACTTTCCGTTGCGGAAGCTGTCGACTGATGCACGACAGTCGACAGGATCGTCACGCGTGCAGCGCAGCCAGCGCACCAATATAAAAAATGCCGAGCTCCTTCGATTTCATCGCCGAGATTTAGTCGTCGTAATGGAGGATTGCGCTCGACGTGAAGCTGCTGAAATGGTAGTTCCGAACGCAGCCACAGCCTTCAAGAATCAGTCAGTCCACAGCGGCAATGCTCTGAAGCGCGTCCTGCTCATCGTCGCTTGCAGAGGCCACAGAATCTCCGCCTAATTCATCCGCTCTCGACTCGCCTTCAACCTCAACACAGGAGTCTTTCACTCCCGGACGCTTAGCTGGGGCTTCGTCAGAGTCACTGTGAGCAGAACAGCCGCTAGGTGCCGACTGCTCCGACTCACGACTCGCCAAATAAATTGTCGTCTTCCTCCTCGATAATAAACCTTGCCGATCTCTTCGGACGCGCCGACGATAATCACGCGAGCGGTACAGCTCAACCGGCGTGCTGCTCGGCGTCTGCCACGAGTGTGTCTACTCAGAGGCCCTTCCTCAAGTGCTAATTCCAACTCCTCCTGCGCCGCCACGTCCATGATGATCGCTTGTCGGTCGCTTCTCTTGAGTTGTCGTCTTGAGATCGAGTATAGACAAGATCCGCGGTCCAGCCACAAAAAAATAACTCTTCTTTCCGAGCGATTTTCTCAAAATTCTGAAAGAAATCGGTTTCCCCCGAAGACACGTTTTCGCATGCACTGGCCCATATAAGTAGTTCGAAGTAGTGAAGGAAGATTCAGACACTCTTGCTAGTAAGAGAGTCAAAGAAGCAGGTCAATCCATGTCACTGCCTGAGTCTGCAGTGGCACTATAGCCCTGGGAAGACACGCGCAACTGGAGATTGAGACAATTCGCTAAGATCCATGGTATTTTTGTAGTATTCATCGTAGAGCGCTCCTTTCTTTTGTAGCTGACCGCTAAAGACCTGTGCCTGACGTCAAACATGTCTATGCATGTCTGGACTGTCGTGCAATAGAGGAAAATATTTATGACAAATAATACGATTGCCACCCAAGTGCGGAAGTGAAAATTTGCAATGGGACGTAAAATACCTGTCGAGTGCCGTAACTCCACTATTCGACCTTGGACCGATTTCGGATGTGTTGGAGCCGACAGCTGAGAACTTTCTAATGTGAATAGACCTTTCGATTACTCAATTCCGTTCAGGGAAAGCCGAGTTACGAAAATTAATATTTGAGTGTTTGCAGAATGCACTTCATAGCGGATGCAAAAAGGTGGTTTCCGGGCTCCAAGAAAACCACGCGGTGCACGCGCCTGGAGTAAGACATTTCATTACTACTAGTATGCTACTTCCAAACACATGCTCACTGTGAGGGTATCGGCATTGCAACTGCATACGCATGGCGTCTTTACGCGTGTGCTTGGCTGCCAGGTCAGAATCCATCAAGACACTACATGTATAAGCAGTGCAGAGTGATCAAACCCCTTCACATACTAACTTTACAAAACAATGAGTGTGAAGTATCTCTGTCCCGGTACAGTGGCCAGATATGCACGGCATGCTTCAACTCACAGGTGATAGCTGGCCAGACTCTACCTCATAGAGGTTGAGTCTCTGCAGGCTGTTGAAGAAGTAGCCGGGGGCTACTTGGTCACAGTGCAGTCCCTGGATGTTAGGCCTGCAGGGACACTGCTTGGTGACGTGGTCACACTGCATGTCCAGCGATCCACCAACGTCACACATACACGATCCACAACCGGCCGGGTCCTGTGTTGACAGATCGGAATACCCATCCTGGAAGAGTAACAACACATGTTCACAGAAAGCACACACCAGTGACTCGATGCAATGCCAAGTACCAAGGAAGTGGGCACAGGAAAGAATACGTACTGCCATCACTTTATGACTTTAGCAACAAGATCCTACCACCTCAACGTACAATAATGTGTAAGTAAATTCTCTGTTGTACCACTGTAGGTGGATATTTAGTGGGAATCTGCTGAACTCTGTCACACATGACTTCAAAATCATCATAATGAAAGGCATTGCTCACCTTGCAGCGGTCACATTGTAGACCATCGGCATTGGGTTTACACATGCACTGGCCAGTGGTGGCATGGCAGTGCATGCTGCCTTCAACCGTACCGTTTCCATTACAATCGCATGCTGACAGCAAGAAGAAACAACCATCACGCACGCACGCATGCATACATAGGGAACAGTATGACAATGTGCTGGGAGCTAATCCACACGGAATGAAATGGAGGTTATCATGTCAGAGCACCAACGCATTGTCCACCTCCCTGACTGTAGCAGCACAAGCAAGGAGCTATTACTGAAGATGGCAAATTTAGAAATACCAACATTAGAAAGGGAGAAGCATGTGGCATGTTTAACACAATCATTGTCATTTCACATTTTCCTTAACACTACCTTAGCAGTAACACGCGGATTTCCCAGAGTAAACCACAGTCGGACTGAAATGCTCATAACCGGGATGACGAAAAAGAGTTGTGATTAAAAATGTGACATCTGCTTTACTGACCTTCACACCCATCTGGATTGTCGGCATTCAAGTTGAAGAATCCTGGTTTACACTCAGCACATGATGACCCCTGTACATTAGCCTTGCAGATGCACTTTCCAGCATGTTCTCCCATCTTATCACAGAACTCCGATGCTGCACCGTCCACTAGACAAGAACACACTGAATACAACATGCACAGGAATGTTAGGATACTATCACTGACCTGTTACCATCACTGACCTGACGATTCGCCCAACCATCCGCGACGCATATTTAAAAATGCAGTTCTATGTACTTCGCAGCTAGCGACACGAATTCTACATTATGACCAACGGACCCTCAGATACACACACACACACACACACACACGCACGCACACACACACACACACACATACACACACACACACACACACACACACACACACACACGCGCGTGTGCGTGCAGACTTACACTGGCAAGCTTCGGGATCATCCACGCTCGCCGGAGGTGTGAAATAGTAGCGATCAATGCACTCTTGACATTGTGCACCCTGACGATGGTGACTACATTCATTGCACACACCACCAGACGTGCTATTGGTCTCAGCATAACGATCTTCATCAAAGTGACAACTTGTTGCAAAGCCATGGCATTCACATCCTGAACAGTAAAAAGAAGGAGAAAATTTAAGACAATATGACTACCGCCAGATGATGAGAACTAAACGCATTGTTTGTTATTGATGCGTGGTTAAAGTGAGTGAGCCAAACAGTCCAGCTATGTACTTAGAGCAGAAGTTACCTGTGTTCCTTGATCACTCTTTGCAAGTTCATTACAGATCATTGTACATGTAGTCAGTCCTATGCACTTACTCTGGCAGGAGTTGGGTTCTTCCAGTAGACCTGAGCGCCAAGGTAGGTCGTTGTAGAGAGGTTTGCACTGACTGCAGTCTTCGCCTGAAGCCTCATGCTGACACTTACAGTTTGAATACACCTACACAGCAGTTGAACACACAAACAATAGTGTTGCATATTGTATGTTGCAGCAGGGGATATGCTGGCTACAGGGCCAAGGGGTCCAGCAGGGGATATGCTGGCTACAGGGCCAAGAAGTCCAGCAGAGGATATGCTGGCTACAGCGTCAAGGGGTCCAGCAGGGAATATGCTGGCTACAGGGTCGAGGGGTGTAGCAGGGGATGTGCGGGTCACACGGGCAAGGAGTGCAGCAGAAGAGAGTTGTGTACTGAGTACTGAGTCTGAGCACCAAAACAACCACAACCTTACAGTGAAGGCATGGACAGTATCTTTATGTGCTGTCCAATAACATGAGAGATTTTACCTGGGCCTACTCCTTCACCAAAGAAAATCCTGACTCTAGTGGAATCACCACAGAAAAATCTGCTGCTGCACCAGCTTGGTTTTTAGCTGAATCGTCTGAATACTGTCCACTCACCGGTATATCGTCGTCTTTGGGAGGTTTGATTAGATGTTGCTCCTGCCAGTCTGTAGCGCTGCACTGATCAGCATGGCCAGAGCAGAAGCAATTGCCCTTCACCACCAAGTTGTAGATGGCGTAGAAGTACTTGTTCTGAACCTGCAGCATAGACAAGACAGCAGAAACACCGCAGAGTATGCTCAGAGAGTTTGAAGAGCATTTTTTTAAGCTGTCCGTCCCTTTCAAGTGCAACACAGATGGAAGTGGAACACCAGTGTAGTTATCAACATCATGTAGGATACTGCATGTGTAGTTATCAACATCATGCAGGATACTGCATTTTCATATGCCTACTGTAAGTCAACAAATATTCGGCGCATATTTATTTTCGGCTATTTTCGGCCTGGTTGTACTTGGCTGAAAACTTGCTTCGGCCGAACTTTGTTTGCAAGGTTCATTGTGACTGTAGACAGTCAGCAGCAGGACAGGCCGAAATTTTGATGCGGCCGAAATGCGTTTTAGCCCTCTTAGGCCGAAAATTTGAATGGGCCGAAATTTTGTAGACTTACAGTAGCTACACAACTACAGCTAGTGCTCTTTCATCACTAGCTCTACAGGTTATCCTTTCCAGTGCTCTTTCATCACTAGCTCTACAGGTTATCCTTTCCAGTGCTCTTTCATCACTAGCTCTACAGGTTATCCTTTCCAGTGCTCTTTCATCACTAGCTCTACAGGTTATCCTTTCCAGTGCTCTTTCATCACTAGCTCTACAGGTTATCCTTTCCAGTGCTCTTTCATCACTAGCTCTACAGGTTATCCTTTCCAGTGCTCTTTCATCACTAGCTCTACAGGTTATCCTTTCCATTGCTCTTTCATCACTAGCTCTACAGGTTATCCTTTCCATTGCTCTTTCATCACTAGCTCTACAGGTTATCCTTTCCAGTGCTCTTACATCACTAGCTCTACAGGTTATCCTTTCCAGTGCTCTTTCATCATTAGCTCTACAGGTTATCCTTTCCAGTGCTCTTACATCACTAGCTCTACAGGTTATCCTTTCCAGTGCTCTTTCATCACTAGCTCTACAGGTTATCCTTTCCATTGCTCTTACATCACTAGCTCTACAGGTTATCCTTTCCATTGCTCTTTCATCATTAGCTCTACAGGTTATCCTTTCCATTGCTCTTTCATCACTAGCTCTACAGGTTATCCTTTCCAGTGCTCTTTCATCACTAGCTCTACAGGTTATCCTTTCCAGTGCTCTTTCATCACTAGCTCTACAGGTTATCCTTTCCATTGCTCTTTCATCACTAGCTCTACAGGTTATCCTTTCCAGTGCTCTTTCATCACTAGCTCTACAGGTTATCCTTTCCATTGCTCTTTCATCACTAGCTCTACAGGTTATCCTTTCCATTGCTCTTACATCACTAGCTCTACAGGTTATCCTTTCCATTGCTCTTTCATCATTAGCTCTACAGGTTATCCTTTCCATTGCTCTTTCATCACTAGCTCTACAGGTTATCCTTTCCAGTGCTCTTTCATCACTAGCTCTACAGGTTATCCTTTCCAGTGCTCTTTCATCACTAGCTCTACAGGTTATCCTTTCCAGTGCTCTTTCATCACTAGCTCTACAGGTTATCCTTTCCATTGCTCTTTCATCACTAGCTCTACAGGTTATCCTTTCCAGTGCTCTTTCATCACTAGCTCTACAGGTTATCCTTTCCATTGCTCTTTCATCACTAGCTCTACAGGTTATCCTTTCCATTGCTCTTACATCACTAGCTCTACAGGTTATCCTTTCCATTGCTCTTACATCACTAGCTCTACAGGTTATCCTTTCCAGTGCTCTTTCATCACTAGCTCTACAGGTTATCCTTTCCATTGCTCTTTCATCACTAGCTCTACAGGTTATCCTTTCCAGTGCTCTTTCATCACTAGCTCTACAGGTTATCCTTTCCATTGCTCTTTCATCACTAGCCCTACAGGTTATCCTTTCCATTGCTCTTACATCATTAGCTCTACAGGTTATCCTTTCCAGTGCTCTTTCATCACTAGCTCTACAGGTTATCCTTTCCAGTGCTCTTTCATCACTAGCTCTACAGGTTATCCTTTCCATTGCTCTTACATCACTAGCTCTACAGGTTATCCTTTCCAGTGCTCTTTCATCACTAGCTCTACAGGTTATCCTTTCCAGTGCTCTTTCATCACTAGCTCTACAGGTTATCCTTTCCAGTGCTCTTTCATCACTAGCTCTACAGGTTATCCTTTCCATTGCTCTTTCATCACTAGCTCTACAGGTTATCCTTTCCATTGCTCTTTCATCACTAGCTCTACAGGTTATCCTTTCCATTGCTCTTTCATCACTAGCTCTACAGGTTATCCTTTCCATTGCTCTTACATCACTAGCTCTACAGGTTATCCTTTCCATTGCTCTTTCATCACTAGCTCTACAGGTTATCCTTTCCAGTGCTCTTTCATCACTAGCTCTACAGGTTATCCTTTCCAGTGCTCTTTCATCACTAGCTCTACAGGTTATCCTTTCCAGTGCTCTTTCATCACTAGCTCTACAGGTTATCCTTTCCATTGCTCTTTCATCACTAGCTCTACAGGTTATCCTTTCCATTGCTCTTACATCACTAGCTCTACAGGTTATCCTTTCCATTGCTCTTTCATCATTAGCTCTACAGGTTATCCTTTCCATTGCTCTTTCATCACTAGCTCTACAGGTTATCCTTTCCAGTGCTCTTTCATCACTAGCTCTACAGGTTATCCTTTCCAGTGCTCTTTCATCACTAGCTCTACAGGTTATCCTTTCCAGTGCTCTTTCATCACTAGCTCTACAGGTTATCCTTTCCATTGCTCTTTCATCACTAGCTCTACAGGTTATCCTTTCCAGTGCTCTTTCATCACTAGCTCTACAGGTTATCCTTTCCATTGCTCTTTCATCACTAGCTCTACAGGTTATCCTTTCCAGTGCTCTTTCATCACTAGCTCTACAGGTTATCCTTTCCATTGCTCTTTCATCACTAGCTCTACAGGTTATCCTTTCCATTGCTCTTACATCACTAGCTCTACAGGTTATCCTTTCCATTGCTCTTTCATCATTAGCTCTACAGGTTATCCTTTCCATTGCTCTTTCATCACTAGCTCTACAGGTTATCCTTTCCAGTGCTCTTTCATCACTAGCTCTACAGGTTATCCTTTTCAGTGCTCTTTCATCACTAGCTCTACAGGTTATCCTTTCCATTGCTCTTTCATCACTAGCTCTACAGGTTATCCTTTCCAGTGCTCTTTCATCACTAGCTCTACAGGTTATCCTTTGCATTGCTCTTTCATCACTAGCTCTACAGGTTATCCTTTCCAGTGCTCTTTCATCACTAGCTCTACAGGTTATCCTTTCCATTGCTCTTTCATCACTAGCTCTACAGGTTATCCTTTCCATTGCTCTTACATCACTAGCTCTACAGGTTATCCTTTCCATTGCTCTTACATCACTAGCTCTACAGGTTATCCTTTCCAGTGCTCTTTCATCACTAGCTCTACAGGTTATCCTTTCCATTGCTCTTTCATCACTAGCTCTACAGGTTATCCTTTCCAGTGCTCTTTCATCACTAGCTCTACAGGTTATCCTTTCCATTGCTCTTTCATCACTAGCCCTACAGGTTATCCTTTCCATTGCTCTTACATCATTAGCTCTACAGGTTATCCTTTCCAGTGCTCTTTCATCACTAGCTCTACAGGTTATCCTTTCCAGTGCTCTTTCATCACTAGCTCTACAGGTTATCCTTTCCATTGCTCTTTCATCACTAGCTCTACAGGTTATCCTTTCCATTGCTCTTACATCACTAGCTCTACAGGTTATCCTTTCCATTGCTCTTACATCACTAGCTCTACAGGTTATCCTTTCCAGTGCTCTTTCATCACTAGCTCTACAGGTTATCCTTTCCAGTGCTCTTTCATCACTAGCTCTACAGGTTATCCTTTCCATTGCTCTTTCATCACTAGCTCTACAGGTTATCCTTTCCATTGCTCTTTCATCACTAGCCCTACAGGTTATCCTTTCCATTGCTCTTACATCATTAGCTCTACAGGTTATCCTTTCCAGTGCTCTTTCATCACTAGCTCTACAGGTTATCCTTTCCAGTGCTCTTTCATCACTAGCTCTACAGGTTATCCTTTCCAGTGCTCTTTCATCACTAGCTCTACAGGTTATCCTTTCCAGTGCTCTTTCATCACTAGCTCTACAGGTTATCCTTTCCAGTGCTCTTTCATCACTAGCTCTACAGGTTATCCTTTCCAGTGCTCTTTCATCACTAGCTCTACAGGTTATCCTTTCCAGTGCTCTTTCATCACTAGCTCTACAGGTTATCCTTTCCAGTGCTCTTTCATCACTAGCTCTACAGGTTATCCTTTCCAGTGCTCTTTCATCACTAGCTCTACAGGTTATCCTTTCCAGTGCTCTTTCATCACTAGCTCTACAGGTTATCCTTTCCAGTGCTCTTTCATCACTAGCTCTACAGGTTATCCTTTCCAGTGCTCTTTCATCACTAGCTCTACAGGTTATCCTTTCCATTGCTCTTTCATCACTAGCTCTACAGGTTATCCTTTCCAGTGCTCTTTCATCACTAGCTCTACAGGTTATCCTTTCCAGTGCTCTTTCATCACTAGCTCTACAGGTTATCCTTTCCAGTGCTCTTTCATCACTAGCTCTACAGGTTATCCTTTCCAGTGCTCTTTCATCACTAGCTCTACAGGTTATCCTTTCCAGTGCTCTTTCATCACTAGCTCTACAGGTTATCCTTTCCAGTGCTCTTTCATCACTAGCTCTACAGGTTATCCTTTCCAGTGCTCTTTCATCACTAGCTCTACAGGTTATCCTTTCCAGTGCTCTTTCATCACTAGCTCTACAGGTTATCCTTTCCAGTGCTCTTTCATCACTAGCTCTACAGGTTATCCTTTCCAGTGCTCTTTCATCACTAGCTCTACAGGTTATCCTTTCCAGTGCTCTTTCATCACTAGCTCTACAGGTTATCCTTTCCAGTGCTCTTTCATCACTAGCTCTACAGGTTATCCTTTCCATTGCTCTTTCATCACTAGCTCTACAGGTTATCCTTTCCATTGCTCTTACATCACTAGCTCTACAGGTTATCCTTTCCATTGCTCTTTCATCACTAGCTCTACAGGTTATCCTTTCCAGTGCTCTTCCATCACTAGCTCTACAGGTTATCCTTTCCAGTGCTCTTTCATCACTAGCTCTACAGGTTATCCTTTCCATTGCTCTTTCATCACTAGCTCTACAGGTTATCCTTTCCATTGCTCTTACATCACTAGCTCTACAGGTTATCCTTTCCATTGCTCTTTCATCACTAGCTCTACAGGTTATCCTTTCCATTGCTCTTTCATCACTAGCCCTACAGGTTATCCTTTCCATTGCTCTTACATCATTAGCTCTACAGGTTATCCTTTCCAGTGCTCTTTCATCACTAGCTCTACAGGTTATCCTTTCCAGTGCTCTTTCATCACTAGCTCTACAGGTTATCCTTTCCAGTGCTCTTTCATCACTAGCTCTACAGGTTATCCTTTCCAGTGCTCTTTCATCACTAGCTCTACAGGTTATCCTTTCCAGTGCTCTTTCATCACTAGCTCTACAGGTTATCCTTTCCAGTGCTCTTTCATCACTAGCTCTACAGGTTATCCTTTCCAGTGCTCTTTCATCACTAGCTCTACAGGTTATCCTTTCCAGTGCTCTTTCATCACTAGCTCTACAGGTTATCCTTTCCAGTGCTCTTTCATCACTAGCTCTACAGGTTATCCTTTCCAGTGCTCTTTCATCACTAGCTCTACAGGTTATCCTTTCCCGTGCTCTTTCATCACTAGCTCTACAGGTTATCCTTTCCATTGCTCTTTCATCACTAGCTCTACAGGTTATTCTTTCCATTGCTCTTACATCACTAGCTCTACAGGTTATCCTTTCCATTGCTCTTTCATCATTAGCTCTACAGGTTATCCTTTCCATTGCTCTTTCATCACTAGCTCTACAGGTTATCCTTTCCATTGCTCTTTCATCACTAGCTCTACAGGTTATCCTTTCCAGTGCTCTTTCATCACTAGCTCTACAGGTTATCCTTTCCATTGCTCTTTCATCACTAGCTCTACAGGTTATCCTTTCCATTGCTCTTACATCACTAGCTCTACAGGTTATCCTTTCCATTGCTCTTACATCACTAGCTCTACAGGTTATCCTTTCCAGTGCTCTTTCATCACTAGCTCTACAGGTTATCCTTTCCATTGCTCTTTCATCACTAGCTCTACAGGTTATCCTTTCCAGTGCTCTTTCATCACTAGCTCTACAGGTTATCCTTTCCATTGCTCTTTCATCACTAGCCCTACAGGTTATCCTTTCCATTGCTCTTACATCATTAGCTCTACAGGTTATCCTTTCCAGTGCTCTTTCATCACTAGCTCTACAGGTTATCCTTTCCAGTGCTCTTTCATCACTAGCTCTACAGGTTATCCTTTCCATTGCTCTTTCATCACTAGCTCTACAGGTTATCCTTTCCATTGCTCTTACATCACTAGCTCTACAGGTTATCCTTTCCATTGCTCTTACATCACTAGCTCTACAGGTTATCCTTTCCAGTGCTCTTTCATCACTAGCTCTACAGGTTATCCTTTCCATTGCTCTTTCATCACTAGCTCTACAGGTTATCCTTTCCAGTGCTCTTTCATCACTAGCTCTACAGGTTATCCTTTCCATTGCTCTTTCATCACTAGCCCTACAGGTTATCCTTTCCATTGCTCTTACATCATTAGCTCTACAGGTTATCCTTTCCAGTGCTCTTTCATCACTAGCTCTACAGGTTATCCTTTCCAGTGCTCTTTCATCACTAGCTCTACAGGTTATCCTTTCCAGTGCTCTTTCATCACTAGCTCTACAGGTTATCCTTTCCAGTGCTCTTTCATCACTAGCTCTACAGGTTATCCTTTCCAGTGCTCTTTCATCACTAGCTCTACAGGTTATCCTTTCCAGTGCTCTTTCATCACTAGCTCTACAGGTTATCCTTTCCATTGCTCTTTCATCACTAGCTCGACAGGTTATCCTTTCCATTGCTCTTTCATCACTAGCTCTACAAGTTATCCTTTCCATTGCTCTTTCATCACTAGCCCTACAGGTTATCCTTTCCATTGCTCTTTCATCACTAGCTCTACAGGTTATCCTTTCCATTGCTCTTTCATCACTAGCTCTACAAGTTATCCTTTCCATTGCTCTTTCATCACTAGCTCTACAGGTTATCCTTTCCAGTGCTCTTTCATCACTAGCTCTACAGGTTATCCTTTCCATTGCTCTTTCATCACTAGCTCTACAAGTTATCCTTTCCATTGCTCTTTCATCACTAGCTCTACAGGTTATCCTTTCCATTGCTCTTTCATCACTAGCTCTACAGGTTATCCTTTCCATTGCTCTTTCATCACTAGCTCTACAGGTTATCCTTTCCATTGCTCTTTCATCACTAGCTCTACAGGTTATCCTTTCCATTGCTCTTTCATCACTAGCTCTACAGGTTATCCTTTCCATTGCTCTTTCATCACTAGCTCTACAGGTTATCCTTTCCATTGCTCTTTCATCACTAGCTCTACAGGTTATCCTTTCCATTGCTCTTTCATCACTAGCTCTACAGGTTATCCTTTCCATTGCTCTTTCATCACTAGCTCTACAGGTTATCCTTTCCATTTACGTTTTGTATTATTCACTCCCATACATTCTGGAATATTTTGGAAGCAGGGAAAAATGAAACTGTGCTTGTAAATCTGCATGATGCTATATGCATACAGTACACGCCATACACATCATACAGTACACGCCATACACATCATACAGTACACGCCATACACATCATACAGTACACGCCATACACATTATACAGTACACGCCATACACATCATACAGTACACGCCATACACATCATACAGTACACGCCATACACATCATCATACTGACCAACCACCAGAATCTCAATCCCTTGACAAGACATGCAGAATCCCTGGATTTTTCTCAAAATCCCTGGATGGCACAAAAACAAGTGAAAAAGGGCTTTTCCCGCCAAAAAAAAGTTCAACTCTGCAGATCTGCGTACGGCACAGTTCGACCCTGCATCGCAGTTCGATCAGTCGGCGCCTGCATAGCGACGGTCAGGTCTTGAAAGTGCCGTGCACAGTTCGATGTGCGAGTGCGCACCGTACATATTTTGGAAAAAACCGGGACATTCGAGGCGAATCCATGGAGTTTTCAGGAAAATCCTGTATCAAACGAAACTGTGACTTTCCGGGAGTTTGCTTGAAATCCCCGGGACCCCGGGAGTAGTGTTGATTTCCCGGGATATTCCCGGGAAAACCGGGAGGGTTGGCCAGTATGCATCATACAGTACACGCCATACACATCATACAGTACACGCCATACACATCATACAGTACACGCCATACACATCATACAGTACACGCCATACACATCATACAGTACACGCCATACACATCATACAGTACACGCCAAGCACATCATACAGTGGACTACTAAGTTCTAACAATGGCAAGAAACAAGAAGCATCTTCCCGACAGAAAACTTGATCTAAACTAAGCGTTTACCTTGAAAATTATGTTTGTCCCATTCTCATTCCAACGCAACACACGAAACTATCTTATCTCCAGAAACACAGGGAGTACATTGTATATGTATATGCAAGTTGCTTTTACCTCTGGCCCATCAGATAGCTTATCATTGCCCATCAGGTGAAACTTGGTGAATCGGATGCGAAGGTTGGTGAGCCGTCGGACGTTGTGCACAGCCTGCAGATACGGATCATCTCTCTCATTCACACTGAGTGCATCTAAGGGTACAAACACCATCTGCAGAGAGAGAGAAAGAGAGAGAATGATAAGGGTCTCTGCTGGTCTTGACTAGCTATTGACTGGCTATTGACAATCTCTTTCTTGACGGAGTTGCTGTTGCCGTTGTTTTTGCTACCCTTTCGTTTTCCCTCCTAACCCCTACTTTTCTTAATCGCCATGGTTGGCTACCACCCACTCTCTTCACATTGACCGGCGTTTCCACTGAGTCTAGAGATGTTGCAACAAAATAAATAAGAGGGAGGAGAGAGTAGGTGAGTGAGTGTGTGTGAGAGAGAGAGAGAGAGAGAGCGAGAGAGAGCGAGAGAGAGCGAGAGAGAGAGAGAGAGAGAGAGAGAGAGAGAGAGAGAGAGAGAGAGAGAGAGAGAGAGAGAGAGAGAGAGAGAGAGAGAGAGAGAGAGAGAGAGAGAGAGAGAGAGAGAGAGAGAGAGAGAGAGAGAGAGAGAGAGAGAGAGAGAGAAAGAGAAAGAGAAAGAGAAAGAGAGAGAGAGAGAAAGAGAGGGGGTGAGTGAGAGAGAACAGAAAGAAAGAGTGAGAGAGAGAGAGAGTGAATGACAGAGTGAGTGAGAGAGAGAGAAAGGGAGAGGTTTCTTTTTTGAAAATTGTGATAGAGACTGGTACCTCTTCGAAGATTTTAGTTCCGATGAGGTCGACATGGCCAGGGGTTATCTTAACCTCTCTTGCTCATAATTGCTATAGTCTTAAGCAAAGTGAGGCGTCCAATCCAAGATGCTCCCATAAGGTTGGATATCTAACCCAAAATCGAGAGTTTTCAACCAGCCCTCAAGCTATTTTGAACGGACACCTTGCTATATGATCCAGGGTTCAGTTATCTCGGTCTACGTAATACAGTGCAAACAGCATACTTCAAAGTTCATATACAATGGAGGCAAAAGGCTCCTTGCTGGCCTTATTTGTACTTCCAAGTACGTGTAACGCTGTGTAATCTGAGGGAAACCGGGGGATCAATGATGGAAAGTAATGGTGCTCAAAGGAAGGAATCATTTTTTCGATGCCAACTAAAGCGGAGCAGCTATGTGGATGACCTTGCTTACCTGTGGCATTCTATCTGCTTCAAACAACAAATCTAAGCTATTATGTGAGGACAGCTGGCTCTCCTAGACAGATGCGTACCTGGCTTCCTTCGTACGGTTCCGGTGCTGAGTATCGTCTGGTGCAACGCGCTGGGTAGATTGTTGTGTTGCCTCGCTGATCCTTGGGCACACGCAACTCAGACTCATCCACGCCGAAACACTCCTGGCAGTTGTGTGCAAAGTATTGATAGACGTGCCAGCTGCGACCGTAATCAATGCTACGCTCCACCACCATACAGCGTGGCCTCAGCGACTTCCAGTACATGGTGACGTGACTCAGGTGAAACATGCTACTGAAGTCTATCCGAAGCTCCACCTGATGGTCACAGCAATAGCAGCACAGCACATACACACACACATATACACACACATCTACCCTGTACACCTCGTAGTTACTTATTGGCACGGAGTGCTCAGTGAGTGTGGTGGCTGAGTGTTTCCACAAGAATACGGACAACTTGATGAATGTTGCTGCTACAGCAGGTTTCAGTACCATGTTATAATATTCTGTGGTCCCCAATGGTACAAACAACCAATCACTCGTACACATACACGTACAATGGTACAAGCAAAGCCGCCCATATGAAAACATGTCCATGGTATCTATGTGACATGTTTTATCCTTTCGTTGGGATGACCCCCCCCCCCCCCCTTACCACTTCTTCAGTTGACCAATCTGAAGCCCTGCTGGACATGGCATGTTTCCAAAGTCCAAGGGGAACACTGTAAACAATGCAATAAGAGATCAACTGTCACGATGTTGAGAGCTAGTGCTGGTCCTCTCCGGCACTTGGCCATGCCTCAGCTGACCAGTATGACCCTGTCCTAGTGCCTCTAGAGACCACCTGTTTCTGAAGACCAGCTGTATCTGAGGATCAGCTGTATCTACACCATGCAGTGTTCACTATACATGGCAGCACCGGTGGAAGCAGTTTTTGATTGGTCCGACTATCCTAGCCGTACATACAGTTTGTGTAGGATGTGATGGGTAGGCCTGACCTGCTCAGCCGAGTAAACACATGTTGGTGGCCAACAAGTTCGTCCGGCAATGACCTGACCAACCAGACCGGTTCCGCCGGGCCTGTATGGGCCTCACTGTATACTGGCTACTAGCTGTAGGAATGGTTCTACTATGGCGGCAGAGAGGAATACACCAATCTCAAGAATTCCAAGCCAGCTACCCCCCCCCCCCCCCCTTCACAGCCTCCTCTCGAACCCGACTTCGAAACTCAACATGCAAGAAATATACAGTTTACTTATCCAGGTAAGATCTACTAAGCCGTACTCACGTTTTCTACGCCTGCTTCAGACTGCCACCAAGTCCAATCTTCGCGACGCTTGTTGACCTGTGAGTCGGTCAGCAGCATGGCCGTGTGCTTCTCATCTTGGCTGGACGAGTTAGAATAGCAGTACCGGCATTCGTCACGCTTTACCGGCGAGCAGTAGCGCTCACGAGTCAGCTGGCCGCACGTGCTGCTTGGGAAAATGCGACGGCCAAGAAGCAGGTCACCAATCGGTGGGATATTGCAGCCTGTACTGGCATTGCAGTATGTTTCTGAAAAAAGAAGATTTATAAAAAAGAAAGAAGGAAAAGAACAAGAAAAGGTACATGACACTCGCGTAGAACACAGCAAGAAGAAATCCTGTAAACACGCTCATCTCCATGCAGCAGAAGTCTCTGTCGACATGCAAACAGGATTCACCTCAATGTTACCCCCCCCCCCCCCCCCCACACACACACACAAACACACACGACAACCAGTGTGGCCCACTATTCTGGGAGACCAGATAGAGTCACAGAGTTGGAAAGTCTTCGCTGCACGTTAATTCCAAGCCCTTACCAGTATTTTATCTGAAGCAAACTTTCTGAAAAACTCAATTACTACACTGGTTAAGGAAGAACTTGGCAGCTCCTATAGTGTTGGAACTCACACTTCCTCAGATGTGACTGACACTTGACTGACTCAATAATATCACCGAGAGCACATCAGAACCATGTCAAGCATTCACTCCCTATTAAAATACACTGTGGCACAGTTCCGGGGAATTTACTCCTCGTCACGGTTATCATGAGTAAAAGTGTCAGTCAGCCGTAAACGCGCACTTCAACGCTAGGAGCAGCCAACTTCTAACAGTGCCACCAAAGTCTTGACATCTCAGTTTTATGGTTAGGACAACCCATAAAAAGGCATAAGAATACTTCAAAGTGTGCGGTTAGCTGCCCAAATGAAGTGCAAATGATACACCGAGATAGCAAGTATACCCTATTTCCACACATATAAGTTGCACCTTTTACACTAAACTTCTATGGTGAAAGGGGGGGGGGGGGGTGGTGCGACTCACAAAGCTACAATAGACTGTGACATCCTACCTATGACATTACTACAGTGAAACAACATGGCTCAAACGTGAAATTTGGCGTGCGACTTCTAACCTAATGCGACTTCTAACCTAATGCGACTTCTAACCTAATGCGACTTCTAACCTAATGCGACTTCTAACCTAATGCGACTTCTAACCTAATGCGACTTCTAACCTAATGCGACTTCTAACCTAATGCGACTTCTAACCTAATGCGACTTCTAACCTAATGCGACTTCTAACCTAATGCGACTTCTAACCTAATGCGACTTAAACATCAAGCAAATATGGCACTGTAAACATCAAAATTATATTCTACAGTCGCTGCCAAAGAAACCCCCGGGCCCACGTGCAGAAAGCAGCGCCAAGGCTCATGCCGCCCTCAGATTGGTTTTTGGAGCGTGCGTGATGTAATTGAAATGGAAACGCGGCGCTACATTTGACTCGTGGGTGCATGGGATTTCTTGGGCCGGAACTGTACATGGCCGAGTAAATCTATACTTTAAATGTGCAAGGCTGGCGAAAGAACAAAGGAAACTGAGCAGAAGACCAGCTTGCTTTGTCATCCCTGCTTTTGGGCCATGCACTTCACTAAGTATACTGTCGTGGACATGGAAATCCAGTTGATTGACCGGGGCCGGTGCCCTCAGCGCGTACAGAACAGCGCTTGACCCGGTGCGACCAGCGCGCTGCAGCATGTGTGTACCGCTTCTCCACGGCTGCATGACCAGCGCCCCGAGGCCGCTAGACGTGCGACCGGATTTCCATGTCCACGACAGTACTTGCTCTGCCATGTAGAATGATGTGTGGTTTTACAGTACCACATTTCCCAGATTTTAAGTCGCATTAGGTTAGAAGTCGCACCCCAACTTTCACGTTTGAGCACATAATGCACCTGAAGAACGTAGCATTCACATGTACATGCATATGCCATGGCATGCACGGAAGAAAAAAATGACTTCTGCACAACACGCAAGTCAGGTTCGAAAGTTTTGTCGTGCCCGAAAGTTTATACCCCGCCCGAAAGTTAGTACTGGTGTCAGGACCGCCGGAAGCAGTTTTTGATTGGTCCGTTAGTTTCAGTGCCTTTCATACTTTGTGTATGACATGACGGGCACACGTGACCTCCAAAGTAGAAAACATGTGTTTGTGCCTAAAATGCTGGCCCGGTGATAATTTGACCAGCTGAATCGGGTGTTGTTTTCTTTAATCCGGTGACCCTGGGTGTGACCACTTACTGATTCGAATGTAAGTACGTATTTATTAACAGGGGTTTACGGTATTGCACCTACGCTGTACTGCTTCAGTTCACCAGGAATTAGATAATGGCGCTGAGAATAATGCGGCATGCTGGTGATCTGCATTTTCCTCATGCACGGCGCAATGCTTCAAGCCTTGCACCGTGCACGAGGACCCGTGTTCGCAGATCTAGAACTGCATAGCGCCCTGCGTGTACTTAATTCACGTGATCGGGTTTTATTGAGCAGCACTATACAATGACTGTACAATGATGTAATGATTATCTACTGTGTACAATGATGTCTGTAAAAATAGTAAAGTGCTGCTGCACAATGCATACGCACCCTGAATGTTTTGAGGTGCTCCCAACACTGGTTCCAAGTCGCTCTGACCGACCACCAAGTAGCAGCAACAGCACAAGCTGACCAACGTCAGTACGCAACTCCAGACTGTCCCAGTCATTCCAACTCCGCTACCACCCGGCATCCGCCTTGTAAAACTGATTGTAGATCTCTGCTCAACTCTTTCATTCACTGTCGTAACACACCTACTAGCAACAGTACAGCCCAGTCATAGAGTCGCTGCTGCTGGCGACTCACAGCCACTCAAGTCCTTGCCGGCGTCAGAAGAAAAACCCCATCGCCTCACGAATAACGCGCACACACACTAAACCGGCCGCCGTAGTAACGCACTGATCAGCTCCTCTTTCTGCCGGTGGGTCGGTGAGCTCGTCCTCTCCAGAATCACCAATGACTATGTCCGTAATCGTACTCGTAGATCTACCATGATCTACTGACGGACGACGGTCACTTCAAAAGATCGCTGCGACTTGCGAATGAACTTTGATGGGCATAGCAGCAATGCTAGCATGATCGTGTCTGTCAGTTTTTTGGCAGCTGAGATAGAAGCCGGGGCTACAAATCAGCCGGAGCGAACTGGATCCACACACCAAACGTGGCTACATTTGCGAAGTCTGTAGTGCGGACTCAGTGGCAACATAGCGTTGGTAACATACACGCGTACTTGCTCGCACTGGGGCACCCGCTCACGCCACTGAAATCCTCCGGCCATTGTCGGAGAATGTCTGAGGCGGGCTACAGACGACCGCACGTCGATCGCTTCTGACAGAAGATGCTGATACTGAGCCAAAGGGCTACCAAAGATCAGATGCACGGCCAGACATCTCCAAGGATTTAGCAAATGTGTCGGCAGCCACCTCTGGCTTTCGCCATGCCATGGCTGCATTTACCACCTAGATCTACCTGGAGTGGATGTGGCACGAAGCAGCAACAGAAAGGTCCCACTCAACTAAAGTGCAGCCCAGTGACCAGTGACCAGTGACCAGTGCCAGTGGTGGTGACACGATCGGAATGCGAGGAAAAGCAACTCAGTACTGGGAACTGTAACAACTTACTTACTTATTATTATGCTTATTATTTCCTTCGTGAAGTGGCAGCATGAAAATGTCCAGAAAGAGAAGATGACACACGGTCGATCGACCGGTCCTCTCCCATACGTAGCCTTGTGTATGTTGTTTTGGTAGTGCTAGTACACATGGTACATTGTACACTGTATGTAGCAATCCTCCTCAGAGCTCTACTCGTTCGCCAAGAAGCTAGTACGTAAACCATGTAAACAGTTCAGATGAAGCTGTGAGTGGGAAAGGTCGGAGAACACTTCGTGGGTTGATCGGTTTCAGACCAGTACTTGAGCCTATAGTATACTAGTTACCATGGTTACTACAGGTAACTGGTTACATAAAGATAATTGTTGTGTAGTGGAAATTTTGATTGTCTAGGGTCTGCATGACCAGCAGCTAGATCTCCCTACCGACACTGAAGTACTGAGCTTCCCTGAACTAACTATTACACGTACAGACTGTATACATGTACCGGCAAAACAATTATCAAAAATGGTATTAATTTTATAGTACTTTGTATATCCGATATCCAACAAAACAGTTCTCATAATGTACAATCATGTAGGACATAGCACTAAAGAAAATACAATTAAATTTTCAGACCTGTAAAACACTACTGGTATACTAGTACCAGTTACAGCTAACTAGTTACTAATTACTTACATGTGTACATGACTGTACATGTACGTGGTTGTATAGCTGGTACATCATGAACATGGTAGTCCACCTGGTATTTTAGTACAGATTTGACAGCTAGAATGTTCTGATTGCGGTACATCTAGGGAACAAGACAGTAAGTAAAGAAGAGGTAGCTAAGCTCAGCGACTCTCTCTCTCTCTCTCCCCCCCCCCCCCCCCCCCCCCCTGGCCCCCCATCCACACCTAAAGTCCTTGAATAACTTTTAGCCGGCCAAGTCGGTTTGTGCAGTGGTGTGGATTGAGGCATTATCACTGAACATGGTTGCAATCAGGCAATATTCTTCACTGAGTGCGTCTTCCGCCTTGCCACCGAGCTGTCATAAGTTTAATCAGTGGTGAATGACAAGTAGATACTACCGTAGCTCAACTTTAGTGATCTGTGGAGAGTTCACAGACTTGGAAATGTCACAAACCTTGACCATAACGTACCTCACAACTTTGCGTGAAGCAAGCACTGTACACTGATTCATAATTTATTATCTTCAAGAGCAACCCAGAGTCATGAACGCGTTAACGGTGAAGGTATAGTGCACCGCCAAAGGCATTTTAATACAGTAGTCAGGCAATATTGGTCCAGGGACGAATTCAGGACTCAAGGACATTTGACCTTGTCAAAGTCGCGTGAGTTCTGTCATCTTGCCGGGGTGGAATGGTGACCTGGTGTTGAGGAGCTGCTATAATTATGCAGCCACATGCTACAGCATGCAACAACCATTACACCCAGGCCAGGGTTGGCACATGTAGCAGGACTTAGCATTGCAAATATTATTCCAGTTCAGCCACCACACCATCACTGCACTCTCTGGTGGATTTCGACACATTGCACAGAGCATCATCCGCAAACTGCAAGATTCCGGCAGGTATTGAGGTCCTCATTACTATAGAGTAGACCATACAAACATACAGGATAAAAATATATATCTGGACACGACTATGCTATGTGCACACAGCTACATTCCAACAGCAATATGTTAGAGCTAAAATACGGTTTTATTCGAAATACACAGAACAACAAGAGCAGCAATCAAGGCTAGTTAGTAGTCAGTCGCTACTCTGAGTTTCATGTTCACGAAATAGAAAAGACAAGAGAGAGAGAGAGAGAGAGAGAGTAGGTTTCACTGTTGGAGACGAAAAATACGACATAAAGATTGTCCTGCAACCACCAGCTCCTAGAAGTCATTGTACAAGTAGTATGTATGTACATTGATCTTTTTTTAAACGAAGTAATCCGAAATAAAGGGCTAGCCAACATGTAAGAAAACTATAATTATGAGGGACTAATCCGATGTGGGTACGACTGTACAACAATACAGTTAAAACATGTTGCCAAAGAGAAGCAGGAATACAATCATACCGGTAGTCTGTAGCGTAGCAAGAACAGAGGAAATAATCTAACATGGCAGAAACGTCACAAAATGTCTCACTTTCACCTGCTCAGCTGTGGCCACTAACGGAAATATAGGAGTACCATCGCTCTGCCATTGCTCAACGTTGACTGCTCATTCTGCAGTATGGTACACTGGTTCAACTTGATCATTGCTGCTGAAGTCTGAAGTGATTGTGAGAAGCCGACAGGATTTCCACCCACTGGGTTTGACATGTGTGCGGAAGACAATCACAGCACTTCGCTTGCAGTGTTACCAGCATCCAGATCAGCCTGATGGTCATTGGGGACCGCTGCTGCTTAAACTGCCTCCTCCATTGCAGCATCTGAGGTCACTTCATTGCTAGCCGCCGCACAACCATTATCACCTAGCTCCTTGTCCGAGTCGCCTCCGTCACCACCATCTGCTGTCACACGTCCAGTCGCTGATGGAGCATCAGGTGCGATGGTGTTTGTTTCCTCAATGGAATCAGCACTCACTGCAACATCAGCAGCAACAGCAGTTGCGGTAGCAGCATCGTCAGAACAGTTTGCCTCACTCTCTGACTTTTCACTCCCCTCTGCAGCACCAGCAGAGGCGTCTCCACTATTCGACAGGGCATTTTCAGGCATGCCCACCTCCACGACGGCGACATCACCAAGATCTTCCTTCCTCACTTTCATGTTGACAGGTTGATCTTTGGACGCCGCCGATGGTCCTCCCAGTCTCTTGGCATCGGCGAGACCCAGCATTGCCAGAAACTTGTCGACCCAGTCATCAAGCCAATCATGGTGCACCAGTCCTTCCAGCAAGTCTTTTGGCAGACCTGAGTAGCCATACTTGCAGCCGAGCAGAGCGCCGCACACAGCACCGTTGCTGCAGTTCACACAATGCACACACAGCACTGTTGCTGCAGTATACACAACGCGAGAGATCGAACGAGTCAAAAGAGCTCAAAGAGCCGAACCACCTTCAGGGCTTTACATGCCTCGATACCCTGAGAAAGCATTCCTTGTTCAGCTGAAGGGTCAACTACCAATGCCTCCACGTCTTCCAAACCAGACGACTCTACACACTACACGATTACTCATGTTGCAAAGAAATTACAGTCAAAACAGATTTCCGAAATAAACAATAAAAATAACTTCAAAAATAAGTGATCCCTTGATTGCGAATTCTTTCCCTCTACTATTTACACAATACCACACACGTACACACATATGCATGCATGCAAACACACACGCACACACATACGTGAACACACACACAGTCGTTCCCAGCACATGCCTGGAGAAAGCACAAACCTGTCTGCATCACCGGCCTCCATGACCAGTTCAGTGATTGTACGCCGAAAGTCAGTGTCAGTACGCAGGCCAAAAATTCCAGCACCCATGGCTTTATATGTGTATCTAAGCACACAAACACATACGTACACACATGCATACACACACACACACACACACACACACACACACACACACACACACACACACAGAAAAAGGGGAAATTTGAGTGCGGATGCAGATTTTCTCGCACTGCGATTTTCTTAGCTTATGTCTCAAGTGTGTCTAGCAGTACCACCAGGAGTTGCTGCATCAACCTTAGTAAGGATCTTGCGTCAGAGGACCAAGCCTTCTTCGTCAAGCTGCTTCTCGGAGCAGGGGTTCGGAGCACGGACATCCGAGTGATTGATATTCATGGCAGGAGAGGTATGTGTAAAGTAACTCTTTCCTCGATCGCTGCCCGTGACAAGTTGCTCTCCCGCGGACTGTCGGCCCAAGGGAAGCCCTTGCCACTGGTGCCAGGGGATGGCACTGCGGAAACGGTGCATGTATTGGGAGTTCCGCATGACGTGCCGCTGTCGGCCAATACTTCTTCACCGGGCCGTTTTGGGCCACTCTTGGGGCCCGCCTAAAAGGAGACAAAGACGGTCGAGGGCTGCACTTTTAGTACGGGTATGGTGTACTACACCAGGGAACCCACAATCGCTGTCCCCAGCTACATCACCGTAGAAACTACGAGTTTGGCACAAAGGGCAGACCCCCACGTGCTGGAAATGCAGTAACCCCGGCCACATGACCAGGGACTGCAGGGCGATCTCACACCAGGGCACCAAACCCAGTCCGGGCACACCACGTCAATTCAGTACAGCCCAGACTCCAATGCCAACAGGCGAGCTTGGACCACACCAAGAATTACTTGGACAGGGGCAGGAGAACCAGGAAGTGGCAGTGCGACCAACACCAGCACAGCAGCAACAGGAAGGCAGTGTGGACAAGGAGGCATATGATCATGTCGCTGAATGCACAACCTTGGACGTACGCCAATGCGTTGGGAGTTCACACTCTCTGCACGAGTGCTCAAGCCCAGGCGGCTGCCCCCACATCTTTATCCACACCCGCGTTCCCGATGACTAGAAGCAAAGCTGGTCACCCATCGCCCGATGACCAGGGCTTAAAACTGGCTCGTGGGAAAGACACGTTCCCAGCGTGTGTTACACAGGCTGCAAAGCAGGGAGACCAGGAGATTGAGAGTGAGGAGAGCCAAGCCATTCGTCAACTCGTCACAAGGCTTCGAAGTATGCCACAGTGAAAGCTCGGGAGCAGGCGCAGGGACAGTTTGTAAGTTACCAGAGGTTGCGCACCTTGCATTGTCTGTCTCATTGGCTTAACTTTATTCCGCATTGTCTGTATATATTTGTCTCAACATTTTAGCCCTTTCTATGACTCTCCCTCTCAATCCTCATGCAACACCTTTTACACCTCATGCATCTGCGCTGATTCAGTCTGGAATAAAGATCGCCGCGCTCAATGCATACAGCTTAAGATACAAACTCCCAGAGATTGCCAGCCTCATCCGCACGCGTCAGTACGACATCTTGGGTCTGTCACAGACATGGCTAGATCCCGAGATTACAGATGGAGAGCTCAGTATCGACGGGTATAATCGGCTTCGAAAAGACCGCACTCAACGCTTGGGTGGCAGAGTCTGCTTCTACTACTGTCAAGATCTCCCAGTTCGAGCCTGCCCAGATCTGCATTCTGACTCAACAGAAACAGTCTGGGTACTGCTTTCTCTATTTTTTTAGCAGGTCCACGACCTGCTAACCAGTGTAGCAATAAACGGAAAACCAGGCCGGCACCTGGTTGGTTGCGTGTACCGGCCACCAGGGAGCCAGTGTCTTACTGGGCAGATTAGGAAGCAGCTATTGTACAAGCGGCTGTTCAGTCTTCTTCCGTGACCCTAGTTGGGGACGTTAATGGAAATACGGACCCAGACCAGCACAAACACCTCAACGACCTCTGTGCAGTGTTTGGCCTCCAGAACATTGTCATGCAGCCGACCTGTGAAACTCTTCAGTGCCCTGAATATCTACTTTATGGGGTCTAGGACACACATGGGCCATCGTTCAACCACAGGCACGAAGAAATGGGCTTGCCCTTTGGTCTTCATACTCCGTGTCATCAATTGCTTGACCATATTAAAATAAACACAAGTTTTTCTCATCTTTTTCAACTCGGATGGTGAGCCAAATAAATTATGGTGAAAAAGGAGAAGGACAAAATGCTACGAGTTATGACTAACTGTCCACCAACGTAACCAGATCTTATACAGTCAGCGAGTGCGACAAAATGGCACAAAAATGACAAGGAGTACTGAGACATTCTGCGACCTGACACCTAGTTCCAACACTTCTCCAAGGCGCAAACCAACAACCTTCCAACTTGGAAGGCTCAGGTTCGGAAAGGTCCAAGAGGGGAAGGAAAGCGTGACGAAGAAGAGCACGAGCTACGCATCACGGCAACAGAGAATGCCGAAAGTTACTGGATGGCATTCTTTGTTGCCGTGATGCGTAGCTCGTGCTCTTCTTCGTTGCTCTTTCCTTCCCCTCTTGGACATTTCCGAACCTGAGCCTTCCAAGTTGGAAGGTTGTTGGTTTGCGCCTTGGAGAAGTGTTGGAGCTAGGTGTGAGGTCGCCGAATGTCTCAGTACTCCTTGTCAGTTTTGTGCCATTTTGTCGCACTCGCTGACTGTATAAGATCTGGTTACGTTGGTGGACAGTTAGTCATAACTCGTAACATTTTGTCCTTCTCCTTTTTCTCATCTTTTTCTATTTTTTGTTTTTCATTAGCTTCAGCACGTTCATTCTCATTCTTCATCATTTGTGAGAACTAGACCTGGTCTAGTGAGAAGGCATTCTACTGCCTGTAATTCTGGTGAAGTAACAACAACAACAACAACAACAACAACAACAACAACAACAACAACAACAACAACAACAACAACAACAACAACAACACCAACAACAACACCAACAACAACAACAACAACAACAACAACAACAACAACAACAACAACAACAACAACAACAACAACAACAACAACAACAACAACAACAACAACAACAACAACAACAACAACAACAACCATGAAAGATAAGCCCATGCTGCCAGAAAGACCTCTGAAAAAGGCAAGAGATCTCGAAAGAAGCGCAGGAGGATCCGGAAGGGCAGCCAAGACCAGAATGACGAAGAAGAAGGTGTGAAGTATGAAGCTGGTGGTTTCTAAATGTCTTGAGATCACTAGCTCACCCTGGAGTACATTGGTACTATTTTCCTCCATTTTTTAGCATGTTTGCAACCTCCTAACCAGTGTAGCAAGGATCCTATGTGTCCCAGACCCCATAAAGTACATATTTTTGGAAACTGCCAAATTTTCCAGGTGCTGAACGTTTTAGAGTTTTTCACTTTTAATACGCTTGAGTAAGCTGACTTTTAACTTGAGCCCAAAGTTTGCATTACCGCATGATGCATGTTTGTCTGCCTGAATTTTTTGTTTTATGCATGCTTGTAGAATTTCCTTTGATTCAGCACTTGTACATATGTGAAGGAAATACTGGGGGCTACCCAGTTTCTGCTCGGCATTCTGCTATTTTTTAATATCGCGGTCAAAATATCGCCAATGCAGCATTCATATGAATTTGACTTTCTGGGGGTGAAGAATCTTGCGTACCAACTTTGTTTGTGCTTTGCTGTTTCCAGTGGAATGCGATGGATGTTTGGTCAAATTTTGAGTAAACCCCCTTTATTCCAGGTAAATTAACAGCGATTTTTCTGGAACAGGGTCGCGAACCCAGACACTATCTTGACTGATCCTGCTCTGCCTTCACTTACACTCGATGGCATAGCATTCAGGTTTTCTTTCATTCTCAATGTTGCTGCAGCTACATACTTATAACCCTTTAAGGAATAACTTCATGTAACATCTTCCTGAAGCTGCCCTGGTTCCAAACATTTCGCCATGACGTTAATTCCATTCCTCCTCCAGAGACATTCCTCCAGAGACTGACAATACAAATGCTGCATGAAACATCGCAGCTTCAAATCACAAATGACTCGAACAGCAGAATTGATGCGCCTCATGCAAACACTCCCCTCGCCACATGTACAATAATATAGGTTTGGGGAGGTGGACACGCACAAAAATGCATGCATATCAAAATCAAGAGTTGCAACCGTACCCGAGAGTTTTGGCGTCGTCCAGCTTTAGCGCAGTCCACGTCTTGACACCCATGTACTTGTGAAAGTCCTTCAGGCCAGTGTCGTGGCCTTGTAAGAACTTTTCTGCATGCTGTTTGACACAGAAGCAAAACAAGTGCAACAAGGCAAGAGAACAAATGATGCACACAACACGTGCGAGTTGGAAGTGTGGCAGAGAAAAAATATAAAAAATGGAGGATATGGGGTTCGAACCCATGGCCTCTCGCATGCAAAGCGAGCGCTCTACCACTGAGCTAAACCCCCAGATACAGAAACTATGGTCATAATACAGAAACTATGGTCATAATAGAGAAACTATGGTCATAATAGAGAAACTATGGTCATAATAGAGAAACCATGGTCATAATAGAGAAGAAGAAACTAAAGATAACATCATAAATAGCTTGTTGAGAACTGTGGCACTCTTCACGCGCACAGAGACGCAACCCATTGCAAGGAGATGAGCTTCGGCTTCTAGACTGCGATGAAGAGCACTGATAGTGCAACGAAGCTGCTGTCCACAGATAGGGGGAACACTATAAAATTGATGCATTGCAATTTGAGTTGAAAAGCTATTTTGCCGGCTTGCAGCAACATATACGTACTCTCGTACCCGTCGTGCCAGCCAACAGAGACACTAGTTTAAGTGCACATGCACTTGTAGTTAGAACGAAAACTTTGTTCAATTAATACAATGTAGTTATTGTTAGGCCCACAAGTAATTAGTTTATATTCATTAGTTCATGCATTATTCATTTGGCCTAAGTAGCTACTTGCGCGTCCATGTTTGCCATAGCTACCCAGGCCCTTTATATTGCGTTGCTTCTCTTCAACTCTCTCTCTCTCTCTCTTCAATAATCACTCTCTCTTCAACTCGCTCTCTTCAATAATCACCATGTAGTCGTTTCGTTCGTCCTGGTCTTAGTCATCCCGTCTCTAATAAATGTCGTTCCACCAACCTACATGTTCCCGTTGTTCTCTTGTTCGTACTCAACATAATTTCCCCAGAGAATCTGAATTGAAGAAAAGAGAGAGAGAGAGGAAAAAGATCAAGAGAACATAGCAACTTACCTGTGAACTGATTTTGATCAGCTCATTGACTTCTTTCTCATCATGAGCATCATATTCACCTTGCAACATCAGTGCAATCTGAGAAAGAAAGAAAGAGAGAGAGAGAGAGAGAGAGAGAGAGAGAGAGAGAGAGAGAGAGAGACAAAACAAGAACGACGACGACAACGGCGACGACGACAACAACAACAACAACAACAACAACAACAACAACAACAACAACAACAACAACAACAACAACAACAACAACAACAACAACAACAATATCTCTTATTGGCCACTGGCTATCGTGAGAATAAAGATTTGAAAAAACAACAACAACAACAACAACAACAACAACAACAACAACAACAACAACAACAACAACAACAACAACAACAACAACAACAACAACAACAACAACAACAACAACAACAACAACAATCAGCTAACTAATTAACTAATTAGTGTGTACTTCAGAAGTACATGTACATGCGCATAGCGGTAGAAAAACACAACTACAAGTTTTTGGGACAGAAATGCTTCATGTCAGCAAGTAACGTGTATCACTATGCCACTGTTCGAGTGACCTGACTTGTTTGGCCAAATACAACAAATGTGTGCAATGTGCAACAACCATGGGAAAAAGCACAGTCAGTACCCCCCTCTTTTTCTCCATACACATACTGGCCACGCATATCAGGTTATCCAGCTGGCATGCATATTGGCACAAACCAGAGAGAAGTAAAAATACTCCCCTAGTACAAACGGAACACCATCACAAGACCAGGTGATTGTCACACAAGACAGAAAGCGACAATGACATGTACATGCAGACTGTGATAGACTTACTGCAGTGGTAACAACAGCACAGCTAGCAATACAGCGAGGGTCAGCATGGGTCACCATGCAGAACTCCCTCGTCTGCCACAGCACTTTCTCGATATCTACACATGAAGTAGAGCAGGGCAGCATACAAAAAATGTCAGGGTGGTAACTCAGCACCACACACACGCACGCACTCACACAACTGCCAAGGAAAGAAATTGCATGCACACGTGAGAGAAGAATGCATGTACGACTCGTACATGCAGTAGCAAAGGAGTTTGCGGCAGTTCTGGCAAGGACACACACACGAGTAGTCAAGTGCATGGGATACGAACAACCAATCTGACATCTGTCATTTATCAACTACATGTACACATGCAAAACACAAGTTGGTCCCAACAACAACAGTCTTGATCAACAGCACTCATGCAGTACCACTTGCTCTACAGTACTGCCGGGTGACGAAGAATGCAGTGCTGAAGAATGTAGTGCTGAAGAATGCAGTGCCGAAGAACGAACAGGCTAGGATTTCACCAAGCAGAGCAGACCAATGTACACATGGTGACTCAACTGTGCATAGACTGATGAAAATAAGAATGGTCTAGGCCCTAGGAGGCTGACCCCCCCCCCCCCCCCCCTCGTTCTTCGGAACCCGACAGTGCTGTACTCCTAGCAATGCGGAGACCTCCAATTCATAGCATTGCAGGATGTGAATTAACTGCTGAGTTGAAATACACCCAGTCCTACAGTGCCAGTAACACTCAAGGCTAAATAGCCACTACATGTACTAAACACCTCACTACAATCACTGCCTTGTACATGTCCCTCTCTACAATCACTGCCTTGTACATGTCCCTCATAATTCTCAAGTAAATCGATACACAGTATGGAAAGAAAGAAGAGGGCAGTTGACACATCTAAGCCAGTACATGCGAAAGGGTGCTTAGCTCACTGCATATTGAACTGAGAAAAACGCACCTCAAGTTGCACTTTTATGTGTGCGACTGTTAGACTCCAACCAAAAAAATGCTTGTAAGTTGGGTATTACTAGGAGTTTTTGACTTTTTTTAATGATTTCTGAAGCTTGCAGGCACGTGGTGCACTAAAGAATCCAATTATTTCCAAAATTTGAGGCTGAGCACCCTTTTCACGTGCGCTGGCTTAAATAATAGCATGCACAAAACCAACACTAGTCAACAAACAATTACAGCATGAGTGTGTACACAGCATGCCCAACTTTACACGCATGTCATACCAACCATTGAAGTTGGCAGCTCCGGCAATTGCAGTTCGCATAATAGCACCGTTAGCAGCCAAGTAGCGACTTCGAGCATGCAGAGAATGGAGAAAGGAAAGTGGCGGTGTGCGCACACACAAACACACATGTACACACACATATACATACACACACACACACACACACACACACACGTACACACACACACACACCCACCGATACGATACACAGACACTGCGTCCAGGAGCATGACATACCGGGGGTAAACGTGTATCAACTATCAACTACAGCTAGCCCTACATGGCATACTAATAAAAACTGCAAAGACGTGCGCACAAGTACTACAAGTACTGCAGTCTACTACATGTACATGCAGCAGTACAGTTGGCACCTATGACATCAGGGGATGGCCCACGCCTGGTAAAAAAAACAACAACAAAAAACAATGAGGAGCATTAAAGACAGTCAGTGCAGTGCGCACATGTTCACCGGTTTGAGTGCTACGCACATGCTACAGTTCAGAAATGCAAATTGCACTCAGCAGCCACCAGTTCGGTCGATGATGGTTGAGCTACTGCAACTCTGCTCCGGGACCGGTGTCCTCGGAGGGCCATAATGGCCGAGCGAAGAAGGGCGAACCCCAACCTGCATCTGATCCATGCCATTGTGATGGAGTAAGGCTCATTCTTCTTGTCGCTGATGATCAGTCCGAGCCGCTTGTAAAGGGCAGTTGCCGCCTTGCCTTGGCCTCCGGTGGCACTGAATACGAGGGGAACGAAGGTGGCATGCTCCACCTCACGAACACGCTCCTCATAATGCCGACGCTTCTCACGCTCATGCTTTGCGTATGCGGCGGGGATGGAGTGGACCGAGTTCGAACGAGCATGAGGGTTGAACACCCGAATATCAAAGAAAGCTCGCTCAAACCGGCCACCCCATACCCCGCTGGCAGCAACATCCAGCCCGGCACCATCCTCACGGATAGCCGTCCGGTGATGAAAATTCTCACCAGATAACGGCTGAAGGCGTGGCTCAATGCTGATATCATGAGCTGCTGATGTGAGCATGGTAGCGGTCAAGTCCCGCAGCTCGTTGTGCCGCAGAGACGAGACGCATAGCCACCTACTGGGCAAGACAAGGCGTGCGGGACAGTGAAGGCAGCTCCACAGGCACAGCTCTGGGGGAGATGGGGCGGAGTCCACCCGTAGCGGAGGCAGACAGCATCTCGAAACGCGCCCTTGTGTAGCGAGAACCCATGCTGCTTGAGTGGTCGACAGGTGAGCCAGTTCGACGCACACTTTTCGGCCGCAAGATCCATGGACCTCTGCAGGTCTCCATCCACGCCATCGTACACGTCCTTGGCATGACGCTGCTCCTTCTTTCTGGCGTCTGCCCTGGCTTTAGCTTTGGCTGCCCTGGTGTTGTCCGCCTCCTCCTGTGGCGGTGTATCCTGGTTCAAAATGCGCTGAACTAAGCTCTCGGTGATCATAAGTGAGGAAGGAAACTAGTTTACAAGAGATACTGGGGAGACAATCCCCATGCCTCCGTAGCAGCTTGGGAGCGCGAGAACTTGGTGTTCCGTCTCTCCGGGCTGGGGATGACCAAGAAGAGCGGGAATAAACGACTCGGAGATGGTGGACTCCAGCTGTTCGAGGTGCGGGGCAACTCCTGACATTGTGCGGGCGATGAATGACCACTTGTGCCGGAGAACGTTGGTGTACACTGCGTAAGCTGCTTGTGGCTGGGTGGAGGCCACGGTGGACAACTCCCGGATCTCCTCTTGCCATGCCTTCACCTTCGCCAAAGCAAAGGAGGCCCTATACTCGGGTGATCCAAGGGTGGCTCCAAGGTGTCGGTTGCCGTCCGTCTTGATGACGATATCGGTGTCGGCGAAGATTGCCCGTGCAGCTTCAGCGCATTCAGGCTAAACAAGAAGAACCGACTTGGCTGCGTTAAGGTGATCGCCAAACTCTGGACCTCTCCGCTCGATGATGTCCCACCAGGCTTGGAGGCGGGGGATCTTCCCTGCTGCGTTGGCATCATCAGCATACCAGCTTTGCAGGGCGTCACTCTCGGCAGCGACTCGGATCAGCGGAATCAAGAGTACATAACTCCCCAGAGTGTGCAACGCCGATCCAGCTCTGTGTAGGGTCTTGGTCGAGCGGAATCGGATCTTCTGATGTCATGCGTACACTTCACACCAGCGCAAGGCCGGTCTCGAGGCAGGGCACCATTGTTTTTGATCCAAGAGTACCCGCGACTCCCCGGGTTCCCCTCAGATGTGTACGGTATTATGACGCAAAGATCCGATTCCGCTCGACCAAGACCCTATGCAGAGCTGGATCAGGCGTTGGCACACTCTGGGGGGTTATGTACTCTTGGCGGAATGGTGCCCAACGCGTACATTGCCATGGCCAATGGGTCGCCCTGGGTGGTACCTTCAACTGACATGATGGCCTCGCCATCCACGTAGAGAGCCGCCGGTGAGCGATACGTGTTTGGATTGGATTGGTTTATTTAACGTCGAATAACAAACAGGCAGTGTTGCCTTATTACATGAGATCGACTCAAGTTACAGGCACACAAATGTGAGGAAAAGATTAAAAAGAAAAAAAGAGTAGGATTTAAATTAAGACAGCAGCTAGCTAGCAGAGGAAACATTGCATAATTATTTGATCAGTGGTGAATTGTTCAGGTGGGGTAAAAGAGCGGTCCGGAATTGACCTGGTTTCTTCAGTGATCGTATAGATGCAGGCAACTTATTCCAGAGAGCGGGACATTGATATGAAGGGCTGCGTGTGGCAGCGGCAGATATGATCCTCGGGAAAAGAAGCAGGGGAACATCTGTGCTCCTCGTTCGACGTGTTGATGAGAGCCGGCGCGATTTCCGGACAGAGATGACGGATATTCTGGAGGCATACCTGTCTGTTGAGCGAGTTAAAGCGTTGGATGCGTCTGCAAACAGGACTCCCTCCACATCGTTCTGGTCGTAGGCGGTTCGCATGGCGTGGATGGCAGCCTCTATGCCTGACTCTTGCCCTCCACACAGCTGGAGGCATCCCGCGGAATTCTCAATGGCCTCACCAACTGTGGAGAGGATGGCCTTTCCGATGATGCGGCGTACAATCTCTCCAACACCAATAGGTCGGACTCCAGGCTGCTTATCCAATGCGATCAGTCGACAGGCAACATAGGCCTCGAGTGCTACGGGGTCTACGTATGACGAAGCGATCCGTCGGGCTGTGGAGGCAAGTGCATCGCAAAGAGCATCAGACGATTTGCTGAAAGAGGTGCAAATCCGTCTCCATCCGCCTGCATCCATGCCAGATGGCCCTGCTGAGCCCTGAGTGTGGAGGGCTGCCTTCCTTATTGCATCTCTGTTGATGGAAGCGAAGCGCACAGGGTGCGGGGCGTCTGGAGGTCTACCAAATGTCACTGCCGTTGCACTGATGGGTCCGGCGTTAGGGTGCTTTGCCTTCAGGATGTCCCGGACAGTCTCCGTTCCTACCATTGAGTCAAGGCTGTGCACACCGTGGCAGTGGTCAGCTGAGAGGGTGCGCGCGGCCGCACTCAGGTTTCCAGAGGTGACAAGGTTGGCAAAGTGCCTGGCGCTATCCTGGTGCTTGGGCTGTTTGCTGGAGTGCTTGGAAGCTGCTCTGATCAGGTCTTGGATCGTGCGAGCTTCCAGGACTAGTTGGTTCAGGTCTCCGTCTTCCCACAGGATCAAGCGATTCTGCAGGAGCCTCCGGTGTTCGCTCTGGTCCAAACACCTGTGCGGCCGCTGGAGCAGGAGTTGGGTTGCCACCATGGCTGCTTTGATGGCGATTCCTTCCGCGGCACCGCGTTCACCAAAACTCTTGTACAGCGATGTTAATAGGTTTACAAATTTCGATCCAATTGTGCCGAGTGGCACATCGAACAGGTTTGCTGCGAAGTGGACGGTCTCCTCATAGGCGGCCACTACCACTTGACGGGTGTCTGTGGCGTCCAGTCTCCCAAGGTTCAACGACCCTTCCGCTGCTGTGAACGCTGGTAGACTACATGTATTTGTGGGTGTGTCGACTTCGACATCTAGCATATCCCACGCCAGCTGTTGGGAGCTGGACACTGGGCTGTGCGGTGCGCGCGGGTCAGCGGGGCCATTAGTATTATGATGATCCTTTGCTCCTGTGGCCGTAGTAATACCAGCTGACTCGGTAACTGATGGCGTATCATGGCTGCTTGCCCCCCCCCCCCCCCCCCCCCCTGCACGCCTCCAACAGTGCATCAACACAGGCGTCTACATCACCCGCATTCAAATCTGGCCTGCGCGTGTCTTTGCCGCTGGTACAACTTCTGCTGGACGGGGGTTCACGTGCTGGTCGCAAAGAGCTAGAGGAACCAGTGGCAGTTTGTAGCGAGTCCGCACTTGTAGCACTTGGCGGCAGTACGGTATGCTCAAGTGACGGTTGGACTGACTGAGGGGCGGATGGTTGTTCCCCGGTTGTATTTTCGGCTTGAACATCGATCTGTACGATGCTCGACGATGGGATTGGGAGCTGGTGGGACGTTGTTGGCTTGCTGGTATTCGTCAACTCTGGCTGTGAGGCAGCGACTCGAAGTGCGATCTGATTACTGCACCTGCCAAAGCTGCCAGGCTGGCAGTTCGAGCATTCTCGACCCTCCGTGGAGCAGATACATCTCTTGCACGAGCCGTGCTTATTACAAGTACAACACTTCATGACTGGACATACCGAACAGTAGCTTTGGATTTGACGGCTGCACTTCGGAAACCGGTCGGTGTTCGCGAAATGTATACTCCTACGTATACAGCTGGACAGCAAGTACTACAAGTATTACAAGTACTACAAGTATTACAAGTACTACAAGTGCTACACTATAGCTGAGCTTGTTCCTGTAGAAGTCCAGGACTGTGAGAGCTAGGTTTCCATTCAAACCAAGAATTTCCATTTACAGTCAGACTTGCGAATAACGACCCTCGATCGTGCCGGGGAAAAGTGTTGTTATTGGCGAGCTGTCTTTATTCGTCAGTTGTTGAAAGTATGCAGTGAAATGGTCACTTGGTCTGAAGATTGTGTCGGTATTTGCGAGTCGTTGCTGTACCCGAGGTCGTTCTTCACAAAGTTGACTGTATGTCAACACCAAAAGCCACCCTTATGTGACGATGGTCCATGTGAAGAATCAGGTCAATACACAAAGTAACGGTACTGTCGATACGGTATCGTGTAGGACAACCCAGGTGGCACAGTAACGGACGCATTGACAAAACAAATTGTTCCTGGCCAGAGACATATTTGCTGGTGTGTCGACTACCTTGCTATTGAGGTGTCTTTAAAAATTCATATCAATCCAATAGACGAGGCACGCACGGGTTACATAAAATGAATAGAAATACTGGCATAGATGCAGAGCTCATACCAGTGCACACAATACGTCTAAAAGGAAGGCCTCCATAGCTCCAAGGTATCCTACTAGTAGCAACATACAACCTTATTCACTTACCCCGAGGCCTGCCAAATGTCATCGGCTGCCTGGTGAGGATTCTCCAGGAAGTTAGAAGAGGAGAGAACACGAACCGTTGTTAAGCCAATTCCCATTCCACCTGTACATCACAGCAAGAGGGACAATAGGCTCTTGGAGGTGACTATGGAGGAGACATGCAGCTGCGTGCACACAAAATGAATTCTACCCTAAACACAGTACATATTGAGATGTGGCAAGTAGAATCCAAATGTGCACATCTGTCAGCACAGCACCCCAGTGCACCACGCTCGGCATCCACGGGGCTGAAACTACGCATGCCTGACATTTCAAATGTTCGTCATTGTCAGCAATTTGTAACTGCCAGTACTTGGTGCACAGCACACACAACAGAGAGTCAACCCAGCGGAGCTGACCAGACGCCAGCACAACGTGGACTCTACTGCATGTATATATGTGATGCTGCTAGCAAAAATAGCATACAGTAAATATAACACAGCTCTAGACCGACTTGGCTTCATGCACACAAACAAATGGGATACGGCTGGTGTCAGTAGCAACATGGACACAACATTGAAATCCCCACAACACTACACTATACAGGCTGTAGAGAGCACCACAATACAGTGCACCATATAGCACATTGGTGACCTGCATTAAGAAAAGAGGCATGAATAGAACCGCTTCACTCACAGATGCGTAGTCAGTACAGTACATACGAGCTGTTCTTTTCCTGATTAATATTATCAAGAGTACATAACCATTATTTATGTACTCTTGATATTATGGACAGAACATTACTCAGAGCGTAAGCAGGAACTTACCAATGTCTCCGAGCTCACTGAACCCATGCTGCTTCCAACTAAGCAAGCGCATAGCAAAGTCGGTCGGCGAGGCCTTTCCTTTGCAGTACCTAAGGCTGGCAATCATCAAGATGAGCTAGGGACGTACACAGAACCAGAACAATACTGCAGTTCAGGACGAAAACAGATAGCACAGGCTCGAGCAGAGAGTTCCTCCTCAAGCAAGAACCATGGAAATGCCCCGTAATCAAATAACTTGATGTGCTTCAGCTTGACATGTTGAGAGGTATGAGGCAAACCAGTACATGCAATGTAGTTACATGTATTGTGATAGGTAGAGAGTAGACATTGCACGGTGTTATGCCAGCACGTGCTAGTTCATACATATCTGGTGCTAAGTGAACAAACAAAAGGTGACAAAAAGAAGATAGTGATGTAGGACTTACCAGATACTACAAGGAGGTTTAGTTACACGTAACGGATACGGGTATGTGGGTGATACACGTAGAGTTCATGCGATGGACCCACGTTCGCAATGTTGTTTTAGTCACACGGAACAAACAACAGCATGAAGCGAAAGGCCCAAACTTGGCCAAAGACGAAGCTTCGAAGCTCATCGAATATTTTGATTTCGTGCTTCGAAACGCCTTCAGCTCAGCACCCTCACAGCTTGCACAATGCGCTTCTTTCTGATTTTCACTCCATACACGGGATGTCGTGAATCAGAAAACGGCTGTCCGTGGGTCACTGAGTATCACGTGGTACACACACGTAAAGTACACACGGATTACGTGGGACTAAACCTCAGTATTAGTGCCGTTTCCAGTGTAGTACAGTACTCCTACTAGATGTACATTGCAAGGATGTGTGAAGTAGGTGTTCACGCTAATGCCTCTAAGCATAGTGCTGGACATGCAATGGCACCTGTCGCAGTGCAGAGGTCTCACCTGGTCTGTGTCATCAGTCCAGTCACCACATCTCCACCTAAATGCAGACAGACGCAACAAGGACAAAAAACAAACAGGGAACACACATCAGTGCATACACTCAAAGTAGAGCATGCCTGGGCCCAGCGTGTGAACTGCCACAGAGCTTGCATACACGCACGCGTGCACGCACACACACACACACATACGCGTGCGCGCACACACACACACACACACGCGCGCACGCGCGCGCGCGCACACACACACACACACGATAGTGTGAATTTGGTATGGCGGTCTTCATGCAGGAGACCGGAGACACACCCGGTGACATGCAGGCAAACTATGGTTTATGCAAAGCAGATCAGCGTTTGCCATTTTTTCTTTCGTATATAGTCGACCTACCCTTGTAACGATACTTGCATCAGACCAAGAATTAGCAGTCGTGAGTCAGTCAAGTGACAGTTCAGGGCCTGCTGGAGAGCCGGGTCAGCCGGGTCACGCGCCCGGCTGGGGAACTGCACGAGCTGGCTGAACAGATAACGCCGGGTCCAGTCAGACCCGGCTGAAAAATGTCTCAAACTGACAATGGATTCCTAAAATACCGGTATTTTACGACTCGCGGACCCCATCTGTTGCAAATCTAGCGCAACCGTACACACTACAGACTGTCAGTCTACAACTACTTTAATATAGTACAAGCGACAGAAACTCGGCTTGGGTGAACTGGCCATGGGGTCAACTGGTTCGAGCGCGATCTGTCCAGCGGCGAGCAGGAAGTCAGGACATTGAAAGTCGATGGGGCAGGTAGTCAAAAGCGTAACTTTGGCTATAGCTTTTGACACAGTTGCAAGTTTTGAGCAGGCTTTTTGGTTGTTTTTCTGCCGGATGATCTGACCCGGCTGGCCTGCATGCGCCAGGTACACTCTGACCGGGCTGTGTTGAATGTCTAGAGCAGGCCCTGCAGTTAGTCGGCAGGAAGAGTGAGCTCCAACGTTTGGAGTAGCCACCTTCTTCTCCGACCAGGAATTATGGTTATATTAAAGGGTGATACTGTTATACGGGCAACGGTGGTCATGTACTTCATTACACACATGCACGTCATACAGCAGCAGAATTTCCGTTCAGTTCGTTACCCTCTTCACAGCGTCAAAACGTACGTACATGTATACACTATGCACATTATGCACGTAGCATGGCATTCATGGTGTCTCCAGTGCATTTTGACATGTTTCAGCGATTTCTCAAGTGAACCTTGTCCTACCTGGATAGTGGACTCTATGTATTACCAGCTAGATATTGATATAGATTTGCAAATTGCCCAGTGGTCAAATCCATTATCGGTCTCTTTCTCTTGCTGGTTATGCTGCAGCGTGCATCAAGCTGTTCTGAAATTTCTGTGTGAAATTTGAAATTTCCGAAGGCCAGTAGTTGTAGAACCTCCTTTTCCTTTGTCTATTCCTTCCTGTCACCGTGAGCTCCGTGTCGAAACTTGCCGATCTCCGCCAGCTCAAAGTTAACCGAGTCGAGACTAGACTGAGGGAACTCAGGCTTTCATGCTCGGGGAAATTTCAGATCAAAGGTGAGCCGACTTCACAACCGCTTGCTAGCCCAGGCAGATAACGGGGCCTCCAACTCAAACGGTACAAATCAGGTTGCAAAAAAGACCACGCATGATCGGCGTCCTGCATCGGCATCCTGCATCGGTCTCAGCCACCCACGGCACCACAGTTTTTTTTATAATTATTCTCTCTGTTCACAGATGCTGTAACATGCTCTACTACTCTGAGTAGACATTCTCTGCTGACAGCTGCACTGGAAAGTCACAGCTACTGTGCTTTAAAAGTACTTCACATAGAGACATTTTCGTTTAGTATTTTTTAACTAATTACTTTTCGTTCCTTTTGTTCTACACCACTAGTGAGTTCAAATGTAGTTTAGAATGGCAGGCAGCACAGGTGCTATAGCGCAAGGAGCAATACTAAACCCCTTATTTCACTCCATTCTCACATCCGCTTCCATGTAATTGGACTTGTAGCCTGTGCGTACTTGCGAGTCGAAATAAAAAAACAACTCCATACACACAAATACATTACCGGCTGCGATGGTAGTCCTGGACGGTATCCGTGTACGCTGTGGGGCCATCTTTGCCATAATAAACTTCGGCCTCGGCCTTGTTCATGAACTCCGTCGTCAAACCTAGGCAGAGATCAGCATGGGATATGTAGACTTACTTGTACTTCAAGTACTATGGTGTACTATGGTGAACTATGGTGTACTATGGTGTACTATGGTGTACTATGGTGTACTATGGTATACTATGGTGTAGTATGGTATACTATGGTGTAGTATGGTGTACTATGGTGTACTATGGTATACTATGGTGTAGTATGGTGTAGTATGGTGTACTATGGTGTACTATGGTGTAGTATGGTGTACTATGGTGTACTATGGTGTAGTATGGTGTAGTATGGTGTACTATGGTGTACTATGGTATACGATGGTGTAGTATGGTGTACTATGGTGTAGTATGGTGTACTACGGTGTACTATGGTGTACTATGGTATACGATGGTGTAGTATGGTGTACTATGGTGTAGTATGGTGTACTATGGTGTACAATGGTATACTATGGTGTACTATGGTATACTATGGTGTAGTATGGTGTACTATGGTGTACTATGGTATACGATGGTGTAGTATGGTGTAGTATGGTGTAGTATGGTGTACTACGGTGTACTATGGTGTACTATGGTATACGATGGTGTAGTATGGTGTACTATGGTGTACTATGGTGTACTATGGTGTACTATGGTGTACTATGGTATACGATGGTGTAGTATGGTGTACTATGGTGTAGTATGGTGTACTACGGTGTACTATGGTGTACTATGGTATACGATGGTGTACTATGGTATACTATGGTGTAGTATGGTATACTATGGTGTAGTATGGTGTAGTATGGTGTAGTATGGTGTACTATGGTGTACTATGGTGTACTATGGTATACTATGGTGTAGTATGGTGTAGTATGGTATACTATGGTGTACTATGGTGTACTATGGTGTAGTATGGTGTACTACGGTGTACTATGGTGTAGTATGGTGTAGTATGGTGTAGTATGGTGTACTATGGTGTACTATGGTGTACTATGGTATACTATGGTGTAGTATGGTATACTATGGTGTAGTATGGTATACTATGGTGTACTATGGTGTACTATGGTGTAGTATGGTGTACTACGGTGTACTATGGTGTACTATGGTGTACTATGGTGTACTATGGTGTACTATGGTGTACTATGGTGTACTATGGTGTTTTTTTTTTGAGCCTCTTGTACGGGCAAAATAACACATTTTGTGAAGAATCAACACATATATAAAAACGAATCATCATATACAGTATTTACAGAGTCTGTCACTCAGTAGGATCACTGCACTGTGCAGGTTCACTGGATGCGTGCCTCCGCCGCCACTAGCATGTACTATGGTGTACTATGGTGTACTATGGTGTACTATGGTGTACTATGGTGTACTATGGTGTACTATGGTGTACTATGGTGTAGTATGGTGTACTACGGTGTACTATGGTGTAGTATGGTGTAGTATGGTGTACTATGGTGTAGTATGGTGTAGTATGGTGTACTATGGTGTACTATGGTGTACTATGGTGTACTATGGTGTAGTATGGTGTAGTATGGTGTAGTATGGTGTAGTATGGTGTACTATGGTGTACTATGGTGTACTATGGTGTAGTATGGTGTAGTATGGTGTAGTATGGTGTACTATGGTGTACTATGGTGTACTATGGTGTACTATGGTGTGCTATGGTGTACTATGGTGTACTATGGTGTAGTATGGTGTACTATGGTGTAGTATGGTGTAGTATGGTGTAGTATGGTGTAGTATGGTGTACTATGGTGTGCTATGGTGTACTATGGTGTAGTATGGTGTAGTATGGTGTACTATGGTGTACTATGGTGTACTATGGTGTACTATGGTGTACTATGGTGTAGTTACAACCAGGGAGTCGTCAAATACCGGGAGTGGAAACGCCGTTAATCTTGATTATCCATGCTCGCCTCGCGCAAAAATTTTGCATTGCCTTGAGTACCTCAGCGTCGTCAAATGCAATTTAGAGTAGCCTTGAGTATTTTTTGGGAGAAAGCGTCCATCAGAACGTGTATACAGAGATATTTGCAGTGGTCTGCTCGTTTACTAGTAGGAGGACACCTAATTTATCGGTAGGCGTGATCGCAGTGTTGCGATGTATGACTGGAGGCCCGATTCACGCGCGGATAGTGACGTGACTTTTGATGTAATTTATCGAGGAAAATAGCTCAGCCTCAGTAATCAAAGTCACTTGGTTCGACCCACGAAAAAACTTCTCGTAACCATTGTCCTTTGCATATAGGTGCTACCCGTGAATTTTCTCGGTGTAAGATGATATGCCACTGACTTTTTGAGGGACCCTTCGTTTCTAAAACATTATTGATTTTTAAATCACGACAACATTATTATTAAGTCAAGGAATTTCTCTTGTTTTCTTCTTCAGTGTAAGAGAACATCACCGCTTTCAGTATGTCTCATGTCAAGAGGAAACATGACAACGTATATGCACCACCAACACTGAGAATCCAATTACAGATTTGGCCGATTGTGGCGAGTATCACAGAATTGACAATGCACACCGAATTAAACTGTTCTAAATCCCTCTCTCTTTCTGTCTCGCTTCTCTTTGCCAACTTTGGGTGTCAGCAGTTATGCATGCGTACATGCACGCACCAATATACGGGTGCGCATGTACTCATTGGCATGCACAAACTGCACATGCACACACACGGCATGCACAAACTGCACATGCACACACACGGCATGCACGAACTGCGCATGCACGAACTGCGCATGCACGCACATTCACACACAGACACTGGAATGCATACATGCATGCACACACACATACACACGAACCTGGTCTTGATAAACACTGCCATTACGGTCACCTGTCCCCTTGCGGGGCCGACAACATGGAAGCGACGGCAGAAAGCCGGCAGTCTGCCAAGAGATCAGGGACCATATTCAATCGGCACGACAAGAGAGCCATCTTTGGCAGCACACACACACACATACACACACACACATACTGACATGCCCACACTGTGCATGCACACACACAAACACACACGGTGGATGCTCATGTGTCTCAGATTCAATTATCTTTTCAAAGTTTGGTAGATTCGGAGACATGTTGGGCAGAATTTCATAGCCGAAAGTCGCCAACACCGGCTTGACGCTAGTTAACTCAGGCTTTCTGCTAGCTTCCAGTTCTCTTCTCATTGCAACAACACACCAACCACCATGGTATCTTTTTGGTGTCTCTGCAGTGCAGTTGACTATGGCGGTGGGCTGGGGTGCTGCTACTGCTGCTGCTGTTGCTGCTGCGGATGATGCTGGCATGATAGACGGCTTTCTTGCCACTACTGCACCGCAAATTAAACTTGAAAACACAGCTGATGTGGTATCCAGGTCTGGACAAAACGCACACGGAAAACAGCGCAGTATTTCTATATTAAAATTGTCACAAGTATTCATCCAGGTAGAGAATGCCATGTGTATCCTGATTCCTGACCATCACATAGTTTCTTAAATCTACCATTGCATTTCTTTTTACGAGTTTCACATTTATGCACGATCATTAGGCAAGTAAAAGAGATGATACTCACCCAGGACATCCATTTTCTCATGACTTGGCAACTTGGACAGTGTCTCGAGGAGAGACGTCCAGGCCAGATTAATAGTGTCAACCTTACTCCTCTTCACCATCTTCAACAGGTCAGTTCGGCGATGACGATCAGCATGTGCAATATCACGATAAAATATGTCAATCTTAGATAAAAGGTTACTGTACAACTTCGGGGCTATTCAAGTGGATGGCCCTTGCAACAGAAGGTTCCCTGGGTCTGTACTTGACTGGAGGTTGATAAATCGAATGCTCTGTACATGCAGCATGCGTGTGTAACAAACCAAAACAAAGCTATTCAGTGATAGAAGTATTCACTCGATAAAGCTTGGTTTTACTCACCTCTCGCCAAAGTTCCTAAAACATCACTCGTAAAATGGCTACCGATATCTCCCTGTCCAGCATGACCATGCACTGCCGACGAATCCACGACGAAGAGTAATAATACTACAAAAGGGAAGCGGAAATCTGACGAGAAGGCTTATGATGGAGACATCAAAACTGCTCCGCTTGCAGGAAGAACCAAAATAGATTTTGACATTTTGAAAATCCCGCGGAATTGGTGAATGTGGCACAAAAAAGATTATTTGAAAAAATCGGCGTGCTCCAGCGCGAGGCGAGCATGGATCACGCTCGCGCATCTCGTTTCCACTCCCGGTATTTGACGACTCCCTGGTTACAACACTCCAGTCACCACAGTCATGTCAATTTAAACAACCATAGAGTTTGTTAAGGTGACCACCACCATGATAAGGTGACCACCACAACAATCCAAGCATATGCATGTACATATACATGTAGTTACAGATGCAGTCTCAGCTCCACAACAGAAATCTAAAACCAAGATTACCGTACAAAGAATGACAACACCTATTCCTGCACACCCAGAAAGACTTGTGGCAGCTCGAGAGAGTACAGGTCCTCCCTCATTATAACGAGTCCGGTTAGTACATAAACCCCGTTAGTAAATAGAAATCTGAAATCCCCTGGCGAAACGTAGTCTATACAACTGTTCACAGGTCCGGTTATACAAGTAACATAATTTGTTAGTACATAAAATTCGTTATAACAACCCTTTACCCAGGTCCCTGGAGTGCCAAGCTCTCAGTACAAGATAATACTGACCATGCAGGACCAAGGCCAAAACAAGTAGGATAAAGCAGAAAGACACAACGTATTATATCTATGTATTCGTAGATTTGGACGATCTTTTGCATCCAAGGAAGAGCTATTTTGGAGATTTTCAATAATTATCTTATAACGAGTTGAAGCGTCGATAGTTTATGTTGTATCGAGGGTAGCCCCGGTAAGTACGAATTAGTGCCTATCTCACCTTTAGCTGCAAGTCCTGTTACAAGACCAGTCTCGTTATAAGATAACTTTTTCGATGGCCCAGAGATTATCTACTAACGAGGGAGGACCTGTAGTCGATGCACCTAGGTGCAGAGATTTACACATGAATAGAGAAGGGAAACAAAGCGTGGTTGCTGTTACTCTGCTGTTGCTGTACATGTGTTTAAAAAAGAGTCGATTGACCAATGTCATCTTTCTTCACTTACCAAGCGCATCTCCAATTGCATTGCCGAACACCAGGCCCCGTATCTTGTCAGCCACCACTTCTCGGGATAGTTTCGACCAGCCATCTTCAAAGGACGGATTGTGACCTAGATGCCGCACCGCGTGTACATACCAATAGACACAACAACAACACGGCGGAGCCACGATCAGAACACTATGGCGTCATGCCGGATGTGACTACAGTAAAATCTCTTACATGATCAGGCACATACATGTACACACACAAACACACACACACACACACACACACACACACACACGTGCACATGAGCATTTAGGTAGAGAAGAAGCCCACTGTGTGTGTGTGTGTGTGCGTGCGTGCGTGTGCGTGTGTGCAGCTTCATAGCGATATCTTTATAACACAATGAAAATGTCGCAATGAAACGAATGCTCAATGAAGCGAACGAATATTCCTTTCCGAATACATGTGAAACGAAGAATATTCACACCATCACAAAGCTAAAAAGGAAGGATACAAATTTACTGAGCGGCCGAGAGCTTTGTAGTGGTGATGGTGGTGGCGGTGGTGGTGGATCAAGCACATCGCATGCAGTGCATGCTCAGTCAGGCACCAAAGGACTAATAGCGACATACATGTAAACCACGCGAGCAAAGGCTGACATTCTTTGTCGCGCAGATGTACGGTATAGGGGTGGTGTGCATGGCAAGATTCTATTCTTGAAGCTCTACGCCTGCCTACGAGATATTCGTCTGCCCAGCTCGATTTTCGATTTTTGGTGGGCAAGAATACGTGAATAGCTTTCCAACAGTGTGTCGCATCGATTTTCTGATATATCGCCCCGTGTTTCTAGTTTTCAAATCGGAATTTTCGGCATCTAAACTACTTTACCCGTCAATGTGTCACCGTCATGTTCAGTATCCTTGAACTGACTGAGATAAGCTTTTGGTAAAGTTCGTCTCTGTAACCCTTTCTAGCCGTTTGAAGAATTTGTGCCCAGCCGCTGAAGTCGATTATTGAAGTGCACTATGTCAGAAGCTCGGTGTCATGGAATGAGCATACTTTTTATTCACCTCAATCCATTGAAGCAGAACTCGTACTGTCCAACCAGGGCGGGCGCCACTGGTGCGGCCATGACCGTGCCAGTTACTACCTATTCCAGTGTTCATGGGCTGCTCAGTCTGCAATTGATGATCTGGAAGTACATGTACTAGTAATAGGCTATCCTCATACACGCCTCGCCAGTCCGAGTCTCCCTCCTAAACAGTTCTTCTTGGTCATAACAGAATTTACTGTTGCTAGAGGAGCGTGCAGCTGAAACAACCAGATACGATGGATGCATAGAGCTAGAGATTTATCCTTTAAGGATTTTGATACCTGGCATATAGCCGGCCTAGTGCCGCCACTCTCCAAAAACACCCAAATCCCACGCATCGCGTACACAGTAACTGCGTGTAACTTTCGTGCTATTGTTTTGTGCTATCGTTCCAGCTGCATACAATTGCATACATGGCCTGCGACGATTGCATATCGGATTTGTGGCCTCGTACCTCCAGTATAGGATGAGGTATTCCCATGAAATTGTCCATGCATAACTTCCAGCGGTGTCTCTATCCAGTGGTGTAATTTGTTGGCCATAATTCCAACCCAAAAATTTCGGTGTAATTTGTTGGCCATAATTCCAACCCAAAAATTTCGGACTGGAGTCGCTAATAGTACTTTACAGAAGATTGCCACGATGTTCGGTGGAGTGAAGCATTCATTTCTTTAGTTGCATAAAAATAGTGCCTGGTTATTGAACGAACGATCATTGAGTTGAGACGGTGCTGGATTGTAAACCCAGACATTGAGTTGAGACGGTGCTGGATTGTAAACCCAGACTTTGAATTTAGGTATTGGCACACAGTCATTACCTTCGTAGCTGAAAGACCATTCCTTGATTTGCTTTCCAGAATCCGCAGCTTGGCTCAGCTGAGCTCCCATACTCGTCTCGATGCTGTGGAGGAGATTTTCTTAGCACGATACTAAATCTGGTAAAAACTGCTCGGGACAATCTTTCAATCCGAATCAGCTACAAAGTTATGGGCATCTGCGATCAACTCCAATGCTCCGATCTAAGATTACGCATCTTGGAGAAGTCAACGCATGTCGGCTCTTTCATTACCTCGTTGTCTTTTCAACTGACTCCATGATGAACTACAATGATTTGATGCAGGTAATTGATAGAAACTTTGGAGAAGACAAACGGAAAACAAAATCTGTCCAGTCGATGTCGCTTGTTTTCGAAAGGTGTCATGCAAAGCCCCCATGGCGTCATTCACAACAACGACGTCATTGCATAATTAGAGAGGTTCCGGGCAGGGAGTCGTAAAATACCTATTTTACGACTCCCTGGTTCCGGGTACCGGGTAGGCACCGGGCAAATATGCTCGAAAAATCACCCATCATGCTTTCTCGCAATTCTTTCAAACATGCCGATAATGCCTCGAAACCATGCCGATAATTCCCAGAAATTCTCACAAATTTTCGCTTGAAATCCAGGTCTTTCTTCGCATCCAACACAAAAAGATGCATTCTCAAACATAACTTGAGGAAACAAAAAAATATTCTTTTTCTGTTTTCTGGCTCTGGCAAGTTCAGATAGCTTTGCTGGTTTCAGCTTGCCCAGCAGAGAAACCACCTTCTTGCTTTCCTCTTCCCTTTCACTGTCACTGTGTCAGCCTCCTCCACCTCATCCGCACTATCCACTCGACAAACGTCAGTAACCAGCCGATTATGCCCGCGAAATCACCGATTATGCTGGTGTGATTTTTGCACCCTAAAATGCTCGATTTAGTGCCGGCATATTTGCCGGGTCCCTAGTTCCGGGCAGGGAGTAGTACAATACCGTATTGTACTACTCCCTGGTTCCGGGGTACGATTTTCCGTGCCAAAATCCGTATGGGCGCTACGGATTTTTTCCAGGCGCTCCATACTCGTACGATTTTCCGGCACGGAGAATCCGTGTGGACTGGCTTTCACACGAACCATGTTTCGTATGGAGATTTTGCGTCATCGGGTGCAGAAAGATTTTTCGCGTACAAATTTGGTACGAGAAACATCGATTTTCCGCGGGAAGTTTTGATTTCGGTACAAATTTTCAAAATAAAAAGGCATAGCGCGGGAATGTGACGTGTTTGCGATCGTAACCTAGGCAATGACGGCAAACACATACGTTCCGTACCCCGGAACTTTTCACTGCTCGAAAACGACGTATAAAATATCCGTAGCGCCTCCACGGATTTTGGCACGAAAAATCGTACTCCGGAACCTCCCTATTGATCACTTACGGTGTGAGTGGCTGAGCCGGACTCCAGACCGGTGTCAAGCCCCTGATCAGGCTGATGTCTGTGACTTGAATCAACCTGAGTGTAATATGTGCCGGATCAAATCAGAGGGCAAAGCAAAAGCATTGTAGCAAAACGCCGGACTAGCCTCCGACTCCACTGCCAAATCTGCTCGGGCATCGGTAATATAGCCAGGTCAATGTCGTGGAACCGACTTGCGGACACGTTGAAATCTGGATCAATCAATATCATGCATCGCTCCGGCACTGTTGCCAGGGAGTCAGTTTGGACCGGGTAACCACGGCAAGTAAGTAAGTAAGTTAGTTGCACCAGTGACCATGACGGTGAGTCACGAGGGTAGGTGGGGGTGGGGTCACAGTGGGGAGGGGGGGGGGGTGACATGTAAATTGTACAAGGACTACTCATGCAGTCGGAATAGGCTAGGCTGCATGGTTATTGAACCTGGGGTGTGCATGTATACCGTGGCAACTTGAACTACAAAGCTAGCCTGTGACATCTGCCACAGTGGTCCCTGCTCAGCTCTCGACGACAAGCCGAATACTCCATCATGCCAGTGGAGGGGGAGGGGTCACACCGCCTAGTACTCCACTGAGATCCCGGCGGCGATAGAAGTCAATGATCATGGAACCGTTGAGGTCCAGTTTCTGGTCCAAGACTTCATTGTGAAGCAGGCCAATGAAGTGTTCATGAAATCAGTGAAACATGATGACACTGAGGCCGAAAGTTCTCCGAAGCTAAAAAGTAAAAAACTGCTGCTCGACCCATGATGCAGATCATGGATAACCCGATGAAGGCATCTTACAGTTGCGGGATAATAACTTATTTATTTCTGTCACTATGATTATGGTGGCCTGGCTACATGATGAAAGAGTTTGAAAGGATCATAATGACACTTTTATTATGTTACAGTCTCAATACGGTAAAGAAGTACACAGTCTGCCAGTCAGCCTAGGCTTATGTCACATGATCACGGGAGGTTGCATGCAGTGTTCAAGCATACAGCATTGCAAAGACTTAGGTACTATCCCGGATGCTTCATTACATTTGATGCCTGGCTCAGTGAATAGGTAGCCTCGGATTGGCAATTTTGATTTACGAGACACCAGTAGCTGAGATGCAAAATTAACTATTACTATGCGGGTCGGCCGAAAACGTTCCAGGTTTCTGGGAAACAAATATATTGCAGAATCAATGTCAGCTGGCATCAATATCGGCACGTGCACTTTGTACTTCGTCGCATACGTCGCACAGAGGGGATACTGCTTGCGTTGCCAATACTCTCAAGTTGGGAGATATAGCGAGTTGATAGAGCTGATAGGTTTCTTTTGCGGCGAAGCGGTTCCAGTTGATAACAGGATCTCTCAATGCAAGCGCCGGCGATGCCAAACAGCCCAGCACACGCCCGTCTCAATGCATCACAGTAGTTTTGCAAAGATAGGACACGGTTAATCCGAGCGCGGTTGAGTGACAGCAACAGGAAGCCATAAGACCTGGTGGCCTTGGACAATGTCTGTAGATGAAGATAACCACAAGAGTACACACACACACACACACACACACACACACACACATACACACACACACACACACACACACACACACACACACACACACACACACACACACACACATACACACACACACACACACACACACACACACACACACACACACACATGCACTCACGGACACCAACAAACATACGCATGCACGCGCACCATGCACACACACACACACACACACACACACACACACACACACACACACACATACACATACACACACACACACACACACACACACACACACAATATTGAATACACAAACCAATGTGGTCTCGACGTGGAGGACTTTCCAGTGAGTCAAGGCACTTGAACGTGACCCAGGCAGGGTGTAAAGATTACTAAAGAGGCTGGAAAATCAACGCTCACGACGTACGGAAGCCCAACGTTGGAACGGGTTCGAAGTATAATCATGTGATGGAACTGAACAATATTATTCCCGTAGCTATGCAAAAGACGTTACTTCATTTCATCTGGCGCTAGCCAGGGTCCACACAGCTTTAATTCTGTGTTTGTTTGTTTGTTTGTGCCATCGGCATGCCTGGCGCTATCCCGTACTTTACCTGTACCGTACCATCAAAGACAGCTGGCCACAAACAACTGGCCACGATATTCAAATAGGGCTTTCAAATGCAAGATCATATAAACGCGAAGCAACTTGGAAGAATGAGTATGTATGCGAAGTGTATCGGGGGAATGCATGCAGGGCGATAGTGCGAGTTTGAATCCCAGGTTATGTCTTGAAAAAAAAATAGGAGAAATGACAAATTTATGACATCCCTATGCTTTTTTTGCCTAGGTCATCAAGGTGGCAGACGGTATCGTATTACCCTCGAATGCAAAGAGAAAGTTTGATGTAGCCAATCAATGGAAAAAAAACATTTCCATCAGTTTTAAAATAACATGCATGATGAGCTAGCTTGGCAAAAAAGCATAGCGAAAAGTCCTGCTACACGTAGCATTGTACAGCAGCTACACAGGCAATAGATTTGCTGAACTCAAAGGTATTAGCCAGTGGTCCGAGGAATACTCAAATTATCGAATGTCTTCGATTTTTGAGCCATAGTGAATGTTGGAACATGCGGGGCAAAAGTCAAATATTCAAAATGCTACACTCCTACAGTCCATTTCAAAACTATAGACGCGTACGTAGGCAAAAACCGTTATGCCAGCATCTATACCACATAAAATCTGTGATCACTTTGTGCATAATTTTTTCCAAATTGGGCGTCTGTTATCCAATCGTTTAGAAACTAGATGAGAGTATTTGTGGAGCGGTCCTAAGGGCCTGGTCAGACTGCGGCAAATTTTGGTTGCCTGACGAAAACAGAACAGCGTCCAGAATTTGAATCGCGATCACACTACACATGTGGGGAGAGTGAAAATTCAAACTTCATTTCGAGCGTCAAGTGGTAATCTCCACGAACGACGTCAAATTCCTTCACCTTGGGGATCGCCAACACCTTCACTCTAGACTGGGGAAGGTGCAGCAGCATGCATCATGTATCAGTATGCTACATTAGCGCGATCGAGTACCCACACGTGTATAATGTGTATGTATGACGAGCGCAGTTGAAAATCGCCTGTAGTGATATACCGGTTATAGTGATAAAATGTGAAAAATCAGAAGGGCACGTTATAACCAATATCTACTGTAATCTGCATCATTAAACATTTGGCCCACGGCTAATGGTGTCAGTTCGGGTTACGACTCGTACTAGCAAGATCCCTACCTTGGAGTCTGCGTAAAGCGCTGGGTCATATGTGGCACCGTTGACCAAGTTGTCACTGAACGAATTAGAGTTAGAATTAGAACTAGCTGAGTAGAGCCAATTTGATCGGCCCAGCAGGATAGATGCTAAAAACACAGAGGAGGCAAGATGGATAGAATATGTTCGAAGTGATGTGGGTTGAGTGAACATTGTGGATGTGGGTTGAGTGAACATTGTGGATGTGGGTTGAGTGAACATTGTGGATGTGGGTTGAGTGAAAATTCAGACATACATGTACAGTGCTGCTTAATGAAATCCGATCACATGCATGATATGTCAAGCCGTGTACGCCGGGTGCTGTGCAGCCCAAGACCTGCGAGCACCGGGTTCACGGTTCACTGGTGCGGGGCACCAAGTTCATGCAGTCGATTGGATTTCATTGAGCAGAACTGCCTCTCTAAGTAAGCATGGACAAGAAAGTTGACTTTCCAGGACAGGTTTGTGACCATTCTCTGTCTGTTCAGCAGAACCGATTTACAGATCTGTGTGCCGTGAATGGTCTTGGATGCACTCAAGGCAAGTATATTCTGGACTTGCTTGCGATCACGTGTCTAGGCTATGGACTACAGACACTTTCCACATCAGTGATAGAGACGCGCCTACACTCGGCCACTGTGGTCGCGTGTTACCTCCCTAGGCAATACAATAATTATTAACTCCCTGCACAGTTTTAATACACGGTGTACGCGCACATGGAAGTGGTATAGCTGTTGAAACTTCTCATCTCTTGACACTTACGTTTGAAGACAGTGAAGAATCCTGAGAACCCCTCGCAGCTGTGAAATGGGTCAGTCTTGAAGCGCATAATCAGATCTTGACCCACTACAGCGAAGTACTGGCCAGTCTTCGTGCCACAGAATGTCATGTCAGTCGCCACCTCGCCGCTGAGGGGTATGTCCAGCTGCTGCACACGGACAAAGTCCTTCGCACAGTCAGTATCCAGTCGGAAGCTGATGAACTCGCCGTAGATCACGTGACCCACAGGTGCTGAGACAGTGTAGACACACTCCACGTCGCCAAGGTAGCGCTGTGCGAAGCATTCCTCCTGCGAAACGAATGGTGACAGAAACGGCATGAAGGTCAGCGATGAGAAGTCCCCTCTGCTGATGAGAGATGGCGATCTGCCCGCAGCAGTTTGTGTACACGTCCAGGATCCAAACCTGAAGATGAAACCAGGCAAGAACGGGTTGGTGCAATTTGTCATATATTAACAGCAGTAGCTAGAGGTCTTGAGATTGATGGTGCTAGAAGTCAATAAATAACAACTTCGGGGCTGGCGCGTAGGCTATGTTCTCGGAGGTGACGGAAAGATTTAAAAGAGATGACTGATGGTAGCTGACAATTACAGGTCCTCCCTCGTTAGTAGATAATCTCTGTGCCATCGAAAAAGTTATCTTCTAACGAGACTTATCTTGTAGCAGGACTTGCAGCTAAAGGTGAAATAGGCACTACTTTGTACTTACCGGGGCTACCCTCGATACAACATAAATTATCGATGCTTCAACTCGTTATAAGATAATTGAAAATCTCCAAGTTACTCCAACATAACTCTTCCTTGAATGCAAAGGACCGCCCATATTCACGAATACATAGACATAATACGTTTCTTCTTTCTGCTTTATCCTACGTGTTTTGGCCTTGGTCCTGCATGGTCAATATTATCTTATACTGAGGGTTTGGCACTCCAGGGACCTGGGCAAAGGGTCGTTATTACGGATTTTATGTAATAACGGATTCTGTTGTAACCGGACCTGTGAACAGTTGTATAGACCACGTTTCGCCAGGGGATTTCAGATTTCTATTTACTAACGGGGTTTATGTACTAACCGGACTCGTTATAATGAGGGAGGACCTGTATGTTGATACTGTGTACTGGATAAAGATGAAATTGTGGCCATGATCGGGCAGTAGAGAATTTCCGAGATTGTCCTTGACTGGAGAGTCTAAGGTTGCATTTGTTCGGTGTCATTCCGACACCATTCCAAAGTCATTCCTCCGAATTTTGGTTCCGGTGCGCTTGTTTGATGCACTCGACAGCGTTTGTGCGGTGCAATTCCGATTCCATCGCGGAATGAAGGGGCAGAATCGATTCCGGCGATTCCAAAGAAAAAGTGGAATGAGGTCTCATTCCAAGTGGAATGAAAATGCGCAACGGTCACTGGGGGGGGGGGGGCACTGTTGCATACTTCCGCCAACGAAATTTTAAAACGTGATTCTCGACATACGGAATGTTGCCTGAAATCGTCCAGGGCATAGGCTGGCACTGTAACCTCGGAATAGCTACTTGTTCGTGGTATTTTGACCATTCGCTGGCTGAGAAAGCATTCGCTCAGGATAAGAACTGGACTGATGCACTCACACCTCTTTTTAAAAAATTTTATTTATGGATTCCCCAAAGGCCGAGGCCTAAGTCGAGGGGGTCTCCGTTCATGGCTTACTGGGAATATATCTGCAAAATTATAACAATAGATTGAGAAGAGGAAGGGTTATAACAAATGCATACTGTAGAAATCAGCCATACTATTCTTTACTATGTTATAGAAACTCTGGAAGGAATGAAACCAGCGGGTTCGAAGCGGGTGTTGGCAAAGATGGTACGGACACGAGACACAAAGCAATGACTATTTTGGGTGGTTCTAATGTCAGTGGGGAGAGAATTCCAGGTGGCAGCGGTAACAAAGAGGAAGGTGGCACGCGAGTAGCTGTTCACCCTGGCAGGCGGTACAAGTTGGAGAGAGCGCCACGCGCTGGTGGAGAGACTATAGCCCAGCTCCATAAGGGCAGTGGTCTGGTGGTGGACCAGGTGATGGAGCTCCCGGAGGCACTGGATGTGTCGCCGCCATGCCAGACTGGGCCATTGCAGGTGCCTCTCCTCCTCATCGTCGAGCAGGGCCTCTAGAATCACACTGTGGCAGGGAGGCAAGTCAGAACTCTATTTTCGAGCCCGACAGTCCATAGCACATAATCACCCAAACTGGCACTGAACCTGCCACTCGACTTCTTCTTCTTACAACAGTACCTCGTTTCTGTCAAACAAGCGCTTCAAATCCGTGTAGAGCCAAAGACGTTTCTGTGACTGATGCGAGGTCGATTACGGACTAGTTGTGATGAAGCAGTGGCCAAACACCGCGTACAGGCACCCTAGTTGCGCTCGTAGATCTATGCCGCGTTTGGTCGCTACTTCATCATGACGGTTGTAGGGGCATGCAGATCGCACTAGAAACGAATAGAAGCAAAATAGCAACTACAACATGTTTAGGCTACCAGTAGTCTTCGCAAGACTGTGAATACAACTCGTACATCTGGTACTCTAAAAACAACACATCCGACCGTCGTTTCCGGAGTTGCGCAAAACATTTGCCAGATTCCCAGAGAGCATGCAGGCGCGTTTGTTTGCTATGCTCATTCTGATTCCGCGATGGGTATCGACTGCATTCCATGCCCATTCCCGAATGACCGAACAAATGCAACCTAAGATGACCACAAACCTGTCACATCTTTCTTTCGTGCAGGCCACAGGGCGTTCGAAACTACAGGACACACACCCATGTATTGCGCCGGCAAAGGATGTTGTATCAATGGTAACAACCATAATAATTATGGTTGTTACCATTGATACAATCATCATCCTTCGTAAATATTAATTGCAACGGTGGCCTTCTGAGTCAGGCTGAGGCCTGAGGCCCTCAAAGTAGAGAGTTGCCTCAGTGACTTCTCCACACTGCGCTCTTAGCCCACATTGACCACACCATAGCGAGGAACGGTTCGTCCTTGGATAGATGTTCCATATCTCCCAGATCCCAGACACCTTTACCCTAGAACTGATATACTCATTCCTTTATCTGCTATTCGCCCGCTATCTACCGCCACTGAGAGGCTCTCAATGAGTGAAACAGCTGTCTGGAGGATATGGAACATCATCATTCTATCCGAGAATGAACTTCCTCGCCATGCCGGGTATGGTGAATGTGGGCCAAGAGCGCAGTGTGGAGAGGTGGACAGTTTCAAATGACTTGTATCTGACACTTTCGTGTAGCCTGCGGGGTAGCCACCACCTCCCCGTTTAATGATCTCTGACACACAAGCCATATGGACATTATCGCAGATCTACATAAAAAAATTAAAAATCCAAAACAAGTTACAAATATTGCTTACGTGCTGGCAGCAGTACAGCGCGTGCAGGAAATTGCAACTGTGAGCCCAACCACCAAGAGGATCTCTCCAGCCAGCGATCGACTTTCCCTTCTCAAGCAAGCAACTTTAGACATGTTAGTATTCACAAAATTGTTGTTTACACGCAGCTCAGGGTTGAATAACTTCACACTGAGAACAGGTCACATGAATGGCAAATCTGGAAGCAGGCTTGGCGGTTACAGTCCTCCAATCTATCTCGTCACTGTCGATTGCTTCGCGGGATCGGTAAACACAACCGAGCGAGTACTCATAAAACTATCGCAGCTCGTCGTTCAGGCCATCAGGAATAGGGTATCGACACTGGAAGATCGTCCGAACAGAACTTCCTAATCGCTGACCTGGGTATGATCCGAACAAGCTCTCAATCCGAGCCCTACTCTGTATGTGTTACACCACTGCTCCATGCTCTTCCAGCGGTCATTTTTTATGCGTTGGTGTGAGAGGGAGCTATCGGTCCTCAGCCAACGACCCCACAGGACAGGACAACAAAATTTTGGTTGCAGCTCATTGTCCTGTTCACGCCGTTAAGCACCACGAACAGACGCAAATCCCGCTGCTTTAGCCGGAATCAGCGACTTCCGATTGCAACACCGCAACGTAATGTCAGCCCCCACACACACCTTCACTCTGTTGAGTTCAGAGAAGCCAGACATCATTCTTCTTGCGCATCAGTTGTCATTGCGACTAAAATAACCATCGTTGCATTGACTTTTGACTTTTGTCGTGCCATGTCGTACCGACGACCTCAAAGCACTGACTGACTTGTACTTTGTAGATCTACCAGTGACGGTCAACCCTGGTCAACCATGGCATTGGGCCACTGTACTGACTACCGGTCGTCCCTGCGGCCCGTGCGGGGAGCTCCCCGCTCCCCTCGTCCCCCCCCCCCCCCCCCTCTAGTAAAAACTTCACTAAAATGGTAGATGTAGTAGTAGTTCACTCACGAGTATAAGTATAGTTATTAAGTAACGTCATGCATGTCCGTCCTGAATCTGCAGGAATGAGTCAACGACACGTTTCTACAAAATCATGGGTATAATGTAGATCTATCATAGACTTCACGTGAAATAGAAATACTGCACAACTCGGAGACGATATCGCAATAGAGCACTGCATCTACTACCGCAGACTCTTTTGAGGCTTCCTAGATCCTTTGGAGCGAACCGCCATGCAGAAGTAGGTTTACGCCAATCGTCGAGCACTTCCGATCCCTGGGCCCTAGCTAGCATGCACTAACGACTCACGGCCACGCTGTCACGATGACATGACTGAAGACGTACAACCGTGTGGACCTACCGATTTTCGTCGTCTGCATGGAAAGTTAGTTTTTTCCATACAGCGCTAGCGAGCCTTCCGTCAATAGGCGGTCCGGTGTTTGGAGAGCTTTGCTCTTGCACATGAATGGTACCCCAGACACTGGGCCTAAAACCTGGGAAATCATGCGAAGAGCGCTCACTTTGTAGTAAGCATTTTCTGAAGCGAGACAGCCTTCCACCGAGAACAGATGTCGCCTAGCGCCTGGGTACGCTGTAAGTACCCTACGAGAGAATTCGAGCATGCACTCCAAACAAGGACAGAAATCAGTAAGAGTCAGTAACTTTCTGAGACGTTAATGCAACAGGCCAAGTATCACTATTACAGTACTATTATAGTATTAGTTGAAGTAACTTGGTTTGCACAGATGTCTTCAGTTGTTGGTTGACAGCATGGTCTACGTCTATCGAGCGATCACGGCTTGTTTGATCTACATGTGTATGATCACGCTGTGAACATCGGCAAAGCCGAAGGTGTGACCATGGTGACTCCCCATACCAAAAAATCCTGTGTGTATCCAGGCGCCCCATGTCATCATGATCATGCATATCCAAGACATAGAAAGTTAGAAACTATTAATTTTGTAGCGACGTCTAAAATAGTTGCCAATGCTATCATTGACTGTGCACAATCATAATGATAATATATATATATTCTGTCGCCCGTGAACATGGTGAATTCCGCGGCAGAATATCAGAAATTCCGTGCAGAATTCTGCGGCTGAAAACAGTAAATTCTGCGTTAATTCTGCAAATCCTTCTAGTACTACATGTATATTCCGCGGCAATTCTGCAAGGAAAATAAGCGCAAAACAGACCGAATTTCTGAGTTTTTCCGCAACCCTACCGAAGTTTGTTGTCCCTCTAAATTCTGAACCAAAATTATGTGAAATCTTGGTCAAAAAATTGAAAGCTCCAAAATATACTGCAAGTAGATTTTGAAAGTCACAAGCAGGTTGGTTTGGCTGTGAAAATACATTGAAAGTCTCCAGAAAAAGTAGTTTTTCTCTCTTTTTTGCAATGTTCCGTGGGATTTTCTGAATTCTGTGGACCCTGCTGGATTCTGCGAAATTCTGCAATTCGCGGAATTCACGGGGACAGCATGTTGCATGGAGCCGGAGTTAAACTACAGGCGACGCTTCGACGCTGTTCTGGATTTTGAATACTGCAAGAAGTACATAATTTACACTGTCTGGTCTACATGTACATAGCACAGACGTCTGAGCGGTTAGTCGATGTTAGAAAGCTCTGACCATAGTGACCCTGGTGACGACGGTATTGAGCACGGAGTGAACAGTGCAAGTTGCCTACTCTCTAGTTTATACAAAGAGCGAGGTTATTGATTTCTTTTAAGTGCATGAAGACAAGAACTCTCAGGTCCCTACCACCACTCCCCGCGGAGATGTCCATTAAGCCCAGAGAATATCAAAAAGCACACTCTCGCCAACTCTAGGCTGTTGATAAATTTTATCAACAGCCTAGAGTTGGTGTGAGTGTGCTTTTGATTTTCTCTGGGCTTTAATATAGAGACATCGCCACTCTGGGGAGAAAGCCCAGAAAATGAAATTGGAAAATTGAAGGATTAGGGTAGCAGGCAGCACCACTTCAATGCCACTGGCTTCTTTCAATAATAATTATCTTATACGTCGTGTACATGTTTGGGAAACTAGTCTGGAATGCACCCCGGGAGGGTAAATGAATAAAGTAGAATTGATGTATTGGCTAACTTTTACCTGGCAAATCACTCAGGTCTCAAAAGGCTTCTGGAAAAGCATGTGGGACAATCGGGCAAAATCATTGAAGGCAGCAAACGATCTATGCAATGTTTATAACCGTGAATCACATGATCAGAAACAGCAAGTTGGCCAAGCCCAGCGTTATTGTATGCATGCTCTTTCCTGGGCAACAGGACTGCATCAAGTGACTGCAGGCAGTAGCGGCAACGGCAAAGCTGTATGTCTTACACACTGGCAGGTGATACTCTATAGGGTGTACTAGCAGATGTCCGCTGTTTGAGAAGCAGCTCACAAATGATCTGATCCTGGAGATCGACCTGCTGTTTGAGTCGTTTGATCTCTTTCTCACAGTGCTGGCATTCAGATTGCTCACGTCTACGGCCTTGCTGGACATCACCTTTCCTCTGAATAGTACTACACGCTGTACCTACAGCAATGGTGTGCTGAGTGGATGTAATTGTGATCGTGTCAGGGCTGGGAGACTCAGGTGGACTATCAGGGCAAACACGGGACAGGAGTGGGGAAAGCGCCGTATTGTGCGGGTTGATCATGACTAATGAAGTGTGTGATGGTGTGTCACAATTGTACGGCAATGTTTCAGAGTTCTCGCCAGCACATTCTCCTGGATCTCCCTGACCAGCAGTTGAGGTCTCAGGCAAGGCTATTCTACTAGGTGTCCTAACCTGTATGGCGCTGTTGCTGTTGATATTATCACTGATTTCTGTAGCTTGGGAGGCGGTACATACAGATGATTCAGGACGATGTGTTGATATGGATGCCGGCGCAGAGCCTTGTCGACGTAGGTCAATACAGTATGTCTTCTCTGGTAGATCTTCCACACCGGCGGATATAGGGCTGGTCTCGTTGCAAGCGGTAGGATCAGTGGTTGATGGCACAGTGCAGACACATTTGTCTCGCTCATTCAAATCCTTTTGAACTTCTTCATCACAGCCAGGTTCCACTTCGGCAATCAACGTTTGGTCCTTGTCAGGGAAACAAGATGACTTCTGAGTGATCATTCTCTCACTGGCTAGGATGCCTGGTGTATATGTAGGTGATGGTGGCTTGTCCGCATGTCGGTGATTTACATGTTCCACATTATCAGAGCCAACACAAGACTCAGTGGAGTGCTGCCCAGCTACTTGCAGAGCAGGAGTGGACACTTGTACTGGGTGTGCCATTCCCCGGCTTGTTGATGAGCATCCCGATGGAGGGGTGCAATACCTCATTGCTAATGCATTCTTAGCATCTGGCTTTGGCTGGCTTTCCTGAGCATTGCTCGCTGGCTGGCATTTAATCTCTGTATTATGAGAGTTTGTACCTTGGCTATTGTTTGTGGTATCATTGGACAGGGCTGGTTTACACAATGGTGTTGAAGGTCTGGAAGTGCTAAGTGTTAATGCTACTTGTCTGCCGACACACGACGACTTATTATGATATCCAGGAGAAGCGTCCTGTAATCTTTCCTTTGAAAGACGGGTACGAGGGTCGAACACAGCAGATGTTGCAGATCTTGATTGGGAACACTCTGCTGACCTAACCACATCTTGCCGATCAGTAGCTAGCACTTCCACACGCTCACCACCCGATAATGTCTGCCGCGGTGAGGAGTTAACAACAGCACTGGCAGTTTCTGGCTTGACCTGTTGATTTTGAGGATTAGCGTTGCTGTTAGTATCGACACCTTCCGTCGTATAGTTTCCATCGCATACCTTGTGACTCCCTTTCCCATCAGAATTGTCCTAAGTAAAAACACAGATGAGAAATGGCTGCATTTGCTGATGTCGGTGACTAGAATAGCACAAACTTGTACTGACGTCAATTTACAGAGTGCAAGCAATGTAAACCTGCTTTCAAACCCCAGAGCCAACGCCCCACGGCAAAAAGTAGTGTTTCACACGAACTAGAAGTCTTCTCTTTCAACAATCCCCTCGTGCAATTACCACAGGGTTCGCACCAAGTCATGAAAATACTATTATTCAAGGGTTTTCAAGGGCCCCAAACCCCATTTTTTCAAGGACATTCAAGGACATTAGTTGGTGGGCTAACCGTTGGTTGGCCACTCTCATGTTGCAAAGTTCAAGGACACCCAAGGTCCGGGAGACAAAAACTTGACTCATAATTATTACCCAATCGAGCAGCGTTAACGTATCTATCAACAATATTCATAAAATACAGGAATCTGGATCCAAAATAACTAGTCCTTATTTCCGACAGTAATTATTAGTAATAGTTAGCAGACAAACAGTTCGGCACAAAAATTAAAAAAGACACGCACACTGTCAGTCACACGAGCGCGCACGTCTAATAGTTGTTAATAAATTGCATGTCACTACTTTCAATATCCAAAGAATCTCCGCTTGGAGGCAATCATTCCGGGTCACTCCGAGTGTCGACGCAGCAGCAGATTCGGTGGCACTACATGTTATTGCAGGTCCCGCAGTAGTACTACATGTACTACTAGCCGACGATGTCGACGTGGAGACTGGAACAGATGCTGCTATCGTTGCTGAGTCTGACGGAGACGGCTGGGTGGAAACGAAGAACTGGTTCACGGTGACCACGTTCTGCTCCGCCAGGTCTTTGTGCTTGCCGCCTTTCGCGTGGCTTCGAAGGGCTGACTCGCCCATCGCGGCAATATCGACCACCTTTTTGCACAGAGTGCATTTGGCTTGTCGCTTGTTGCCGGGGACAGACGCCAACCATCTACGAAACTCGGTCTTCTGTAGCCATTGCTCCTGAAAAACACACTTGCCACCTGGCATGATTGCAAAATGCTTCACTACGGCACTACTTACTATTATGACAGGCAAAACCATGCGCCCCACAAAGTCCTCCGAGAATGAAATGATGAAGAAGAAAGTGGCGATGATCGACGGTCAAAGTCCGACTCGACTCCCACTTTTGTAGCGAAAAGTTGGTTTAGTTCGCCGTTGCGACACACGTTCTCTGCACATGTACTAGCTGCTACTCAGTACTACCAAGAGTGGATCCACTCTTGGTACTAGATCTACGGACTACGGTACCGGTTACGGGTACCCAGCAGTGCGCGTAGACCTACTGCATGAACGTGAGTAGATCTACCGCATTCAAACCCAAATTCAAGGAAAAACACACTTTTTTCAAAAATTCAAGCACCCACACGAAAATTCAAGGATATTCAAGCACTTTCAAATCCGGCTTTGACATTCAAGGACTTTCAAGGAATTCAAGGAGTGGTGCGGACCCTGTTACCAACATGAAAAGTGGTAGGGACTGGACATTTCGTCTTCAAAGCGGGTCTCTGGTATTCGGTCATTATCAAATGCATGTAATTGTGGCCAAATAATGAGTCACCTTTACTGGGGGGGGGGGGGGGGGGGGGGGTTCTTCAGTGATGATCGATTGCCAATGCCCGTGACTTCGAGTGTGGTGATCATACAGCAACCGGAAATTATGGACATACTATTGCCTAAGGCTTGGAAATTGTGTTCTGGTGGCATGCAGGCTCCATTGCTGATAACTGTGCTGGTCAGTACACACAATCATGTTCGTGATACTGTATATCAAGGAGTCTTTGCAACCTGGAAACTTTCGCGATTTCGTGATGGGTGTAAAAACACAAAAGTGAGCGGGGGAGAAGCGTGGAATTGTAGTAAAAAGACTACAGAAATTGACTGCAGTTGCAAACATTTCCAGGTGCAAATTGGTCTGTGCTCTGAAATCGCAAACTAAAGCGGGCGAAATGTTTCCAGGTTTACAGTACATCAGATTCTGTTGTGCTCAGTTCTGGGATACAATTCTTACCAGGAAAAGTGAGCATAGTACTCTAGACGTGACCTACCAGTCCAGGTGGGCTATCCCCGGTGCTCAGTGAACTGTTGTCCAGGTACTCGGCAGTAACCAGGGTGTGATCGGCTTCATAACCATCGCTGTCTGTAGGCGAAGGCCATGATAGTAAAACACAACAGAGCATACAGTCGTGTATGCGGGCTATGCTATATGCAACCACCATCATGGATTACTGAATGGAAATGGGTTACCATAGACGGCTAAAGAACATCTAGATGATAGAAAAAGGAATCTGACACCATGTGCTAGTGAAGGCCAGAGCAAGGCATAACTGTGATCCCGTATTACCGATTGACTCTTGTGAGCTTGGCAGTCGACTTGAGGTTGCAGAATCAAAGTCATATTCCAAATGTGTTGAGCTATCTTGAAGGTCTCCGCTACATGCCATGAGCACCTGGACCAAAGTAACAGTGAATACCACAAAGCCAGGCAGTTTTTCGTTCACGACATGGATCCAGTGTCCATTCAATGGGCTTTAGCCTCCAGGGTGAAATATATGGAGCCAGGGGCTTGCTACTTATTGATAGACTATACAACGCACGACGTATTCGTGCATGCATGCGCAAGTTCTCCAAAGCCCAAGGACTGTCCAAGACCAGATGGAACTGGTAGGGAAGGTGTTGAGGTCAGCTCTACTGTATGCCATATTTTACTAAAGCCCTCACTCACACGCAGGGAAAGTTAAGCCTAAAATCAAATTTTCACCAGTTGTAGTCTTCGGGGTGCTGAGTCAAATGGTCTTGGTCCGAGGAAGCTGAGACGCTCCATTCCTCCTTTATTCCCAATCGAACTCGCGCACTTCCACCGAAACTGGGTGACTGCGCCCTACTAGATGAGGATTTGTATGCAAAATGCATGGCCAGGAATCGAGGACATCTGAGAGTTGTAATTTTTGTACTCCTCCGAGGTGTGATTTTTGGCGTGCTGGGCCAAGCACAAGGAAGCCATCTGCAAAAAAACTGCAGAAAATGGTTGTTGTTTGATCCTTTGGTGTAATCTTTGTTTCTAGTCGAAGCTTGTTGCTGTTTGGAGCAGAAACGCTGAAATTGACTATTTTCTGCATGTACTCATACATGTACTCATGTACTCAGGCATGCAGTCTCACTCGTATTTTAGCTCTTTTTCTGGAATGGATGCTGCTCTGCGCCCCTTGGTGAACATTTCCTGCGCTCGTGGAGCAGCTGAAAAGGACCACTGGTATGTCTGGTTCCTGGTTTGAAAGTGGAGAGTCGACTTTTGTGTCTTGAAAAAGGAGTAGAGAGCGATAAAGGTACGTCTGTGGCTGATTTTTGAGTGCTCCTCGTACATTTTTGATCGTGATAGAAATTCTCAGCCCAAAGTCAGACCAAAGTCAGCGCGATGATGGTCGTACAGTTTTCTTGTGGATTTTTTAGTTGTTTCATCTCGTATCTATGTCAGTATTGTGATGGTGAAGTGGAGAGGGTGATTTTCTTCCTCTAGGCTTCGTTCGGCCGACTTTGCTTCGTCCTCGTTGAAAAGTGATCCTGAAAAAAAGGTCGATTCGCAAAATTATGTTGATTTTCAATGTACGTGATGACATGCGATTGCTGGCTATGGTCACTAAAAGCGCCATTTCGTTCTTATAAAAGCACGGATGACCGCGATTGGCCCATATGTTGTAGTCTTTTGGACGCTGAGTCGACTGGTTTTGGTCCGAGAATGCTGCGATGCAGCGTTCCAACTTTATTCCCAATCGAACATGGTTGAAGACGCGGTCACGTGCTCCTGCGTGCCCAAGTCACCTGGTCACCGCACCAGCAAGCGACAACTTTCGCAACAAGGTTCAACTCGAGTTCAACTCGAGTGACAGGAGTGCGCCCAAAAAAGGTCAAACAGGCCAAACAGGCTGTAAGTTGTACCCTGCAGGCGCTAAGCTAGGCACAGTGACCAGGTGGCTGGTATACGCAGGAGCACGTGACCGCTTGTTCAACCATGTTCGATTGGGAATAAAGGAGGAACGCTGCATTCTCGGACCAAAACCAGTCGACTCAGCGTCCAAAAGACTACAACATATGGGCCAATCGCGGTCATCCGTGCTTTTATAAGAACGAAATGGCGCTTTTAGTGATATTTTGCATACAAATCCCCATCTAGTAGGGCGCAGTCACCCAGTTTCGGTGGAAGTGCGAGAGTTTGATTAGGAATAAAGGAGGAATGGAGCGTCTCAGCTTCCTCGGACCAAGACCATTTGACTCAGCACCTCGAAGACTACAACTGGTGAAAATTTGATGTTAGGCTTAACCGTTCCCCTTTAATAAAGGTATAGCCATTTTTAAAGGGGAAGTTAAGGCAAAAATTAAAATTTCACCAGTTGTAGTCTTCGGGGTGCTGAGTCGAATGGTCTTGGTCCGAGAAAGCTGAGATGCTCCCTTCCTACTTGAATCCCAATCGAACTCGCGCACTTCCACCGAAACTGGGTGACTGCGCCCTACTAGATGGGGATTTGTATGCAAAATGTCACTAAAAGCGCCATTTCGTTCTTATAAAAGCACGAATGACCGCGATCGGCCCATATGTTGTAGTCTTTTGGGCGCTGAGTCGACTGGTTTTGGTCCGAAAAGGCTGCGATGCAGCGTTCCTCCTTTATTCCCAATCGAACATGGTCGAACAAGTGGTCACGTGCTCCTGCGTACACCGGTCACCTGGTCACCGTGCCTGCAGGGTACAACTTACTAGCCTGTTTGACCTTTTTTGGGTGCAGTCCTGTCACTCGAGTTGAACTCGAGTTGAACCTTGGTGTGAAAGTTGTCGCCTGCTGGCGTGGTGACCAGGTGATTTGGGCACCCAGGACCACGTGACCGCTTGTTCAACCATGTTCGATTGGGAATAAAGGAGGAACGCTGCATCGCAGCCTTTTCGGACCAAAACCAGTCGACTCAGCGTCCAAAAGACTACAACATATGGGCCAATCGAGGTCATCCGTGCTTTTATAAGAACGGAATGGCGCTTTTAGTGACATTTTGCATACAAATCCCCATCTAGTAGGGCGCAGTCACCCAGTTTCGGTGGAAGTGCGCGAGTTCGATTGGGATTCAAGTAGGAAGGGAGCGTCTCAGCTTTCTCGGACCAAGACCATTCGACTCAGCACCCCGAAGACTACAACTGGTGAAATTTTAATTTTTGCCTTAACTTCCCCTTTAACTGTGTTCAAGATGCATAGGAAGAAGTGACACTCATGACCATCAAGCAATGGTGATGCCAGAGTGCTGCTCTACATTGGACATTCACAAATGCTAAAATTACCCTTTATTATACGTAATTAGACTCGGGTGGAGAGCTATTAAAGGATTAGTTTATAAGAAGAAAAGAGGACCAAAGAACTACAAGTTACGCTATAATATCCACTCTTTGATCCTCTTTTCTTCTTATTATACCGGTAAGTTTATCATTGTAGCACATCACACATGTATCCCACTCACCTCATCCAGGGCCTCTTGTGCCTTACGGCTATGCCTCGGTTCACTGAATACGTGTGCTTGAGGCAGCTCAGCAGCCGCACTGCCCCGTTTCTTTGGAGATTTGAGCTTTGTATCATGGACTCTTTCCAATTGTCCACTGAAGGCAGCAACATAATGGAAAATCCAAAGCAACAATGAAGTCCAGTAGTGGCTGATATGCAACTTCCTTGGAAATCAGCAATGAAGCCTGAAGTCTAGTGATGGCTTGCTAGGTACCTCTACATCAAGTTTGGATCTGTTCTTCTGGAGGAACCGTTGTCCACCAACTGCTAGCCGCAGGACTAGCGGCCACCTTAGTTAACAACTAGGGACTATTTTTGCCACCATACCTTTTTCTTTTTTCGCATCATGTACAAGTACATGGTACGCTTCTCTGCCTATAAATGGCATTAAAAACATTGAAAAGGAGTTACTGGCAATAGCAATACATGTTTGCATATAACATTGGGCTCCCAGAACTTGAATTCAGCTACTATTGAGCTATTATTTGCACTTCTTGTTGATATACATGTATTGACAAATCTTTATGAAAGGATTGGGAGAACTTCAAAATCACTATCCCGACTGATCCTTTGAAATCATTTATGCCGTGTTCTTACTCGAACATGCCTCCGGATAGCACACGACTCATTGTTTTAGAAGGCTGTATTATAATGTTTTACTCTGACTCTGATCGAAATCATCTTGCAGTACAAAGGCAAGTTCTGCTTCTCTCGAAGCAGAAGCGGAGATTCAAAAAACATTCAAATCAAAAGATCGCGCGAAAGCAGTGTACGCGGCTACGCGCATCAGACGTGAATACATGAGAAGTGAAAGCAGTGTACGCGACTACGCGCATCAGACGTGAATACAACATGAGGAACGGATGCGTAGTAGTATGATAATGCACAACAGTACAACAAGCAGTGCTGATAGACACATAAAACGGAGTGTCTCTGCACCATTATCAGTGGGCTGGATATAGACTGTACATGCCGCATAATATTGTTTGTCCTACCTCCCATGCCTGGAGGCACTGACATAGGCGGCTTCCAATAGTTCATCTGTCGCGGTGTTCATATCCGCTCTGTCTCCCTAATTGCCAGTGTGAGAAAGAATAGGGCATAGTGAAGCTTCAGTTGAACTGTGCATATAATAACCTGATTGCATAACATAACATTTTAAATGCATCAAATGCGACCAATCATGTCTGCTCATTTTCCAACAGTTCATTCTGAAAGGACAAAGTCAATTGCACTATTATCAGAATCCGGCATTCTGCTGGTAGAGGGCGGAGAGAGAGAGAGAGAGAGAGAGAGAGAGAGAGAGAGAGAGAGAGAGAGAGAGAGAGAGAGAGAGAGAGAGAGAGAGAGAGAGAGAAGAGAGAGAGAGAGTAAGTTACATTTATAAAGACAGGTAAGTCTAACAAATGAGGACTGAGACCTCTACAACAGGGTTTTACGCCTGAAAGCAGGAGAGAGAGAGAGAGAGAGAAGAGAGAGAGAGAGAGAGAGAGAGAGAGAGAGAGAGAGAGAGAGAGAGAGAGAGAGAGAGAGAGAGAGAGAGAGAGAGAGAGAGAGAGAGAGAGAGAGAGAGAGAGAGAGAGAGAGAGAGAGAGAGAGAGAGAAAGAGAGAGAGAGAGAGAGAGAGAGAGAGAGAAAAGAGAGAGAGAGAGAGAGAGAGAGAGAGAGAGAGAGAGAGAGAAGAGAGAGAGAGAGAGAGAGAGAGAGAGAGAGAGAGAGAGAGAGAGAGAGACACACACACACACACACACACACACACACACAGACAGATATAGACAGAGAGAGACAGAGAGAGAGACAGAGAGAGGGACAGAGAGAGGGACAGAGAGAGAGACAGAGAGAGAGACAGAGAGAGAGAGAGAGAGAGAGAGAGAGAGAGAGAGAGAGAGAGAGAGAGAGAGAGAGAGAGAGAGAGAGAGAGAGAGAGAGAGAGAGAGAGAGAGAGAGAGAGAGAGAGAGAGAGAGAGAGAGAGAGAGAGAGAGAGAGAGAGAGAGAGAGAGAGAGGGAGAGACAGATAAAGAAAGAAAGAGAGAGAGAGAGAGAGAGAGAGAGAGAGAGAGAGAGAGAGAGAGAGAGAGAGAAGGGAGGGAGAGAGGGGGAGGGAGAGAGAGGGAGGGAGAAAGAGATAGAGGGAGGGCGAGAGAGACAGGTAGATAGAGAGAAAGAGAGATAGATAGATAGATAGAGAGCGTATGTGTACATGGCACTAGCATCACGGAATATTCAGAATCAGGTAACTGACCAACTTCAGCTGCGGTGGAAGAGTGGCTGGCTGCTGATGGCCTCCCTGTATGAAGGTGTGCCACATAGTGTTTCGAGTGCCACTTTGTGCCTCCAGACTAAGCTCTCCTTCACGTAAGTTGTTTGATGTTGCTGATAACTCCAGCGTGCCCTCCATTTTCTTATCATACCGATTCCTGGAGAGAGATGCGTTTGCTACTTGTCGACGTGGCTGGGGCGAAAATCTTGATTTTTGGCTGGTATGTAGTCTCACTGGAGGGTTGTACGAGCAGAGCATTCTTTCAAATTGGTGGTTCTGTGTTTGTTGTGCTACTGACTGTTGCCTCTCCAGTGTTCTGCTGGCTGCCAGTGCATTTGCAACATGGCCTCGTTCTGCAGGATTTCTCTTTGCGAGAGATGGCTGCAAAGACAATGAAGATGGAGACAGTGTTAACTGGCTATCCAGATGAGTTACTCTACACCAGTAGCATGCCAGTGAATTGTTTAAAAATGCTGCAATTATCAAAGCTCTCTTTATCAGTATATTTAGATGGAAACTCCAAGAACATTTCATATAGTAGTTGCTCCTACTGACCATGCTCTATAGCCACCACTAGCACTATGGTCACAGTGCACTGTGAGTAGTTGCTCCTACTGACCATGCTCTATAGCGACCACTAGCACTATGGTCACAGTGCACTGTGACTTACTGTGGTGATGTATGGCTTTTTGTATGCTGGCTGTTGATGATCACCCCCTGATGACATGGAACGTCCTTGTACTGGCCCAGCACAGTCTTCCCTGCAGCACACAGTCACAGGATGAAGAAGGATCAATACAGTGGAGATTGGATAAAACGACCTTGGATATAACGACAAATCGAGTTTAGCGACACAATTCTGTTGCCCAAGTCGTTTAGCAAGTCCTTTTCGTACATTTTAGATCGGGTATAACGACCTCGAAAATAACGACAAATCGAACTTACCGACACTTTTTTGGTGCCCGAAGCCCTGAAAATGGATGGAGTATAACGACTTTCCCGTACATTTCGCATCCGGGCATGAATAATGCCGTGTGCACGGTCCTCTGGCAGGGTCGATCACAGCGCGGGCGGGGTGCACGCCACGCGCTGTACACCGAAAGTCTACCGACCGTATGGGCGTTCACCATGGGGTCTACACTAGCACTGCAGATCAGAGTGATGCAGAACGAGCTGGTTAGCCATGTAAAGCGCGGCGGGCTGGTCGCTTTGTCCTTCACCTGCGACTAGTCGACTGTCATCGTGTCGACCAGTTCTTCGTCACTTTTTCCTTTGAACTTTGTATTTCGACTGTCGACCAGTTCTTTGTCACTTTTTTCCTTTTGTGTTTTGATGACAAACACACGACTTACCTTGTTGATCGACTTGCCGAGTAGTTGAAGTTCCAGTCAGTATGTCGAAGCGAAAGCGTTTCTTGACTGCTGAGAAGTGTGGCATCTTAAAAGCGCTGGACTCTGGTGCGAAGCGGTAGTACATTGAGCAGAAGTACAGCGTGTCGCACGGAACTCTTGCTGGTTTCATAAAAAATTGAAAAGCGATCGAGGATGCTGTTTCGACCTCTGCTAACCTTGATTCAAAGAGCTCAAAGGCATCGCGATTTGTGGAGGTGGACGATGCCCTCCTGGTCTGGTTTCGTCAACTAAAGGCTTCAGCTGCTGATGCGTCTGTGGCCGGCATTGATTTGTTCGAAAAGGCTCGAACGATCTACAAGAAATTGAAGGATTGTGCAGTGCCAGGCTATGGCGATGACGGCTCGTCAATCGACAAGAACTGGATCGACAGGTGAAAAAACGCCATGAAATTTCCAGTCGCAGGCGAAAGCCAGTCCGCCAACGTCCCAGCTGCAGATGACTGGTTGACGAACCGACTAAAGTTGATTCGTCAGGAATTTTGCGACGAAAATATATTCAACACGGATGAAACAGGCCTCTTCTAGAGAATGTCGCCCGACAAGACACTGGCCTTCAAGGGCGAACAGTGCAAGGGTGGAAAACGAGCGAAAGACAGAGTAACAGTCCTCGTTGCAGCAAGCGCCTCTGGGGAAAAACTCCCATTGCTCGTCATTGGGAAATCGCAAAGACCACATTGTTTCCGTGGAGGTCTGAATCTTCCAGTGGAATACCGTGCCAATAGGAACTCCTGGATGACAGGCGCACGTTTCGAAGAGTGGGTACAGAAGCTGAACAACACAATGCACATCAAAGACCGCAAGATTGCACTTATCTTGGACAATTTCTCTGGACACCCAGCGATCACGTTGTCCAACATCAAGATATATTTCCTGCCACCCAATACAACATCGTTAACCCAACCAATGGACACTGACATCATCCGCAATCTGAAAGCTCATTACCGCCGCTTCCTGGTACGCAAGCGCCTATTTACCATTGACACGGGCGCAGCGTTCAAGATCAACCTACTCCAGGCCATGGAGTGGCTGCAAAATGGCGTGGGACATGGTAACCAGTGAAACAATCCGTAACTGCTATAATCACGTTGCTTTCGTGGACGCGACGCCAGTTGAAGCAAATGATGACCTCACATCCACGTCCGAAACAGAGGAGAGAGCCACTGTGACTGAAGAGCTTCCTCACTGGGACCAAATGCAAGCTGCTGGCCTCATCCCAGCTGATTTGTCGTTCGACCAATATGCCAACCTGGACAACGAACTGTCGGTGGGCAACCAGCCATTTGCCATTGATTGCATTTTGGACTCCATTGTGCCTAGCAAAGAGCCAGAAGCCTGCACAGTTTCAAGTGATGAAGATGAAGAAGATGAGTCTTCTCCACCTTCACTCAAAGATACAGTGGATGGCTTGCGAGCAGCAACGGCTTACCTCCGTTCTTGTCCGGGTGCAGCATCACACTGCAGCGCTATTGTTCAGATCTCTGGCTTTCTAGATGACAAGCAAGTGCAGTGCTGCCAGCAGGCATCCATCACACCTTGATCACTATCGACTTGAGCTCTACAGTACATTGTGCATATTGTGCTGCTGTACATGTTTACATGTATGACACAGATGCAAGTGCACATCTGCAGTCGCACCTTGATTACTCTTGGCTTGAGCTGTACAGTATGTATGATACATGTGCATGTACATGTACATTGTTTATGGCACACATGCACGTGCACATCTGCAAACGATATGACATGTGTATGCACATACGTGTACATCCCAGATGATCTGCAATCATTTCCCTGCATTTTGATATACATATTGCATATTAAAAATGTGAAGATCGGGTTTAGTGACAGATCGGATATAGTGACTTTTTTTCTCTCCCGGAGGAGTGTCGTAATATCCAATCTCAACTGTATAACAACACATGCAGATTTCAAAAAACTCTGATACGGACTGCACACGTGTGCTCTCTCTCTCTCTCTCTCTCTCTCTCTCTCTCTCTCTCTCTCTCTCTCTCTCTCTCTCTCTCACACACACACACACACACACACACACACACACACACACACACACACACACACACCATGTACCATGTACACACACACACACACACACGCACACACACACACGCACACACGCACACACGCACACACACACACACACACGCACACGCACACACATGGGCGTAGGAACCGGTCCGGCAGGCCCGGCGGTCGCCGGACCAATAATTTTCGATTTTTTTTCCTTTCAACCTTGTTGATGGCTTGTCGACTCTTGTACAGGTACCATGTTTTACATCGACAATGCAGTGTATCATCAGCATGCATATTCTTATTTCTCATATTATTCTGTAGCATTAAAATATGGCCTTTTAGGCCCAATTTTCAAAAAAATTACGGGGGAGGACCCCCGGACCCCCCTCTCACAATTTCGCCGCACCAATATTAAACTGCTTCCTACACCCCTGACACACACACACACACACACACACACACACACACGCACACGCACGTACACACACACACACACACACACACACACACACACACACACACACACTTACGCAGTCTGAGATAGGTAAGGTTTGACAACTTTTTCTTCTAATTACTGATCACATACCGCAGCCATAAATTCCCACATGCATTCAAGTACTCAGATGGTGAGCCAAGGAAAATATTAAAATAGAAACAGGGAAAATGGTTGGGCACAAGTTAAGCATTAAGAGTCCACTAACGCATACGAGTCCATGAGTCAACGACTCAACAAGTCCACTAACGCACAACTTGTGCCACGCCGTTTTCCTCGTTTCCATTTAATACATTAAAAAATAACTTGGTGATATAGTTGCTGAAGGTTCTACTGGATGGAAGGTGATAGGTTTTGATTGGAAATCATCCCTGAAATGGAAATCGTTCACTTTCCCTGCTAATATCACTTCTCTCCCCCAAAAAGAGTAGTGTATGTCGTAATGGACAACAATTTCAGTAGACAGTGTAATCTTGGCTCCACCTTCCACAGAAAAAAACAGTGCAATGATTTCTCCTGGAATCAATGCCATTCGGCAGAGAATTGACTTGGCTTAGTACTGACCTGAACGTACTGGGTGACGCTCGCTTTCTATTCTCGACGGTACGTGCCGGTCCAAGAGCCTGTAAGTGTACAATGGATACGCATGCAATACCGTGAGTGAAGAACTTTTCAATGCCACTTTCAGCACTATTCTGTTGTGTAGGACGAACCCAGATGAGAAGTAAGTGTCCAGCCCGGTGCACGAAATGCAACACACTATATGCCTGCCCTACTAAAAGTCCTTTGCAGCAAATATGGATTTCCACAAATATTTGATCGGCGCTGGAATAGGGTTTGTCACTTGAAGCTAGACTGCACACAGCGAAAACACAATCGACTTTCTCGATATAGTCCATACAAGACTTTTTCACAAAGAGATGACAGCTTGACGGGAAGGACTCAAAATGAAGACACACTTTCTACATAACAGCAACACGCCCATATACCGACAAAAATGCACATATGGCGTGTGCAAAACGACGTCCGGCAACAGTTGAATGCTTACCTCTCTGGAAATTTGGCCAGCACGGAAACTTGGAAGATTGGGCTTGCACGCTGGTTCCCTGGCTTCACAATCATCAGCAATGGTGAGTTTGGAAGGCACCTGTTCTGGAGACTCTTGTAGGTAAACAGTTCTGGAAAGGCTGACATTCCTGCTGTGTGGCGTGTCGAGGTTGACATGGCGAACACTGGCTGTAACTGGAGCTTCACCTACCCAGTAACCCAACATAACAATCCAGAATGATCATTGCCATACTTGCCAACCCCTGGCAAACAGTTTCCTTGACACTGATGACGTTTTTCCTTGATTTTGCCCATTTTTCCTTGATCTGCAATTTTTACATTATAATTGTGCAAAATATTGTATTATGATATCATACACAACAGAACAACAAGGACAATCAAGGCTTGTTTGCTGCTACTTTTGTCATGGCCGCGCTTGGCGGGTTTGTGACTTGGCTTAGATCAGTCTAGTGGCTACCCAGGTAGACGACCAATATAGTCGCCATCCAAGTTGCTAGCTCACATAGAACGACAGGTTTCTAATTCCACTTGAACAGTGTTTATTTGAACCATTGCAGTACTAGATCGAAAGATCAAGTGTGTAGAGTCAAAAGACCAAAGCAGGAGAGAGTCGGAGTGACTCTCTCAGAATCGAGAGGAGTAGTGAGCTCCCCGAGAATCGAGGATGAATGTTAGCAAAACAGCTCCTTATATATGCTACATTATGTGATCAAAAGTATACAGTGGCAAGAATGCGTAAGGATTATTTCTATATTACAAACAGTGGTGCAATATGTGCAATCAGCCAAACTAGAATATAGTACAAAGAATGATCAATCAATACGGGGAGCTCGCTCACCCACATTACATGAAAGGACTCCGAGGCTCTTCGTGCGACGGGGCCTGGAGTATGCTGTCGGAAGTTGCTGCAGCTAGAGCACGCCGCCTCCGTACGCTGCCTTGGTCGTTGGTCACCCTTCTCCTGCCCGTATACGCGTAGGCTCTTCCCTCTCATTACCCCGTAGGGTGCTTCACGGTCAAGCCGTGACCTCTCCCAAAAAGGGATAACGGAGTCCGCAGTGCGCGAAGCACTTGCAGGACCCTTTACGTCGTACGACGCGAGAAGAGGTGCCATGCTTGCTCGACAAACAAAGGTATCAGCTCCCTTGCAGGACTAAGCAGGGTCCCCTCAAGCTCAACAGTGTAGTGAGTACAATGCTGACGACTTGTACTGAAGGTGTAGCCGCCGTACGACAACACTTGTGACTCGAGGCCACGAGTTGTAAGCCATGATTGCTCAACTAACGAAAGTGCCAAATCCTTCGTAGGACTAATCATGGTTCTTACAGAACTCTAGAATATTTCGGAGCCCAGCTTTTGGCTGCTGAACTCAATGCATGGTCGCTTTCACGACGAGTCTGATCCGGGTCATGACAATTCCCCGGCCTCTCAAGAATCACGTCCCCGTGATCTCAACTAACATTAAAGTCAGCGAGTCGTGACGGTAACCGCCTAGCTCTCGTTGGCCAAGCCAACTGGTTCTGCACCATAACAGGCACGGGCATAGAGTACGAAATGTGGCTCCACAGGAGGGACATTTCCATCAAAAAATTTCCAACTTCAAAATGAAACTGGTACTGCTCCACTATCGTAGAGATGAGCCTGGTGCTGATGATCAACACGCAGCTTGTCATGTACAACTAAATGCACGTTGCAAATCTTCACGCAAAGCGTATACGTATGACAGTTCGCCATTTCGTGTCATCTCAGATGAATGTAGACCATAGGCCATAACGTGTGGTCGACACACCCTTCTACCACGTAGGTATCCGGTTCAGTACAAAAACTGCTGCAGAGCTCCAGGAGCCATTTCATAGATTTGGTGGTATCCAACGAATCGGTTCCACCCACACTCCACCCATTACAAAAGACCTTGGCGACCTCGCCAAGACTTCCACGGTAGGTTCATTGCTGCCAGCAAGGACAGACACAATGGCATACGCCTAGTAGCCTGTGCAACAGGACCACGATCACGTGTCTCAATTGTGTGGTGTAGCACCGAAGTGCGACCAAGCTCAAATGGGTTCAAAGCGAACGCATCTCGATACCGAAGCACTAAGGCTTGCAAGCAGTGGATCTCCTAGCAGGAGATACCAGATTGTCCCAGAGATGTCTCATTACCATCTCTTCCGACCCCCACTTCCGTGTGTTCCAGGTCCGAGTCCCAGCTCGTCCACACACCTAGGCTCCAGGATCGAGTCCAGCTCGTCCAACCTACAGGCTCCAGGGTCGAGTTCGTCCTCGCCCAACCTCAAAGGTTCCATGGATGAGTTCGTCCTCATCCAACCTTTCCGGGGGTCCACAACCGGACATCTTGCGCCAATGCGCAACTGCTTCCAGACCCCGAGAGAGTCCTCCGTCTCAGCTATTTGAACTGATTCCTCTCCCTGGCCATCAGCCAGAGTGTCTTCGGTCACGATGCTCATGACCTCAGATATTGGTTCTAACCGACCAATCTGCATTGCCCTCTCTAGAGCCACTGCCTCGTCAGAGTAATTCAACACCCGTACGGGAACACCATCCACCGTAGGGTTCACTAGCGCATGCGCCATCATGACATCATTCATTCCTTGAAAACACCCATCAGGTATCGTCAAGGCACAGGTCGGCAACCCTTCCGACGTGTCTAGCACGGCGTTAACCGTCACCTCCGAAAAGGGAGTATCACTTCACGCCTCCGCAAGCGAAGAACGTGCTCTCGTTTGCCATCACCATCATGGCTTGGCGGAACGACGTCAGCTTTAGAAGCTTTAAAATGCAATGCTCCACCACCCGAAGTGATCTCGCAAGGAATTGGGACAGCACATCGCGTCCAATGCCAGAACCAGTAACCAACATCATACTCAGTACGTGACGAAACACCACAGGGTGCGGACGTCGACAGATCCGACACCAAACAGGCATCGCCCAACACAGAAGTGCTGGTTTCAGGTGGGCATCAGCTCACTAGTGATTTCTATCACACTCCAATCAAAACATTTGAGATCCGCATCAACGAACTCAAATCAGCAGTTGTTCAAGCTCTCTGCAGAACTTGTTACTGTATCATCGTTTCAGCCAGCATCTCAACTGATGCGCCCAGTTTCGAAATCTGGCTTCGTGACTCCGTCACACGACAAGGACATAGTCCTCTTGAGTGTTTTTTGAACCGTCAAAGTTCAAAAGAACAGCAACACTCCTCAACTGCAGCTGAGGGCAACGTAGAAGCTAAGCTTCATGCAGTCATCGATCCTGCCACTGCAAGACGACTCTAAAAGTCTAAAAGCATTTCGCTTCTCGAGCAGTTTCTGTGCAAGCGCTGACAAAACAGCAGAGTTTCCCCATTGCACGTCCTTGCAAGAACCTCCGTGGGTTCGAACAATGCGCCGTCTACACCGCAAATCGAGTGCAGCTGACACATCTCTCAGACCAACAAGTGGTGCGGGAGTCGAAACTCTCGTCGGCGGCATGACCGACTTTCGCCAGGTCTTCCGGAAAAAGTTGGCACGCCAACTAGTAGCAACAGCTACAAAACAGAACGAGTTCACGTTCCATGTGCACGCACTCAGACAGAGTGTTCAACTGAACGGACCAAGGCCAGAACAGAACAAAACAGTTCGCTTCCGAATCCACTTGAGAACTGCATGCAGCCTCGTGAAATCGACATCAAATTCACACCTCTGCGTGCTCGAGTTAGGGCCCGGTCACACATGCACTCGAAAGTAGCGTATACGCTGAAGCGAGGTCGCAGGTGCGAAAAATGGCATGGCAACGGCGAAAAGCGGAACTTCCGCTTCAGCGGAAACTCCAATCCGCTTCCTCCAAAATTTTCGAAGCGAGACTGTCGCTTCTGCGGATTCGCTTCAGCGGAAAACACCACGGTCTGCTGTATATGGACTTGCTACGAGAAATTTGTATGCGTATGATGTCCATGCAACAGAAATGCGTGCAAGATAGTCATTGACCTCGTCTATTCTCCGTACCGTATGCACCACAGTCTCATTTTCCGCCAAAGTAGGAGTTGTGCTCTGTTTGTATGTGTGACCACACACACGTGGTTTCGCTGGAGCGACACCAGGCTCGCTGCCGCCGAACCTCGTCGCCGAAGCGAATCCCAGTGCATGTGTGACCGGGCCCTAAACAAGAGCTCAGAGTTCAGCATGGACCAGTGCACACCGAGTTACGACTACTCTGCCGGAGCAACAGCAAGACGCAGCTTGGATCCTGGTCACAGCACCAAATGTCATGGCCGCGCTTGGCGGGTTTGTGACTTGGCTTAGATCAGTCTAGTGGCTACCCAGGTAGACGACCAATATAGTCGCCATCCAAGTTGCTAGCTCACATAGAACGACAGGTTTCTAATTCCACTTGAACAGTGTTTATTTGAACCATTGCAGTACTAGATCGAAAGATCAAGTGTGTAGAGTCAAAAGACCAAAGCAGGAGAGAGTCGGAGTGACTCTCTCAGAATCGAGAGGAGTAGTGAGCTCCCCGAGAATCGAGGATGAATGTTAGCAAAACAGCTCCTTATATATGCTACATTATGTGATCAAAAGTATACAGTGGCAAGAATGCGTAAGGATTATTTCTATATTACAAACAGTGGTGCAATATGTGCAATCAGCCAAACTAGAATATAGTACAAAGAATGATCAATCAATACGGGGAGCTCGCTCACCCACATTACATGAAAGGACTCCGAGGCTCTTCGTGCGACGGGGCCTGGAGTATGCTGTCGGAAGTTGCTGCAGCTAGAGCACGCCGCCTCCGTACGCTGCCTTGGTCGTTGGTCACCCTTCTCCTGCCCGTATACGCGTAGGCTCTTCCCTCTCATTACCCCGTAGGGTGCTTCACGGTCAAGCCGTGACCTCTCCCAAAAAGGGATAACGGAGTCCGCAGTGCGCGAAGCACTTGCAGGACCCTTTACGTCGTACGACGCGAGAAGAGGTGCCATGCTTGCTCGACAAACAAAGGTATCAGCTCCCTTGCAGGACTAAGGCTGTGTTTACATGAGAAATTTCAACCCGGGTCGAGTTCAGCCCGGGTTGAAAGTCTGTACGACAAACAAAAGAGGTGAGCGTTTACATGAAGACAGTTGACCCGGGTCAAATACTGATATGCCGCCAAAAGTCCACTTCTACAGTCCTGTATGGTCACGTGAATCCGTTCGCGCGAAATTTGCATCTGCAGTGCTGTTCAAACCTGGCGCGAGATACGCACAGAAGTACGTTTGTACGATTTTCTTGACCCGGGTTGATTTCAACCCTCCCCTTGGGGGGAGGGTTGAAATCAACCCGGGGCGAAATTTCAACCCGGGTCAAGCGCAATGCGTCATGTAAACGCGCCATTCACTTTGTGCACATGGCGGGTTGAAATCTGACCCGGGTCGAACTCAACCCGGGTTGAAACGCTTCATGTAAACACAGCCTGAGCAGGGTCCCCTCAAGCTCAACAGTGTAGTGAGTACAATGCTGACGACTTGTACTGAAGGTGTAGCCGCCGTACGACAACACTTGTGACTCGAGGCCACGAGTTGTAAGCCATGATTGCTCAACTAACGAAAGTGCCAAATCCTTCGTAGGACTAATCATGGTTCTTACAGAACTCTAGAATATTTCGGAGCCCAGCTTTTGGCTGCTGAACTCAATGCATGGTCGCTTTCACGACGAGTCTGATCCGGGTCATGACACTTTAAGCTTCATGCTCACGCAATCATCAGGCAACATGAAGATCGGGTGCCGACCATGCCGGTATATATGCCAGGAGAGGGTGGTATAAAAAGCTGTGTGAGACTGTGGGGGCTAGCGCAGTAGCGGTGGTGTTTTAGGCAGGGGCTGTGTGCAGAGTGTGGTTGTTGAAGGCAGGGGCTAGCAGTGCAGTGTTAGCGCGGAGTGTGTGGCTGCAAACAAGTAGCAGCAAACAAGCCTTGATTGTCCTTGTTGTTCTGTTGTGTATTACGCTCTGCCTTTGTGGTGTTGAGCACTGTCAGCACTCTGGGTACGTCCTTCGGTATTATGATATCATAGTGACGTCACCATGACCGCAAAACATTCGCAAACAGTACAACATGTACGACAAAAAAGTACTTTTTCATGCGCTAACTCAAAAGTTCTCACTCGCTACACCTTCTTTTTGGGCACATCACTGCGAGCGAGGGTCCAAAACACTGAAAATCAACAAAAAAAGGTGTTGACAGACATTTCGAAAATCCGGTAGATGTTATAACTTTTCCGGTATACCAGGACGAAAGCGAGTTTTCCTTGATTTTCCCGGAAATTCCGGTAGGGTTGGCAAGTATGCATTGCGTATTTATAGGAGCACACTGCTCTCATCTGAGAACACTCAAACTCCAATGCAGCAGCCATTTGCACCATAGAGAGGCATCAATAATCACACAACAACTGGTTTCCTCCCGTGGCAGTCACACTGAACTGTGTCTGATTATGTGAATGATTCATGGTGGAATGTATGTTTGATTTCAGTCATTGACAAGCCTTCAGTAAACTGCTAATATGTTAGTATAGTACATGACTGCACTCTGTTCTTTCTATACGCACTCTCCCCATACTCGGCATGCCTGGAGTAGTGCCATGCATTCGACCAGTGACGTTGGTCTCATGTGATACTTGTTTTTAGCTACATTGTGCATATATGCACATGCTGCGCAAGGTCGAGGAGATAGAGATCGAGAGAGAGAGAGAGAGAGATAGAGAGAGAGAGAGAGAGAGAGAGAGAGCCGGAGAATGGCGGCCAGATCCATATTGTCCTGATTATTATTATTATTATTATCCAGAACCCTTTCCTTGTAAGGAAAGGGTTTGCTCCCCACACTTGCGCTATTCCGCCGACTTGACTTGAGACTTAAAACTGACTCACGATTGCCATCCAGAGCACACGAGAAGTCCTTGTGTTTATTCTTATTGCATGTATTGACTATTCATTTGCTTGATTGAACCTTGTGTTGGCTGGTGTGATTGACAAGTTGACAAAAACACCTCCCTGCCCGAACTTCAACATTCATCAACATTTCAGGCGTGGCCCACCAACATGATTTGAAGCCGCAAATGACCTACCAGTAGAATGATAGGCGGCCCAGAAATTAGGCAAATACTGAAGTTTTATTGTAAGAAAATGTACCACTTGTATTAAGACTGCTCTGATGCATTAAAAGACCTAGTGCACCCAAAACAAATGACATGCTTCTCTTGCACCTTAAAAAAAGGAAAGGGGTATAAATTATCGTGTCCGTTCCCCAAGGGAACCCACGACGGCCGCTAACATCCGGTAAACCCTAGCAGCAGATGCAGCGCCTAACGGTTTCTTCTACCTTGGTTCCCCAAAAGGCGTCTCTAATGACTAGTGTATGTAGTTCACATGCCTGAGCATTTTGGATGCAGTTCCCTCTTCATATGGTGGCATGAGATTAACCAGCAGAGCAGCACGATGTGCAAGTCTTGATGCAAATATATTTCCTAAACCATGAATGCCTTATGGATCATACCAAGAGTAGATAAACAAGAGTGTGCAACTCCGGATCTCTCCTGCACAATCTGCTGATACCCCCCACCCCCGTCCACGGCGGAATTTTTTGTTGACGTCACCTTTTTTCAGAGAAACGCGCATTTGCCGCAGAGCAGTGCGAGAGCGCGTGCTGGGCACCGCCCTTGTAGTGTAAAGCCCGGCCAAGTGCACGAAGGAAACTTTCCAAAAAGAATCGCATCGCGTGCGCCGTCGAAAAGATCACGTCAACAAAAAATTCCGCCGGGGGCCAACCCATCCCGAGTTGCACACTCTTGTTTATCTATTCTTGATCATAGCATATGCATGGTTTAGGAAAGAAAATCTGATCCATAGAGGGTGGTGGCGTTCCTTCGGATGCGGAAAACTCGGCCTCCAACCTCACCTCACGTGAACCACGAAATAAAAAATAAATGCATACTCAATATTATCTTAGCCGCATAATCTGAAACAAGACTGCCATATCAGAAGGACAACATACCAATCGTTCCATGTGAGGTGACTGTCTTGTCACTAGTGGCACGGCTGACAAGATCGAGATACATCAGGTCAAGACTGAATGGCCGCTGGCCATCATCTGCAACAGTAGCGGTGTCACTTTGCCGCTTCCTTCGGTTGGTTGCTTGCCATTGGCTGGACGATTTTTTCTTGGAAAAATATTCCTTTTTGACGCAGACGCCAGAACAAGAGAAAGCAAAACATGAGCACTGAACAGGGCTGTTGAAGATAGATTTGCTGTATTGTCTACATTTGCAAGGTCACATACTCCTCCCTGGGTACAAACTTTAGTGTCGTTTGGAGAACGACAGGACATGACGCAACACGACACGACACAACGACGCAACGAAGCAAAAGGACGCGGAGCGAAATGGCACATGCTAATATGGAAGGCATTACGAACACTAGGGTGTGCGCTGAACCTGGCTCTGCTTTGTGCGTGAGGTTATTTTCACTGAACCTGGCTCTGCTTTGTGCGTGAGGTTAGGTTCACTGAACCTGGCTCTGCTTTGTGCGTGAGGTTAGGTTCACTTCCCAGAACTCCAGTAGTAAGGAAACAAATTATCGTCTCCGTTCTCAAGGGAACCCATGACGGCCCCTAACACCTGGTAAATCAAGCGGCAGATGCAGTGCCTAACGGTCGGGGCAAGGGGATAAGTCTCACAACCACTGGCACACGGACCGAAACCCCATTGTAACCATCCATCAACCCAGAGCTACATGTACACGCATGTATTTTTTATTTTTCATTGCAGTGTCCTACATGGACAAAGCACCATTTTCGTAGAGTCAATAGGCCATTAGATCAGAAGAAACAAATATTACATACCTTTTGCTTCTGCTTGTCTGCACTTTCACGATGATTCCGGAATCTAACAGATAGTTGGCGGGCAAAGGGATGCCAAAAACACACAGAAATCTCGCTTCCAATCATATTAGAAAATACTTCCCAACTGCTTCAAACTAAGGAAAAGAACAAGCTTCAGGCCCTTTCAAGCGACAATCAGAAGCTTCGGCTGTCACTTTCATTAACTACTGTTCACGTGGCTACATGCAGACGAAGAAACTATCTAGTACAATAAGAGTGTGTACAATACAGTTTTTAAACAATGTAGATGTGTGCAGTCTGTAGATTAGTGAGAGCAAGCGCGGAAAGCGGTGAATAGTGTTGATTCTCACGCACATAGAAACATAGCGCATCCTTTAGCCATATATTAGTGGTGGGTGTGTGAAGAGATGCATGCCATCAGCGTGATAATATTATGCATGTGGATAGCGATAGTTGGCAATTGAACCGAACTAATGATGCGCTAATCACATCTCTTCACATGTCCACCACTAGCGCCTGATTTGCTATGGATCTATGTGCAGGAGATTTATCACTCCGATCTCTTTTTTTCTGCGTTTGTTCCCGCTAATCTAACTGGTCTGCTGCTTGTATCACTAATCTTAGGATTGTGTTGTTTAGAAGTTATTGTACTCAGGAGTCTTCTACCGGCTTGTATCCATCTCCGAAGAGAACTGTCTAAGAAGGCAATGAGAGTACTGTTGGGAACTTCGAAAAGCTGCTTGTAAGAGTCTGAAGCTTGTTCTATTCCTTGTTTTTATTGTATTCTTTGTCTCCTAGAACTGAAGTCACTGTTTCAGCACGTTGGCTTACCTTGCTCCGCCGATCCAGTTCATTTTCGATAGTGAAGTTTCCGTTGGCTAAGTCAATGACTATTACTCGATGAGAATGTGGCACGGAGGATTTGCCAGAGTAGACTGAAGGATGCAAAATACTTTCAATCAAGAACTGAGAGAACTATCAGATTCTTATTCCAAAACTGCTCATATATATATCTGTGTACAATTTTAATTTATTTGTAGGAGGACGATTTATCTGAAGAGCCTCGGACCGCAGTCGACGACATCGCGCGGAGCTAGCTCCCTCCGCTCCGCGCAGCTCCGGAGGTCGACTCTGACCCTCGCCACGGTGCGAGACAACTGGAGTCCATATCCATGCCCATGGGGAAATACAATACACGCGGGTGTACGTGTGGTGTTTGAGCATTAGGTCACTGGGTCATGACCCTTGGGTCGACCTTTGCACTCCAAACTGTCAGGCCAACAACTACGTGCAGCACGGATCTACACTCACTGTTTTGGTCGTCCGTCTCATTTTTTGTTTCACAGTAGATCGATATGTCTACATACATAGATGAAGTATAGACTACAGCTACAGAGCTGCAGAGATGATCATTGGCCCATTGGCATTGGGCGGGTGAGGTGATCATGTTCAGTGCAGCCTTGGCTTCAGGAAAAAATACATATCAAAATAATAAATTCTACTACTACTACTACTACTACATATCGTGGCAATTTTTAAATCATTATCAGATTCTGTATTTATTTAAAAAATTTCAGGATACCTCCGCAGTACTAGTACATAGTATAGTAGTCACAACATATCGTGACTTTAGCATAGTCCACAAAAATCGTTGGAAAATCCTGAAATTGCCTATGCCTACGAGGCTACAGTGTGTGTGTGTGTGGGGGGGGGGGGGGGGGGGGTGATCTCCTATAACTATGATAGAATATCAGGCACTGTGTTTTTATATGTTTAGTGATAACTTCCAGTGAGCATTATGCTTAGCGTTCTGCATGCTGGAGGTTTTTGTGGACTCCACTCAAGTCAGTGAAACAAACTGAAAGATTCTTCAATTCCAGTTGTGGCGGTTAGCGCATACCCGAGCCTGCTTTCGACATGAAGCAGCGGGAAGCGACTAATCTTGAAAATAATTCGTTCCTTTCCTGGGTCTGTTCAACAGAGCATATGTTTTGTGTCGGCGACGTGCATTGTCCGACGACGCAGTAATTCCTCTTTCCTATTTACACTGCATGGACCTATAGTTATGAGATTACGTCATTCTTCGACATGATAGGCACTAGTTCTCCAGGTAATTTGTCACACAATAACTTACAAAAGCAATATACGCTGATGTTATTCTCATGAACGCTGAAGAACTTATGAGAAGAGCAGCAGAGAAACACAGTAGAGCTAACTTCAGTTGCTGTGTATTGCATTGAATAGATAGGTGGAAATAATAACTCCCCTACTGATTACCTGCTCTCCCCCCCCCCCCCCTCCCCGAGTTTCGCCCAACATGGCAAAGTCATTTTGAAATGATTTGGAGAGGCCAAACATTCAATTCAAACAGCTAGCTGTTTTGACCTTGTTAGGTCTCGTCAGCTGAGCTCAGAGTTACTGACCAAACAGATCTCAATGAAGTCTAATGAACAAGAAAGCAATGTTAAACCGGCTCAAAGCAACAGAGTCAGAGTGTTCTAACTGTGATTAGCACAGTGAGTGCACGAAGGCAGAATACTTTGACGCCAACCAGAAAGATTGCTCAACCAAGCCGAGGAGAGGAAGCGTATGCTCAAGAAATTGTATGCATATTGCCATTTCCTGCTATTTCGCACTTGTATGCACATATACAAGACACAAGAGGGATATTGGAAGCTGCTGTGTTGCAACTCCGAGTTTCACGCATTCATGATCATCAGGCAGCTGATACCTCCAAAACGGGCAGCCTGAAAGTAAGGGAGAGCAAGGTCAGAAATACTGAGGGGAACTATAGCGTATGAGTCAGGTGCAGGCGAGAAGTTGCTAAGTCTTTAGATTCACATTATTATGAATTCTACATCATCTGCTTGGGTGAATGACATACGTAACTTCACCTGGCTGGCGACGCTACTGGTGAAGATTGGGAACTAACTTGGTGGCAACAGGCGCACTCCTTGATTGAGGTATTTCGTAGTTGATTATGGTGCTGCACGCAGATACCACCCGCACTATAACTGAGAGAATATGCCATCCATTCAGGTATCTTCCGAGCCACACGAGATGATGACTGCGTTCCACATGGTAAACTCACAGAGTACTGAGATGAGCATACGACGCAATGGTCAACTCGGCCCAAGGTTATTACTATACAGAAATCCATGAAGTATCAGCTGTACCTGCTGCTTAGTCGAAGAGGTCTTGCTGGTTTTGTCTTAATAGTGCTGGTGTTGATGCCATATTGAATCTACCGGTAGTGATTTCGTTCCTTCGTCAATAACTCGTGTATTGGCAGTAAGCCATGATTGTTCAAGTCACTCACGAACTGTCAAAGTATCCATTTCGCAGGTAATTCTACACAGCTGATGAGCAGGAGACTCGGGGGACTCTTCACCACGAGCCATTCATGGTGGACCATCCCTGCACCCAGTCTCCATCACGTCCAATGGCCGTTTCTCCCACTTGTCCGAGGCTCTCAAATCAAGATTGCCTACAAGCAACATCAGTTGGCTGATTTGGATAGAAGTCCTCTTGCATTCTTATCCACCGAGAGGAATGTCTGATTCGTCCCGCAGCGTCGTACATCAGGTACATGTCATCTCGTTGCTGACCGGATATTAGGAATGCAAGCGTGGCTGCTTGTAGTCTCTGTTTAGCTTCCCGTCCGTTTCTGGAAATGCTACGAAAGCGCCATGGCTCTCCTGTCGTAGAGTTTGTTAGGATGCTCATATTGCCACTACTACCGGCAGGAATGGCGAAGCACAGACCAATACTACTCGAGCCACGATGAAGATCAGTCGTAGACACAGAATGTAGCATACACCGTTCAGACACTGAGCAAGGAATGATTCCCCTCGCCATCAAAGCAATATTAGACTTGTAAGAAGACGGAAAAAGGAGAAGAAAAAAGAAGAAAAAAAGTAACGCCTTTCCAACCATGGAGCCGTTCCCTCACATTTGCATGACTGAGAAGACCAAACCACACGAATTTCGCCTGCAACACCGGTTCAGGGAGGAGCTGGTCCGGATCCTAAGCCATGAATGAACCAGTCCTTGTGTCACAGGAGAATTGAACCCACGACCTGCGGACAGGTCGGAGCCCCGGCAATCCAAAGATATAACCAAACTAGCTATACCGGACCACCGATGATCGGGAGTCTTGCGGGCCATTTATAACCGTTGACCTTTGACCCCGACCGCAAGGGACTCGTTTGCGCGGGCGTAGATCTACAACAACTACAAACACGAAAGAAAGAGAGTTCCAGACATCAACAAATACTGCGTGTTGTCCTGGCCTGGTACACATAGTAGACTGTCCATGTGTGTGTTTCAAGCCTTTTCTGTTACTCCCTCGGGTTCCAGGAGGCGCTTCTGACAAGAGCTGGGCCCAGCGCCAGTAGACCACGGGTCGGTTTACTGGTCATCTGTAGACAGAGGAGCGCTTTGTCACCAGATCAGGAAAATCCTCAGTCACTTCCTCCTCTGTTGCTGCGGTACAAGGCAGCAAATCGCAACCGGTGGTCTAGGCGGTCTTTCAGGAATCATCATTGAACACAGGTAAATACGTTAGGCAAACATCCACGAACTCCAAGTCATTCAAGCCTAGGAATCCAGTGCTGAACTAGATCTCTCAACCCCTCCGTCACGCACCAGTCATGATTATAATGATCACTGTAATAAATACTCATTAGTTCAGGGAATGGAAAAAAACATGTACAAGTTCCTGCACGAGTACGAGGGCAGAACCGCGGAATCCAGCCTGCGCCGTGACAGCGGCAAGGGCTGGATGAACAGCGGTACTGACCGAGTATGAGTGACTGGAATGTGTTTCCTGTGTGAATCCAAGCCAAATTCGTGAGCCAATGAACGCAGTGGATTCCGTTCCTGCCCGTCGTCACTTGACGACGGGCAATGGATCCAGTTCCATCACCTTTGAGCAGGCAGGATCGCGCTTTCCAGCCCGCGCAATTTGATCTGTCATTGGTCGACTCCAAGGCGACAATCACGTGACATACGGGAACTAGTAGTTTAGCTCACCTGATGTGTAAATGACTAACCAATCATACGAGTATGCCTTTGTTATTATTTTAGTCATATGTTCAGCGCCTTCCCCCAGGCTTTTCGTGCTGTACTGCTGGTGCCCTACTTTCCTGCGCTGAACCTCTCAGTGAAGGTCTTTAGCTCTGTACCCGGGTACTGCAGCATTGGCGCTGCAATATCTCGTGCTAAAACAGAGGCGCTGTATGGACCAGGGGGCAAGTGGCAGGAATGAAAGGGAAGGGAGATCCACCCTTCGTGTGTGCAGATTGTCAAAAAAAACAATAACACCTCTGCTTTCTGCGCTGGCTGTACTGCACACACCAATCTATAATGACTTGATAACGGTGGGCTTAAACGAAGAGCAGTTACTGATCGATGATTGTATAAAAATGATGTAACACAAGTTCTCCCATTTGTGTCTTTCCCTCAAACCAGTAGTACTAGTTGAACACAAGTAATCATCTTTATTTCAGGACTACCCAAAGACTAACGTCTATCGGGGGGGGGGGGGGGGGGGATCTCCTATCTGTGTATGTACAATGTACCAGGACCAAAGAAATGCCTTGTTGAAGATACGCATGGCTTGAAATGATCAGCAAGAAGTTTGTTGCATTAAAGTGCACTACACTACTGCGGATATCACAGTTTTAATTAATATCACACCATGTTAACATACCCATGCATACTTCAAAGTACTTGCATAAACTCGAAATCGACTATGCATGCAAACCGGCTTGACAAGGAGAAGATGAATGAGTATGTATTTGCCTCGCTACATCAGTCATGCACTTTATTTTACATACGGTCCCAATGCTGTACCACGCAGTGCTGTGCAGTGCTGTACAGTGGAATGGTCCATCATGCAGTGCTGTACAGTGGAATGGTCCATCATGCAGTGCTGTACAGTGGAATGGTGTACTGTGCAGTGCAGAGCAACTGACCACTGCAGTCCTGAACAAGAAAGCTCAGGGCACCACGCCGGAACGACACCCCGTGATCTGGTTTATAGCTGGTGGATATTCCAAGCAAAACCCCGCGTACCTATACACACTGAGTCTAGTCATGTGGCAAAACGCCGCAGCGGCTTTCATACAGGATATTCCATGGGTTCAGCATGGAATACTTGTCCCTTGATCGTGACTGTCGCAGTTTGCCATTGTAGTAGTCACAGAAGTTGCAGTCAAGGCTCTTGGCATTGAAATAGCAGTGCATGTTGAACTGCTGACATCTAACAGCTTCACACATGACCCGCCACCTCTCGTATTCCTTCTCAAGTACCTGCACTGTACAACGCAGGAAGGTTGAAGCTAGCACGTCAGACTCAATGGAACCATTGGTAGATGGTTGAAGCTGCATTCAAACGGGAGACACAGGAGAGCAGAGTTGGCGCAGGAATGAATGGCTGCCCTGGTGACACAGCATGTATGTGCAATTGTCAAGCGCATGCCCATGTATGACTTTGTCAAACGTTTGGCCCGATCCAAGCCTAGTGACTGTATGGGATGTGACTCGCAAATAAAATTTAATCGTCTCTTTCGACTTTGCATACACTACACTACATCAGATTTGCAATGTGGAGCATACCTGCATATGTCATACCTGCATATGTCAAAATTGCTTTGACTGAGTGTGTATGCCATGCAGATGGCTGGCTAAGTCAGCAGCATGTCTATCTACTCCACGTACCTGTCCGTTGATAAACATTGCTGGACTGGCACAACTAGGCGGGGCCTTCCAGGCATCATTGCTAAATCCACAGCTGGCAGTCCTTGTGTAATCCAATACGGAAGTGCGGCATTTGGGACGAGTTGAATATTCACCAAATCGTGGGTTCGGGAACCTTGCCTCGGAGTTCTTGTCATAGAGTTGTTCAATGTTCCTCTTCTTTCGGCCAACTGCATTTGTGAACAAATATAATCGATACAAGAAGCCAGTAACATCTGAAGGGTTTAGCTGTCTCAAAGCCAACTGACAAGGCTGAGGCTTGATCGGCCAACTTGCAAATCCCCCACTTCAACTACCCACTGACTGCACAAGTGCATCAAGCTTACAGAATTGCCACATACTGCGTAGCTTCCTATTCCACTGAGAAGACCAATCATTGCTTGTCCCACAAATCCTGTAACTGGCTGTAATCCATATGCATATCTATCTTCGCCCAAACCTGGCCTAAACCTGACTCGCAGCCGATTGTGCGACAAAGGTTCAAAATTTGTGAGTGGAACAAGTCAGGCTCTCTCTCTCTCTCTCTCTCTCTCTCTCTCTCTCTCTCTCTCTCTCTCTCTCTCTCTCTCTCTCTCTCTCTCTCTCTCTCTCTCTCTCTCTCACACTCACTCACTCACTCTCTCTCTCTCTCTTTCTCTCCCTCACACACCACACACACACACACACACACACACACACACACACACACACACACACACACACACACACACACACACACACACATACACACACACACACACACACACACACACACACACACACACACACACACACACTTGTACTTGTACTTGTTGCTCACTGCCAAAACTGGTCACGTGGGTTTCCCCGGGAGCGGGGAGAGAGACTCAAAAGGAATCTTGGAAAGATGACTCAATTGGCCATTGAACCACCCAACGTCCGACACCCCCTGAAATCCCCAAAACTCTGAGTGGACTTGAAATGATCCCACTTATGGGCTCACCACACCTCGGTAAGTTGGTGAGGACAAGGTGCAGAAAAAGGAATGACGGCATCAGGGTATCCGTCCGGGGATCCAACTGCAGTCACCCCTGCCCCCAGTGAAAGTAATAATTGCTACTAGTGTGGCACACACACACACACACACACACACACACACACACACACACACACACACACACACACACACACACACACACACACACACACACCTCAGACCTCAGACATGCCCATCGCGGAAGCGATGATAGCGAACAGCTATGTTAAGCAGAGCAACTGTGTTACTTGTGCTGGGATTATTACACCATTCAACAGCTTGCAAGCCTGATGAATTGACCGCCGCTATTTTCTAGCCTGGTATCCACCACACAGCTGATTGAAGTGGCTTTTTCTGGCCAGTGAATCTCTATTTTTCATTTTTCATTTTTTTACACACGCACCCAAAGAACATCCAAAAGTTCAAGACAACAGCTTATCACCATCTCCTCAGAACGAACTGGCACTGGGCCACTCATAGCATATGCGAGTAAGAGGGTACAGTGTCCTACCCTGCTTGGACATACATGTAATCTCTCCTCACAGACAGTCTCCTCTTGAATTTAAAAGTCTAACAGCGCTCACATCAATACTCAACTTATTCTTTTGCTCACTGAGCAATACAATCTTTCCATTTTCTTTCTTCTGTTTTCTTTTTCAATTTAATCCTCCCTACCCAATATCCCTTTGGTGCGTCCATGGAGCTATGAAGCCGAGACCTCTGGTCGGCGGAGCTTAATGGGCCCCACCACCACACTCCATCATTCACCCCAGTGTCTGGAGATATGTGGATTTTGTAGAGAAAAAAAAACAAAACAAAAAAAACACCACACCACATACTCCGGCATACACACACACACACACACACACACACACACACACACACACACACACACACACACACACACACACATTCACACACACTCTCTCTCTCCCCTCGGAATTCTAATAGTCCATAGTTCATAGACGGGCACTGCAGGCACCATGGAAATCCATCGCTTCAGGAAAGTATTTTGATTATGTACCATCGCCAATGTTTTCAAGGCATGCAGAGACACTCTCTTCCATTAATTTTAAGGAATAGATTGAACTTGGTCACAGTACTTACAGGTGCTGATGCCATTTCCACCATGAAAGGGAAAGAAGAGTCCAAAGCAGCCGATGCTCTGCACTTTGCTGTCGGATCGGAAAGAAAAGCGAAGGTGATTGGTCCTGACCGTGCCGTAGTGACTCTGCGGGTCCTTGCAGATCCGATGCACTTGCTTATGCCCCTTCTTCGTAATCCTATGCAACTCAATGATGTCGTTACCGCATGCACTGGGTGACGTCACAGGTTCCAAGAGGCACACGGCAAACTCAATGTGCACCTCCGATCCGAACGGTCCGGTGTAATCCACGTCACAAGTCATGTCACTGTAGTATTCCTGCGCTGCCTCGTCCCTTGGCACGTTGAAGAAGTTGATGTAGAGGCTGAAGAAGTCGGTAACGAGTGTGAAGTCATTACCGTCCTTGCTGCCTTGGCGCTTGCAGGTCATGGAGCCAAATATCGGAGGAGGGGCATTAACACTGCGTCGATGACGGCTGGATAAACTTGTAAACGAGGATGATCCATGGTAGGTGTCAGAACTACTGCTAGCTAGGGCACCCTGGCATCTGGGTATACAGTACATTAGAAGGACGGGACAGGTAAGAGAAGAAACAAATCAAGCCTTGTAATTCATCCATTGTTTGTCTCTTATTCTGCCTGAGTAGGAGCGGGGAGGCTTTCCTGAAGTTGCACACATAGGAAGTGGTGTAGAGCAGATCCCCCCCCCCCCTCCCCCCCCTTCCCAATCACTCTGCAATTATTGAGCTAGTGATATGGTCACTTCTTATAATGTTTCGGCAAAATTATCCTCATCAAGATTTGATCATATTATGAAAATGAGGTCGTTAATTGTAGAGTGATTGGGAAAGAGCAAGCCTGCTCAATATGCACCACCTCCTATTCGAATCTTTTGATAATCAATAATTATTATTCATGCATGGTATTGCCTACAACCCCATAAGATCACTACACACATGCACACACCACACTCTCTCACACACACACAAACACAAACACACACACACACACACACGCACACACACGCACACGCACACACACACACACATGCACACACACACACATACATACACACACACACACACACACACACACACACACACACACACACACACACACACACACACACACACACACACACACACACACACACACACACACACATGCACAGAACAGTACATTGCATGGGTATGGCTCTACAAGCAGAAAGACACACACACACACACACACACACACACACACACACACACACACACACACACACACACACACACACACATGCACAGAACAGTACATGTACATTGCATGGGTATGGCTCTACAAGCAGAAAGAAAGTTTCAAGCACCAACGTGTACTGCTGCAATGTTAGCTCAGCTGTATTGCGCAAATAATTACTTACCGGTGAAAATCAGTCAGCAACACCACCAGTGTTATAGCAAACACTGCTCCTACGCGCAGTATATTGGCCTTCAGAGTCGCCATTCTCGTTGCTAGCCAACTTTCTTGTCACGGTCAAGTCAAGAACAACGGTTCGTGCGGGTGCCAGTGAAAGACTCAAATGTGTTGGTGTTCCTGGGAACGTCAGCCATTCGAGTGTTTGTGCAAATCACCCATACTACCCCATAGGCATAGTACCGATAGTCCATAGCTAGCTGTAGTCGATTGTACAGCGCATAGCTGCTACAGTTGCTTGGCCCGCCGCCTAGATAAGTCACATTCATGACTCTATTCTCATATCCCACATCCTCAGGGCTTGCGTTACTGAACAAGCTTCAGCCCTGTTTTTTAGTCATCCGCTCGACCTTCGACTGTGTTCGAGCTTCGTGGTTGATAGCGAAGCTGTGAAGGTGTGCACGCGTATGCAGCCATCCTTGAGCCTTGACATAATCATTACTCATCAGCACAGCGATATCAACAATACTGCTATGCTAGTTTAGATGCATAGTAGACGGCGTAATGTGATATCACGTGACTTACTGACACTGAGTGTTTCCTCCGGCTATGCCCATGGCGCCACAGTAAGTGCACGCTCTGAGGGTTTCGCGCAATGATGTGGATCGTGAGCGTTCCTGACAATCATGAATCATGATGATTGTGTTCAAAGAAGAAGACAGTATCGTTGTCGTAGATCTACGAGTACATGACAGTTAGTATTGGGTTCAGTTGTAACTTGGTGCAAATCTTGTAGCTGCTAACGTCGATTCGACCGTCCTATGTTGCAGTTAGCCGGTTCGTTTTCTAAATGAAGAAACCCTTTCGAAAGTGGAAACATAATCCTCATCGGCACATCAGTATGAGAGTCCCCTGCTTACAGCGAAAGAGTGGACGCATGGCATATCGATGATATGAAAATTAATAATGATAATGATTTGAGGGTCGAAAAAGCGCCAGACCAAAGGCAAAGGCCAGGTAGATCCCAGTATGACTGTGAGGCGAAATGATGACTGTAGCAGTGTAGGCCCAGCTAGAGCTAGGGCTAAACGTATCGAGTGTATTTTACCACTCTCTTACTTTGGTTCAGCCAACGGACCATAGATCATCAAGGCATTGCCATTCTTGGCCCATACAATTACAAACGAACAGGTCACCATCCACCTGTATCCAAATTAATTATCATCATGCACACTGAAAAAAAGAATTATTTCAATATAACCATGTACCAGGTGTTGAAACACCGCCCGAACGATTACAGTAAAACTCCCCTACAGATGCGGACGCTCTTCATCCAGGCACGTCTGCCTACCGTGCATATCAAGTTCTGACCCTTCTTGTTGCTCACAAACATGGGCTTTTAAACAAAACGGCCCCCAAAACTATCATCAATGGTGCCCGGATTAGGGGAGTGTAGTGAGTTCTACTGTATCTTCAATCCAGCCAGTTGTTCAGAGAAAAGTCTTCCGGTTCAGAATGTTTGATGCTTGCTCCACTGATGAGATGCAGGATCATCAATGTTATTTGCTCAGGAGTTCTACAGTTACTTTGAAGTACAGAAACTACTGACATGTCCAATGGGATCATGTCAATTGCATGAGAAAAGTCACAAACAAGGGGGGGGGGGGCAGTAAATTGTGCAACAATTGCGTTGAAAATAGTGTACTGTAGTCACTGCTGACAGGTTCGTAGTATGTGAGGGCCAGCATAAGTGCATGCGTGCATGTGTGTGTGTGTGTGTGTGTGTGTGTGTGTGTGTGTGTGTGTGTGTGTGTGTGTGTGTGTATGGTGTGTGTAGGAAACGCTTTAGTGACAGATGACAAAGACTGAAAGGAGGAGCAGGAATAACCAAAAAAGCGCTGGAGAAGTTGCACAAAGGGGAGAAGGAGATCGCTAGCTAGATAGATAATAGAGAGAGAGTGTGTGTGTGTGTGTGTGTGTGTGTGTGTGTGTGTGTGTGTGTGCGTGTGCGTGCGTGTGTGTGTGTGTGTGTGTGTGTGTGTGTGTGTGTGTGTGTGTGTGTGGTGTGTTGCTATGTCTAACATAGCTGTTCGCTATCATCGCTTCCGCGATGGGCATGTCTGAGGTCTGAGGTGTGGTGTGTGCGAGAGAGAGAGAGAGAGAGAGAGAGAGAGAGAGAGAGAGAGAGAGAGAGAGAGAGAGAGAGACGGAGAGAGAGAGACGGAGAGAGAGAGAGAGAGAGAGAGAGAGACGGAGAGAGAGAGAGACGGAGAGAGACAGAGACGGAGAGAGAGAGAGAGAGAGAGAGAGAGACGGAGGGAGGGAGGGAGGGAGAGACCGAAAAACTACATGTGGTCTAGGTGTATGGATACAGATGAAGTAGTTACTTTGCATATTCATTCTAGGACCTATAAGAGTGGGTTCTAACAATGCAGACCGTGTAAGACCTGGTATACGCCAAATCTTGTTGGACTGCCCGTGGCACCATACTTGTTATGGAGCCAGTCACAAATTCCACAGTGCATATCGAAAAAGTCAACGTGGCACATGCTGTGATACCGCCCGCACATTATAGCGTTGCAGAATGCTTGAATCATTTTGTCAACACTGAGTTGAAGGGAAGAGCACCTCAGCAACTGCATGTAGATGTGGTCATGGATAGGGTTCGTAGCAACCTGGATGAATAGGAGCGCAGTAAATGCACAATACAATCACTAAGCACCACTGCGTCAAATACAGGATAGCACCATGCGTGTCATGTTCTATGGGAAGATCAGCACGTTGATGTTCAGAGACTGGTCTGCAATTACCAGCAGTACTGTACCCATCTGGGGTTTGCTTGAGCTGCCTAGTGTATGTACAAAGTGGTTGCACTTTAGCCAAGCTGAACACCCACGCACACGAACACAGACACGAACACACACACGCACGCACGCTCGCACACACGTACAAACATGATTTCACACCACTTGCGTCCAGACATACAGACAGACACATACAGACATACAGACAGACACATACAGACAGACACACAGATACATACAGACAGACACACAGACACACACACCCATACATGCATGCTCATGCACACTCATGCATACCCCACCCCCGCACCGTGAGACATTTTTGTCCTTGTGATTGTGGCTACATTTTGAGAAGAGTCCAGAAGGGAGAGAGAGAGAGAGATGGAGTGAAAAGCAGTGCAGCGCAGTGAGCTCCACAACATCTTAGAGAGCAGCGTGACCGCAGAAAGAACAGTTGCTGTACCGCAGTTGGACACACTTCTTGCTTGACTCAGCGCTTAAAAGAGGAGTTAGGGACAGTTGTGGCCAACTTTTCATCACTGCAGTATTCTCTCCAAATTCTGTGCAGGTGTAGACAACTGTAGATATCTTCTTCAGAGGTCATTCTGCGAAAAAATACGGGGGGGCTCTACACGGGGGTCTTCGGGGTTTTTACTACTGCCCTAGTTGTTCAAAGGTCACAAAATGATAAGCTTTTTTTGGCTGCTATTAAAATTTTTATTATTAGAGAGGTTCCACACTACGTAACTACTTCAGTAGAATCCGTAGTCTATCTACGGAAAATCTTTACGTATACTGCATGCTGATCCGTGTTCTGCCATGCGGAGTTTACCAACCACGTAGCTGCCCAATGCAACTCCGAACACGAAAGTATGCAGTTCACAGAACATACACACACACTCATACTCCTATTCCTGTCCATCGCTGAAGCAATGATAGCGAACAAGCTATGTAAGAAATAGCAACACACACACACATACACACACACACACACACACACACACACACACACACATACACACACGTACACACACACACACACACACATGCACAATGCAAATTCACCATTCATCCTGTTTATTGCATCACAGATATTCTTACCCCAGTACAGGTCTGACCGGCCAGGATTTCCGCGTCGGTTCCTTTACACAGTGGGTTAGGCGAATTTTTATCAAGTATCTCCGGTATGGTAGGACAGTCCAACCTCATATCGTCCAAAAGTTGCCCTTGAATTGCGGCAAGACGTTTTGTTCTGTTCTTCCCCCTTGATTCTGAATCTGATCGCTTTTTTCGACCTGGAAAACCCATACCTACAAGCCAATGGAAGAAATTTCAAAGAAATATAACTAAGGCCGAAACAGAAAAATAAGCGTGTTTCTGGTCGGCAGCCCCTCATAAAAGACACTGGGTCAGCCAGAATAGAACTCTTCTTGAATAATGTTTTGATTCATCAATCATTGTGTTATCGATGGACAATAGTCCATATTTGCTTCTCTCTTCTTTTCCTTTTCTTTTCGACTTCTTACTCTTTTCCTTGTTAGCCGTGGTTGGCTATAAAAACCCTGCAATCGCCACGCAAAGTGGTCATTGGCTACCCCAGCCATGTATTGCTTGGAATAAAATAAAAAAATAAAAATAAAGAGCAGTGCAGATAAATACATCATGGTAGGGATCAATGCCACGGTCACAGTTGATTGCCGGGCTGTTCTTGTACAGCCTGCTGTGTAATGGTAGAGATCAATGTCACAGTTGATTACCGGGCTGTTCTTGAACAGCCTGTGGTGTACACCCATCGTCCTGATAGTGATACTGATAGCGACAGAGCTTGTACGACTACAGGATGCATGCTAATCGGAGCGGTTTCACCAGCTACTACTAGTACCTGAACGTGCATGCATGTATGTTTCGTATACTTTTGGGACTCAAAAAAGTCTCACAATTTGGGAAAATGACCGGAAACACGATCATTGTTTGTTTGAGCCTAAGGCCACCCTTTGTTAATTCATTGTTTAACGTCCTTTTTTTCGCGAAAAGGTACGTGGGAGGGCGGAAAAAAAACAAAAGCCCATTCCAAAAACTGGAAACCCCAATCAAACATTTTGACCAGTAAAGCATGTGATATATACAATATTTCTGGGTCTAACGGCACTTGCAGGCATACAACAACACTCTTTGATGGTACATTGGAGCACATGCCTGATGAATCCAACAAAACAGGTACATAGCATGGAGTTAGCATGTCATGAATTCATTGCATCTGGATTTTTACTAGGACACACACCGTACGATATTTAAAAGCCAACAAAAAAAAAAAAGAACCCAAGACAAAGGCATGCCCGGGAGGCAAGATTATAAGTTTAAGGTCATGATCGGCACACTGTGAAACTACACAATCATGTATTTATTTATTTATTTCTGCACCTCGTGGCATGTCAAGACAGCAAATTGAATTGAGGAGAGCTTCGCATATTATTGGTACTACTACTTTCTTGGGTTTTTTTTCCGGTCGGAGGCAAAAAGGTACGTGGGCGCGGACGTTAAACAACGAAAAAAGAAAGGGTGGCCTAACGTTAGTTAGCGAATTTCCGGGGTGTTAGCCGCACTTTGAAACAGGTACACACAGCCACAGGTGCACACAGCTCAGGATCCAACTTACCTATCCTTCATAAAAGTAGCCTTATCTATTTCTTTCAATGCTGATAGTGTGAAGATCGGTATGTAGGTAGAACCACGCATCTGCTGAC